GGTTGAAACAATAAAAGCAGTCAGTCAGAAGCAGTTAGAAGAAAAGGAAAAAAAGAAAACAATGACTTAAGAAAAAAGTTATGTAAGATGTAAGTTTAGTTTAGCAACAGAAACTCAAGAAATGAAAAAACATTGAAGCACAAACCATTCACAGAATGTACACCTAGGTATCAATCAAAACTTATGAAACGAGACACAGATAAGTGTAGAACAGCAGAGTTTTCTGTCAGAAAATTGGGTTACTCCTATTTCAGTAACAGTTATGAGAAATAACAAAGAGGAGGTTTTGAAACTTTTTGATTATGAGTCTAAAGAAAATTCAGAGTTGAATCAAAATGTAGATGACATAAATACCCTCATATACATCTTGGATACTTTCGGTATTAGTAATGAAGCATACCATGAATTGAGTATGAATATATTTAAAGCACTTCCAAGAAATTATGCTATTAGTAAGATTGTGGCTGAATTAAATTCTAAGTTCAATTTTGAAATTACTCCAGATGGCCTTGGTGTTCAACAATCTCTGAAAAAACACTTGGTAAATGTGTTGTCTAATATATTAGATATGAACAAAAACTTTGCACCAGATGGAGACATCAGAATTTAAATTTCTGGGGATGGCACTAATGTGGGAAAGAGAGTTCATGTTGTAAATGTGACTTTTACCATTATCAATGAGAACAAGAGTGCTTCTGCACAGGGTAACTACCCATTAGCTATTATTAGAACATTAGAGAAATATCAAGACCTTGAAATTGGTCTAGATGACCTCAGAAAAGAAGTAGGCCGGTTACAGGAAACTACACTGACAGTCAATGAAAGAAATTTCAAAGTTGAAATAATGTTTGGGGGGTGATTACAAATTTTTTTTGGTAGTTTGTGGAATACCTTCAATTGCTTGCCAATATTGTTGCCTTTACTGCAAATGTAGCAAAACTGAGAAATAAGATCTGTCAAAAAATTGTTCTATGGATGATACTGCACAAGGGGCTTGGCTTGAATACAAGTACATTGAGGTACAGGGCAAAATATGTCCCAGGGAAAAACGAGAAAAAATGCCAATAATTTATTAACCTTTATTCCCTACAATTTCACCCTACTGTGTTGTGATTGATCACCTTCATATGCTTTTACGCATTGCTGGCAAATTATTTAATCTTCTTGCTGCTGATCTTAGGTGCATGGAAAACATAACAGAAAATTCAACGCTACGGTGCAAGATAAAGATTAGTTAAAGAATGAAGCTTGAAGCTTGAAAATGTATTGCAAATGTTGGGAATACATTTTGAACTTGGTGTAAACGTTAATAGTAAAATGTTAGAGTATCGGGAGCTCACTGGTCCAGAGAAACTTTTGCTGCTTGAATGTTTTGATGCAGCTGAGTTTTTTCATGAACGAAATAAAGCTGTTCAGATTCAGCAGTTGTGGGATTGGGTTAGAGAGCTGAACATGCGTATTAAATCTGACACCCCAGATGCTGATGACATAGAATACAAAGCAAAGTTGTGGTGTGACTTGTACATAAGTTGTTATCAAGCCAAAGATGTCACCCCGATATGCTTAGGTATCATGTAGGTGCTATTGTCTAATACAGCCAGCAGGGTTTAGAAAAGCTCAACGACATTGTAACAAAGCAGTTTTCAGAGGCACTTCTCACAAAGGTACATATTTGCTTAAACAAGTATTAGAAAAGCAAAACAGACTCACAATTCTCTCACATAAAAAGAGAGTAACAGAATGTATGACCACTGACCATAACTCCAAAAGCTGTCATGCCAAATGAATATGGAATTTATACAAAACGTTTGTTGTCAGAAGATCAAATTTTTTATTGCATTGTGAATCTGGTTCTAGGCGGGTAATTTGCATGGTGCATCTCCGTTCATAATAGTATTTTACATAGATATAGATATCCATTCAAATGGTATTGATTTCTAGATATCGATAAGGTAATCCAATTTAAATTGCATTAATTGTTTAATATACATTTAAATGTTGTATACATGTAATTGAAATATCCATTCAAAATGGTATTTCATTACATGTTTTGTGATTCAAATTTATTTTAATTGTTTTTTTGTTCAGTGCCAAAAAGCATTATATATCCAATAGATGATTATTTACCAGTATACACTATATGGTACATAATATTGCGATCATTTATTTAGAAAAGACACCTTTTCTCTCGTTACATGAAATTATAAAATGGTGAAACACATTTGTGCTTTTGCTTTCCTCAAGCATTATAACTCTGAAAGCTTAAGGTATTTTGAAAAAAATGTTTGAAATCTAGATGTATTACAGATTATATGCACAAAACATGTCTGTGCAAGAGCTTGAAAAAGTTCTCAGTTTACTTATATCTAACTTACAAATGTCTGTATTTTTTACTTTTTATTTTTCATTTGTTATATGTATGTTTTTTAATTATTTATTATTTTCATTTTATTTGTTGAAATGCCAGAAAGGTATTCATTTTATCAGTATTAAATGCAATGAAATGAAAGTAATGCATGTTCATTTTTTTCAAGCAAGTCTAATTTGGTTGGCGCTTAATTCCGTTTACACCGGTTAGAAAACTACCTTAGGAAACTCCTAAAATACGGGTGAAACCAGTTTCAAAATAGAATCGATTTTATTGGATAAAATCATGTACTATTTGATGACGTGTTGCTGGTTGTAATAGATGATTGGTCAAGTTCCATGCAACTTAGATCGGGGTTTTCTGCCACACATCACGACTGCTTGCTGTTAGGCAATGTATAAGTACGCCTATTCCTGGCTTTGTGAAATTGTTTTATGGTATTTTTAAGTGTGTTATAGTTAAAAGACATAGTTTAATAGGTGCATGATTCAACTAACAAATACATACTCATTTAAATAGGAATAGTATTACATATTAGTCAACATTTAAAATATTTACAAACAATGCTTGGTGTCACCATTAAGCGTACAAGTTCAGTCCGATTTCAGGGGGAGGTAACTCCAGTACAGTGTACAATAAACTCGTATGACCAAATTAAGTTCAGTGTACATCGATTTGATGACTTGTTTGTCCGTCTGTACATTTGTCCGAACCATTTCTCTTCATCACCTTACAACTACAAGGTGATAACCACCACTTGATGGAGGGGGTATCATTAAACACGCGATATCATTAATTTAAGGTGAATTGGTGATATCACAATATAACATTGTTTTAGGCGTTTTATTCAACTTTTCAATGACTCTCAATGAATGCTCAATAAGATGAATGCTGAAGACTGTGGCAATATCACCATTTAAACTGAATAGGTGATATTCAATTCAATTTTATTCTGTAAGTTTTTACAACTTATTGGATACTATTAGATATCAGTACGTTTAGGTGATGTCACAAAACAAACAACCCTGATATTATATTTATAATTTGTGCTCGTTCGACATCTTGTTCAGGGGCAAATCTAAGGCCAATGTCTTTTTAACTTAACCGTAGAATGTTTTCACACAAATGAGAAGAAAATAAGACATTGTCCGAAATTTCTTGTCTGATTTTTTTCATCTGGTGGGCTATTCAAATCGCCCTTTGAACAGGTTCTTCCTAAATAAAATTTCTTTAATAGCACTAGATCAGTGCTCATATTAAGACTCTCTTCAGTCCCTTGTTGTACATTTTCAGTTTTGGGACTGATTTCAGAAACAAATGGGTGACCGTGGGTAATGAATGGCCTAGAGGTACTATATAGGACTGTGAAACTAGGTTTCTTCAGGACTGAACGGATGTCATTCAGACCTCATTGTTAGATTCCCCTTGGTCCTTATTTGAAGCCTTTAAATTTTCAGAAAGACAAAGTGGCCATTTTTAAATTGGTCTTTGACCTATTTTTTCTATCGCAGTCTTTGATAGATTGTTATCAAAATTCATTTTATTTTTCAGTTGTTATGTACGTGTCCCTTGTTCTTTTTATAGGATTAGTTTGCATGTCAGTATAACATACCGGAGATAAAATAAGCAAAATGAAAAAAAAAACCGAAAAAACCATGATGAGTAAGACTACACAAAGATGGACATTAAGGACCCTCTAGGATCTCTTGTTCACATCATGATGGGAAACCTGGTTTGGGTGTTCTTCAGTATTGAAATTCTGGCTATTTAGTACTGATATTGAAGCTGATGGTCAAGGTCAAAAACATTTATCTTTAAACAATAACTGAATTTTAAAATTGATGGACACCTTAGTCTGTACTGCTTCTTTACACATATACATTTAAACTAAATTATCTTTATCATGTTGACACTTGTACATGATCTCAGGGAGGGAAGTCTTGAGGGTTTTGTCACTGGTTTAAGTATAGGGTATGAATGAAGCCGAGACTCTAGGTAAGTGTCTGGGTTAAGTACCCAGATTCCAATATAGTGTTAGTTAAGGTCTCTGAGTAATAGTACCTAGATTCTTCTACATGTTATTTAGTCTTTGAGTAAAAGTACCAAAATTCTTATATAGTGTTAGTTTAGTGTCTGTGTAGAAGTACCCAGATTCTTATATAGTGTTATTTAGCCTATGAGTAAAGTACCCAGATTCTTATACATGTTTAGTGTTAGTTAAGGACTCTTGTTTAATGTTTAATCTCTGTGACATTGAAAAATAGTAAAAATAAATCTATACCAACAAAATTAATGATTTTTCATCCCTGCAATACGACTGGTCAAAAATCAAAATAGACTTATTGGTTATTGTACAATCATTACATATCTAATATTTTCAACCCTTACAACTTTAAAATTGTATCAAAGACATTTGTTTTAACAATTCTGTATGATAGCAGAGACATATGTGTTACATATATCCCTGATGATTGCTAATCCAGGCATGTGCATGTCCAAATGTTAGGATTCTTGGCCTCAAGGTAATTGAGATAAGTAGACATTGAACCTGCACACAAAAAGTAGAAACTTACTGTATAAACTCACCTGCCCTTACGACAAGGGTAGCTAAAACAAACGACCTTTTACTGTATGAAAATGCATGATTTTTTATTGATTTTTCTCATTCTTTCAATGTAATATGGCATACCATCATCTCAGTATCACATAATGTGTATAATATATGTGTGAGCACTACGAAGCAGTCTGAGCCTTAGAAAGCCCCACATTCAATAAAATTCTATGAAATTAATATGAATACAATCACAGACTTTAGTAAAATTGGGTTTTAAACACCAATTCAGTAATCAACAGGACACATTCGTATTCATCTATTAAATCAACATGAATATTTTCACAATCACACTTTACATTCGAATATCTGCTTACTATGGTTTATTCAATTTATTTCAATCTGATTATAAAAGAAAAAAGTCCTGAGAAAACTAAATATTCCGACTCAAAACCTGAGAAGGAATTTTTTTATGTGGAGACACGACATGATGACCACATTTACATTACATCTGTACATATTCTACTGTCAAAACCGAAACACAAGGAAAATTATCACAAGTCTCAACCAATTAACAGTCAATTTGAATTCACTAAATACAAGTTCATTAGAATCTCCATTTTAAATGTGTCAATGAAAAATATTATTCCAATTTAAACTTCAAAAGTTATTTCATCGTTATACAATAAGCCACACTTCAACAACTCTTACTTCAATCTCAAGTTCCTTTGACAACTCAAGTCACTAATAACAGCCCAGTTAGTATTACCCTGTATTTCAATGGCACATATTTGCGAACGCTCCATATTTAGAAGAGAAACTGACTCCTTAATTTCAGCCCCAATGTCCGACTTCAACTATCAATACAGTTTTCTAAATTCAAATCATTCCACCAGAAAGAGCAGCTTAATAAGTTATCAGTGTCTCAAAGAGTGGTTTACAAAAGCACTTAGTTGTAATCTGCCCAATAGTATTTTCTAAAAGTTCCAGTGTATGAGATCAAGGGAAGGAGCATCTACAGAGTAACACAGTAGAACCATGCCTAGCTATATTTTGTTAGTTTACAATCTGTATCAAGCTTTGATTCACCACATGGCCTTTCTCCTGGTGATAATTAGAATCTGATTAGCATTTGATTGTACGACAAAGTTAAGAGCAACTTGTTTATTTAATCATCTTTCCCAATTACTTAAGTCCCCCATATTGTGCAAATTCATTCAATTCAGCTGTCAGTGAATTTTGCTTTCCTCTTCTCAACAAATGCGTCCATTCCTTCTTTCCTGTCGTTCTGTATAATATATAATCATCAAACATAAAAAATATTTTCAAAATATTAAATACAACTAACAAAAGTAATGAATGAATAATTGAATATTTGAGATATCACCGTTATGGTGCAATTACATTTCCTTTCCATTTAACAGGCAATGTATTTTGTAAATCTATGCAATGTACACATAATTTAATGGTAATCTTATTTTTGCATTTTTCACACAGAAAGTATTTTGCTAAAATATGATTGAACTAATTATTACTTCTGTATACTGTTTATACAGCAATCATTATTGATAATTGCACTAATTACCTATAAGGAAATCATGTGCTAATTAATTATATTAAATATGTAAAATGAAAGTTTCATATACCTGCTATTCTTTATTGAATGTAATGAGATATAAATATTGTACATTATATCCACATCATATCAGGTGTAGCAGGTGTATCCTGACAATGGCAGTACCAGTTTAGGATAAATATAGATATAACTCTGTTCTTGTTTTAACTCTAGTATCAAAAGTATTGTCACATGAATTCACAATTTTTCAAGCCATAGTATTAAATTGCAATGAACAACCAAAAATTGAAAGAATCTTTACCACTTTCAAAACTACAAATTGTAAAAAAAGTGTAAAATTCACAATTCTTTAACCACAGAAAAATACTTCGGTAAAAAACTTAAATTACAAACCATCTGTAAAATCATACTTACAGTTGCAAATGTAGCGTGGAAAAGTCTCTTCTCAAAATGAAGACCCTCAGCTAAAGAAAGTTCATATGCTGGAATACAAAGAGGAAAGCAAGCTTCAAATAGTGCTGAGGTTGAATTTCAAATATAATCATATGTAGAAAACCCAATTTCTAACACTCAAAAGCAAATCTCTTATATACAATAAAAAGACCATTCAGCGAATTACAGTGATCTACAGACACACTGCCTCACCAAGGAGAACCCATACCCCAAGTATAAACTTCTAGTGATAAGTATTGTAGGAGAGAGAGCCTGGAAAAACCTTTTCATTGATATAGGTCAAAGGTCAACAGACTTGACTTTCTCAGAACACATGTTCAGCAATACAATGTACCCGGTACATTAATTCCCGTTCTATGCCAGCTTACCAGAATTGACTGCTTCCTTGCACATGCCTACAGTGATCTTGGAGAAGCTGCTTATTTTCTCTGCCGTCTTCACAGCCTCATCAACTAACTGGTCTACAGGTAAAACTTTACTGACTAAACCTGAATAAAATATCAGGGGAAAGTTAATGTACAAGTAAATTATTTTTATATATTAAATCTATTAAGATTTTTAAACAAATGACATGTCTTCCTATTTTGTTCTCTTTGAGACTAAAAATAAACAATAATAAACAAGTCAGCACAACAGAAAATTTTATTTATTGATTTATAAAGTAATTTTACAGTAGGAAAATACTGTAAAACATGTTGAAAAAAAATAAACGTTATAAAAATATGATAAATGTTCCTTAGATTTTGTTTGTAGTAATACAGACATATGATGGTAGCTATACTAGTAATCTTAAAATAATTTTTTTTCTACATAAACATGAGCTTGTCAATAAGACTGTAATATCAAGGAGATTTTTTTCTTTGAGCAATTTCTATAAATATGGTTACCTGTTTACATATTTTCCCTGTATGGCAAATAACTTTACCTATACTTATCATATGTTTAAAGAAGGATCAAAATCAGCAAGCATGAGCTATCTTAATTGACCAGCTTACTTTTACTTTAAATAAATAAATTAATACTAGACAGTTTTCTTCATTGAAAAATGTGACCAACCTGCCTTCTCAGCATCAGCTGCAGACATGAAGTTTCCAGTGAGGATAATCTCCATGGCCTTTGATTTCCCTACAGCTTTACATAACCTCTGGGTTCCTCCAGCCCCTGCACAGCCATTGGATATAAAGACACATTATTTATTCAAATGAAGCAGAAAACCCATATCTATCTCAATCACTAAGCCACTGTCATATTGCATAGGACCAAGATCAAAATACAGTTGGTTTGGCATAACGTGCCTAAACCAGAAAAATTGTGAAAATGAAAATTATATTCATTTGAACAATAAAATATTAGTTGTTCAGGTTATTTCTTTCTGGAAGCTGCTGAACTGATTTGAAAAGTACATCTATCGATCTCTCACATGAGATTTAATTGTGAAAGATTCAAGTGCCTTTCTGAATTATATTGTTCTGACGGCAGATACGTGTTGGTCTCATAAGCTACATACATAAGGAATATGACTGAACTGATGAATCTGTGCCTGTCTGTATCCATAAATGACAACTCTAAGATAAAACAAATAGTAACTTAGCACAGTCATTCTAATTTTTCTTTGTTTTTTTGTCTTATTCCAAAGTATAGAACAATACTTGTGGATGCATACTATGTACTGTGGAAAAAAACTAAGTCATAGTTGAGAGGAGGAAATTTTTCATCCAGATTTTCTAAGCAACTATTGACTCATTAGTAAACTGGACAATCTGGAACATGGTCCATTGATAGAAGTGAACAAGATTTGGTGTTAAAACACGGAAACATTATTTTAAAATTCTTATGTCAAAGTGGATAGAGATGTCCATGAACCATGATTGACAAGTATATAAAATGGGAAAAAATCATATTAGTTATTTCAAATTTGTTTCTAAAGTACAGAAATTTGATAGAAATAAACCTCAAATTCAAATTGAATTAGTACGGTGGTTAGAATGAATATTGGTTTAAACTTTAAATAAAAACAATGAACTGATTGTAAATAAGAACGACTTCACAATTCCCTGGACTGTGAAATTATGGTAACAAAAGCATTCCCTGATACATGCACACATAAAGAAATGACTGAGCATTTAGAAATACTGCCAACCTTTCACAAATTGGCGAGCCACTCAAAAGTTAGATCAGAATTGCCATAGGTAATACTTTCTCAGGTAAAAAGGTTCACTATAAATTAAATTAGATTTTGCCTGGCCAATGTATTGGCTAGTCAATTTGTTAGCCTCCTCCAGCTGTGACCAAACTCACTCAGCTTACAATTTATTCCAAAACCTATCCCAAGTTTTTCCTGATTTCTCAGAATTTTACAAATTTGTAAATAAAACCTCCACCTTCATTGCTGAATGGAAACTTCCACAAAAGTGTGCTGTAGTGACACCAGTATATTTATGAATGATTAAGTGACACAAGGAAAACTCTCAGAAATTATTCTACTGAGTGTTTTAGACTCCTGACAGCAATACTTCATGCATTTAATTCTATATATTCATTGTAAATGCTACCTACCCACACTGAGCACCCCTTAGTCAGGTTACAACAAACCAAGGTACTTTTCATGGTGGCCTAAACTATTCATCCTTTATTTTCTATTGTACATCATCATCATCACAAGTTTTGTGCTACACATCCAAATTTTTGGGACTTCATAATTTCTTGCAATCTTTAGCTGACAAAGAATGCCTTAACTTCAGCTTGTTTGGCATGATGAGTGTAACCTCTAGCTGTCCAAACAGTGTCTTTTCACCAACTTACCTAATATGGTGCCCAGCTTAATATCTGGCTGTCCAAACTCCAGCGTACCAGGTATGGTGCCCAGTGTAATTTCTGACTGTCCAAACAGCATCTTCTATCCAACTTACCTGGTATGGTGCCCAGTGTAATCTCTGGCTGTCCAAACTGTGCCTTCTCTCCAGCATAGATCATGTCACACATCATGGCCAGCTCACAACCTCCTCCAAGCTGAAAATTATTAACATTAAATACCAAGCTGCCATGCAATAATCAATATGAAACAGTTACAGAGCCATAAAGGTTTTCTGTGCTTCTGGAAACTTTTAATCTCCTTATGTTTTTGATTAAGCTAGGAGTTTTCTCAATTAACATTATTTCATTCTGGAGCCCCCTCCCCCACCATGTTACTACCATTTAAGGTTGCAGAGAAGCTACAGTATTTAAAGATTTTAGAGATTGGAAACTATGCCCATTCTACATGAATTAAGATATACACTGCCAGTAATATAAACTGAATTAATCACCTATACCAAGTCCTATATTAGGTAGCATCAATAATTTACATATTTGAGAAGTGTGACCCTTCATTTATCAACAAGTTTAATCTACTTACTGCATAGCCATTCACAGCAGCAATGATAGGTTTGGAACACTTTTCAAGCTTTGACCAATGAGCAAGAAAGTTTTTCCTCCAAACATTTGAGAATTCCTGAGTTGACATTTCCTTGATATCTGCTCCAGCTGGGACAGGAAAAAAACCATCAGTTCTCATATAACAATAGACCCACAGGCTTTAACGGTCATCTGACTATAAAGACCATATAAATAAGAGGCCAAATTGACCTGAAAAGACTGCTTAACTTACAGCTTACAAAGAAGACATTGTTGGTTCATAAAAAACATTTTCTGCAAACTTAAAATTATATCATTAAAGCTATACACATTTACAAAAGTTCAGGCATAATTTTGAAATGACTTTAATTTAACAAACAAAAATACATTCCTCTGACCCAGAAATGATTCATATCTAAACGTTATGTTAAGTTAAATACTGTCATTTAAAAGCAGAATCAATGTATTTACCAGCGAATGCTCTGTCCGACCCTGTAAGGACAATGCAGCCAACACTGTCATCTACATCAAAGTTTTCAATGGCATCATTAGTTTCAATCATCAAGGCATCACACAAAGCATTCAGAGCTTTTGGCCGGTTCAACTGAATAAATCCAACATTCTTATTCTCACCACGCTTTTCCACCAAAATATGTTGATATTGGCCTGAAAATAGATATACCGTAAAAACCCATGTAATGTCCGCACTTTTTTTCACCGAATAGATCTTAGTGAAATGTTAAATGATGTTGCTGTTAGTCAACATAACTTAACAGGAATCCAAGTACATAACTGTACCTGGAATTTCTCAATAAAGGTTGCTATGACCCTATCCTTTGTATGCAACACTCCTCTTCATCATTAAGTATATGCATACAGCATAAATCTTAGCCCAGACACCTGAAATTTTGTAATCAAGTTCAAAGGTCAAATAGTGAAGTGATGTCCCCAACATGGGTATTTTTCATTGTGTAGTGCCTTTCCATGATTTAAATCTAATACATGTAATTTGTGGCTGTATATTTTGTTTACAATCATTTTTTCTACATTTTAAACTACTGAAACTGAGACCAGATGGACATGCACAATTTTTCATATTGATCATTAACTTCTTTTCATTGCATGGCCAGTTATATTTAAGGGAGGGGGTATCACGTCTAAAGGAATGTCAGTTTCCTAGCAATGTATCAGTAAGTGGCGCAATCATGTCAATTATAGGATATTTAAGCAAGCTATGCCATGGTATGTTGTTTTACATGTTAAAATTCATAAAAGAAATGAAATCATTTACTGCTTACCTGTTGATTTTCATTCACAAATTAATTATGATGTTATATGTAAATATGGTATATCTGTCTCGATCTATTCATAGCAACAAACTGCATGGAAATAAAACATTGTCTTTCTTGAGACTTTGTTGTTACCATTGAAATAAAACTTGTTGTCACCATACAACATACTTTCAAGACTGAAATATTCCCCTTTTTGGCATATCTAATGTCTTCACAGGATTTCCAATGTAAGTAAGAACTAACTTTTGGCAACGGACATAAGTTAATAATTACCTTAATATTGACTTCCTCACTTTCATTTCATTGTTTCAGAAAGGAACCAATTTCAACTTGGCTAGTTCCATACTTTTTTAAAATATATACCATATCAATGTTCATCATTGTCTCTTCAATTAACAAAACAACGCTGTACCTAGAGTGTCGTGGATTGTGTATGTGAAAATGGAAGTTTCCAAGTTGTGCTGTGTAAACCTTTATTTTGGTCCTTCAACTTCTATTTAAAATACATGTTTCTCCGAGTTTCTTTAGGCACATGTGACATCTCAGAGTCTTCAGAATCTGATGGCTTATCTACTTGCATACACAGCTTGATTTTCATGCATTTAAATTAATTTTAGTTTGTCAATATCAAGTCACATAACAAAGGCAGGAAGTAACTGTCACAGTAACTGAATTTTAATATGCGACTCGAATGTTTATCTTTTTAAAAAATAAGGGTCTCACTATAAAAAAACATTTGATCTAAAACATTTCATAAAATACCGCCAGAATTTGAAACGCCTGTGATTATTTCTCAAAATGTTTATGCAAAAATTTACAATTCATGACAATTTGTTCTATGTACTCTCATCACAACGTAATATGCATTAGTCAGCAAAAAATGAGGAATGTTTCTGTTTCATGAACTTATGAAAAAAAAAACTGTGCTTCTCTAAATAGAACATCTTGATGCAACATAGAAATTCCACACGAAGCATTAGAAATTAAAGCTACCAACAACTACGAGCACCTGCTCGACATAACACGAGACTTACCTCCCTTTCGTTTATCTTATCGACCTTGTGAGGACAATTGTAAATTGGAAATCAATAGAGCAAAAATGACAACTATTTGCGCGAATATGAGATTTGCTATACCTGATGACATGCATCTTAGGGGTTGCCATGCGACAGGTTGTGCTGTATTAAGTGCATTTGTAAACAGCACCCTCTTCGAAAGAGATGCGATCGTCCTGAAAGCTGCCATCTTTGCTGCAGTAATCTGTAAATGAAAACGCTGTCCAGTGATTTGTTTTTTAGAACTGGTCTAATTTAGTTAAGATGTATATAATTATTAAAGGTGTTAGTGACTAGTTGAATCATTGATGAAACATTCACAGAGAAATGTCTTAACATTTTATCTTGCTTTGATTAGAGAGTAATGATTCGGCCTTCAACCCCAAGAATGGTCTTGGTCATTTTTGCGTTTGACTGATAATGCACTCTGAAGCCTTGCGTTGGGGGTGTGTGATTTGTTGACGAATTTCATTTCCGTAAATTATAAATAGGACTTGGCATAACTTAAACCTTTTATCAATGTTGTCGTAAATTCTAAGCATTCACAATGAATCTGGTTGGAGATAACCAGTATGGCAATGGGTTGCTCTATGCTGGATGGAACCAAGACCAAGGTTTGTATGATTTTCCACATATAGTCAATGGGTTATATCTGGGCCTGCTAAAATGGGACCAGACAGATTGGATTTTGGTTATTAGATGTTTTAAAGATTCCTTGATTGTCATTTCATGAGCACACTTTATCTAAGTTTTCGTGGAGATGTCGAGTCATTCTATCGTTTAAGAAATTAAATAGTTCGATGATATCTAGTACGTCTCTGGTAATATGGAAAAATAAATATAAAAAGAAATTAATACAGATTCATAAAAATACAAACCACATACCAGGCCTACAAGGAGGACTCAGTCCATTGATATGTATGGGTTGGAGCTAACATACAACTATCATGGTCACTTAACCATTTATAAACATTTATGCATGAAATAACTATGTTCTTGCCCATGTTTCCAAACATGAAAATGCATTTTCTATCTCCTTGCCACATTAGTTTCGGACCCCATGATAATCATATTTCAGAAGCAATGCTACATCAATGAGTTGCAAACGAAACAATACATGAATGTATTAAAATGTGTTCATAATATGAAATCTATTCAATAAAGTGATCAGTGAAACACTGTTTTTTTCTTTTCTTTAAGATATCCACAAATACGACCTCAAATGTCACCTGAATACAGACATATATATCACTAAATCACAGAGACATTTGAGTTAGCCTAACAGTGGCCCAAAAGTGCACAAAATTTACAAAACATCATTATTTAGAACAGTAATGACAAGTCAATAAAATGAAAATCCAAATAAAGACATTTCCAGAAAATGGTCGATGTCTACATGTCTTGTTTTTGTCTACATGTACATCTTCTCTAATGGTTAAATTTAAAGTTTTTACTCTTTTATCTTCGTTTTTCAAATGAGCCACATTTCTTAACTTTCTTTCATACCACAAACTTTTCAAATAAGGTTACTTTCTCATGTGCTAGTCAGCAACTCACTTGTTGATTTTAAAATCATTATTTTTCCAATTTAAGTTGTGCATGTTTGAATGTTTATCGAAAAACAAATTACAACGATTATTATTATTATTCATGACCGATTTTGATTAACTTAACAGACGACAACAAAATACCAGCATCCGAAGATGGATTACTGACCTATTTTATGATATCTTAGGGGATGTTTGGCATGTGAAAATGTGTGTTAAGAAAAAGTACCCAAATTTGCCATTTAAAAGAACACTCATGATTTATGAAAAATGTTTATAATATAAGTTTTTGCTTCTTTCCGGAAGCATCACATGTCACAGTGACCAAAATCAATAATCAGTAATAATATATACATAGAGTCAGCGCAACAATTTCTGTCCATGTTGTACATGTGTGGATTGTGACATTGGTGTGCTAATGTTCATGTGTTGTTAGTTATATAGGAGAGATCTAGACATTCCACACATATAGTCAATAAGTGACCATCCATTTTACTTCCTGCTTGTGTAAAGTTATTTCACAACAAAGATTTTATATTTAATTCAAGCCTTTGTGTATGATTAGTAAGTTATATAATCATAGTTTACTGTATATAGATATATATATATCCATGTAAGCCCATTTAGTTCTTGTATAAAATAAAGATTGTCCAAATTTAATGATGAACAATGTCACTTTGAGGTCTGACATATTTAATTATCAGAATGAAAACCAAATTAACTATAAACTGAAATTTCGGCTCACAGTTAAAATTTAAAATTCATCAATATCATCGGAGTATACATGCAATCAGTAATACAATGTATTGCTATGTTATATGAGTAATGAAATATTAGGCTGTATTTAGTCTCTTCTGACCTGGTTCACATTGATATCACTCCACACTCTTTTTTGTCAGTAACACAAATACAGTTGCATGTACAGCATCAGACTTTGCAGATGAACCGAGTTGAAGATCTGAACTGTTTGCTCCGTACCAACTGAGTTAATTCATGCATGGGATTATAGGCCATCCTCCTTCATGCTTGTACCAGAATTGCTTTTGACAACATGTAGTGGGCCTTCTGCATGGTGTTCATTGGCCAATAAACTAAGCAATCAAACAATACATTTCAACCTCGACCATACAATAATTAATATAACTTCATATCCTTTCTGCATATCTGGTATCAGAACCCACATGTTTTGGAAAATTAAAAAGTAGTTACTCAAGAAAACTGAAATGATATGTTTAATTAAGATTTTTGTGTGGAAATTTATCCCTCATAGTATTTACTTTTCAGACCATGTGATCTTTGATTAAATGCTGATGTTTCTTTCTTTTTTCCCCCAAGGTTGTTTTGCTTGTGGAATGGAAACAGGTTTTCGGGTGTATAATTCAGATCCTTTGAAAGAAAAAGAAAGACAAGGTATGACACACTTCTATTTGTTCTATATTATAATTGTAAACAAAATTAAATAAATAAACAACAAAATCAGTCCAAAGACATACATATCTATAGTAACATGTTTGTATATTGAAATTTTGATATGATAAAGTTATAATGTAGATTTATTTTGGATGATTACATTTTATGTAAATTTCTATTCAAGCTCAAGATTAATCAAGTTTCACATCATTAGTTATTATGAGAAACAAAACAATTTGGGTTAAATTCATGTATGACCTAATTCGCGAGCTGGTCAACAGACCTCAATAGAATATGAAATTGTCTTTTGAAGAATGTAAGTGAACATGAAAAAAATTTATGTGAGCTGTTCTTAAAGATATAAATACATTACCAAGAGGTGTTATTGCTTATTTTTTTTTAAAGATTTTGCTGATGGAGGAATCACTCACATTGAAATGCTGTTCCGATGTAATTACCTAGCATTAGTTGGTGGAGGGAAAAACCCAAAGTACCCTCCTAATAAAGGTTTGTGGTCAGCACATGCTGCTGTTCTTCTAAAGTTTTGTGTCAATGTTCAAAGTACCAATATCTACTGTCAGCAAAGTTATAAGAATGATCAGTACAGTAAAACTCACTTGTGTCGAACACGCATGAGTCGAACACATCGGATGAGTCGAATGTTTCGTAAGGTCCTGATTTTTTCTCCTCTTTATCTCAGTAAATTAAACACAGATGAATCGAACACTGTTGAATCAAATACTGTGGTTGTGTCGAATATATTTTGTGGTCCGTCCCTTCTAAATTGTACAAAAAATTTGTGTCGAACATTCAGACGCCACGTTGTTTCAGGTAAAATTTCCTTGTCGGTAACGAGTGTGATCGGTCAGCCGTAACGGTGACCAATATGCACAATGTAATGTCAGGGTATCGATCCACCTAATCCTTTTGTTTATACAGGTAAATCATTTGAAAAATTGAAAGTAATAATTAACATTATGTCTTAAAAAAAGTATGTGGTCAGGTTTTCAAAAAAGAATGAACAGAGCAATGCATTTGTTCAAGAGATAGTTTTAGTTAGATAGAAATATACGTGGAACAAAAAAAAATGAACATCTAAAGAAAATGTCAAACACATTATATAACTGTGGCGAAAAGAATGATGGACTTTATTGTTATTGGACAGTTATGGTTTGGGATGACCTGAAGAAAAAAAATGTTATAGAATTGGAATTTTCCACGGAGGTGAGAAGTGTGAGACTGCGACGAGACAGGTAAGATTTTGTACATGTTGTTATTGTGTATAAAGGCAAGAGATACTCAAAAATCACAGAAAAAAATCTAGTGGTATATTACATATCACTGTATGTATTTTAAATACCTACATTATATTCAGCCGATACAATACACATTTACTCATATGCATATTTGTTTTGTGATAAGCTAGCCCATATGTATTGCTCTCCAGTCGAATTACCAGATTTTCAGATTTAGTTGCCTCCCTTCCCACATGTGACAGCAATGATAATTATGCATGGTCTTCAACCAGAAACGATGCACCACCTCTGAAAAATTTCGTAAATAGATGAAACTGCTGGATGACCAAGACTAGAGTTACTGTACCAAAAACATTGCTGTATCCCACTTTTACTTAGGTAATTAGGAGACCAATGTTCTGTTGACCAACATTGATTAAGTTGAAGAACCGACTCTGATGCGGTGGTGATTGATATACTTACCAGATTTTCTCCACTGCTCAGTCACCCTGCATACTTCCGGGTATCCAGTTCACATTAAAACTAGATATGAATTGCGGAATATATTTTAGTTTGGAATAAGATATTTTGACTATGATATAACTTTATAACAGATGTACATGGACACTACAACACAGTAATGCAGACACAATGCAATATGGAACTCCACCAATCAATATGAAAGTCGATATAAATTTTTTTTCAATATGGCATGACTTTTACTTTTTATTTATTTAATTCACAAATGGAATTACAATAGCTACACCCTATCAATGATTAGGTACAATATACTAAAAGCCTAGTTTATTCTGATTTTTCTGTTTCAGTAATTATAAAGCTCTTTTAAGGTTTTGCCTTTTTTCTTTCGGTATCACATGATAAGTATGATACAACAAATATGATACATGTATGTTTTGTTTACAGGATAAATATGATACATGTATGTTACAGCTGATATCCCTGTATCTTTTGTTGACAGGATTGTGGTAGTGCTTGATACTATGATCAAAGTTTACACATTTACACAAAATCCACAACAGCTTCATGTGTTCGAGACTTGCTCCAATCCTAAAGGTATAATGATGCTTATATGTGGAATAAAAATTATTTTTCTGACAAAAATTTTGTAATTATAAATACACAAGGTTTTCATTGTCTAATGGTGTTCTTGATAATGTAAATATTCTCTTCTTTATACTTATATGCAGCTTCCAAATTATTTTAAATTAGATTATGAAAAACCATGGACCTTAACCCAGATGCATATTAATTTTTTACATGTATAATCAATTTAGACTGAGTTGTCTTTCCATGGAAAGTACTAAACACATTTGAATGTAATTCCAAACTGGACTAGAATCAATCATTATATTCTGATATATGCTGTCTTCACTAATTCAAAGTTCTTGTAATATAAGGACACATTGTTTTTCAAACAGGATTTACAAATACCTTGGTACTTGCTTTTGAGTCTAAAAATACACTCTGCTTTATCATTTGAAGGTTTGTGTGTGATGTGCCCGAACAGCAACAATTCTCTGCTCACCTTTCCGGGACGTAAAACTGGACATGTCCAGATAGTAGACCTGGCCAACACTGAAAAATCACCTTTAGATATTGCAGCTCACGAGGCTGCACTCAGTTCTCTAGCACTTAATTTACAGGGCACCAGATTAGCTACGTCATCTGAAAAGGTGCATTCTGTCTTTCTCTTACATCAAATTACCAGACTCTTGAAAATAATTATCCATAACATCTGAAAATATTCACCCTCATTTGATTTAAATATTGAGTGTCACAAGTCTAATTATAAATGTTGAAATTTGCAGAAAAATGAAGATTTGAAATTAAAGTTCAGCAGATGAAATTAATTTTCATTGACTTTGTCTACTTATCTTGTAATTCAGGGTACTCTGATCCGAGTGTTTGACACTATATCATTGACTGTGTCTATCATTTAATTCAAGGTACTCTGATCCAAGTGTTTGACACTTTATCAATGACTGCGTCTATCATTTAATTCAGGGTACTCTGATCCGAGTGTTTGACACTTTATCATTGACTGTGTCTATCATTTAATCCAGGGTACTCTGATCCGAGTGTTTGACACTATATTATTGACTTTTTCTATCATTTAATTCAGGGTACTCTGATCCGAGTGTTTGACACTATATCAGGCTTACAACTTCATGAATTACGAAGAGGAGCTAACAACGCACACATTTACTGGTTTGTAACTAATATGTCTTCAGTACCAACAATTATTCCATGTCTTAGGATAAACTCATTAAAATTTGTTGTGGTTTGAATAAAAAATTATTTGCTTTAAAATATATTTGTGCTTTTATACAATGTACTGATTTACACACCTCAAGAATTTAATGCATTTTCTGATGGTTTCAAGTTGTCCAGTTATAGAAAAATATTTCTTGTTTTATGAAGTGACACTAAAGTAATAACATTTGAAGTAATTTTCAAATTAAATTGTCAAGAAGAAGAAAATCTTCAATTTTAAAAATTTTTTATCAGAATTTAAGGGGAAAAAATTGTGATGATAGGTGCATCAAATCATGTATGGATGGGAAGGTGTTTCATTAACCATAATAATAACCAACTTATTTAATCATGTAATGACATATACTGATCGGCTGCACACTTAAAAGAGTGATTACAAAGAATTTTTCTTTGTGAACAAAATAAACCATTTGGTTGATTTTTACTTAGTGCATTATTTGTTAAGCCAAGAGTATAATGTTAATAACATGCTTATATATTCACCTAGAAAGAAATTGACTTTCCATTGTATTTTTACAGCATTAATTTTAATCAAGACTCAACGTTTCTGTGTGTAGCCAGTGACCATGGAACTGTACACATTTTCTCAACGGAGGATTCCAAGAAAAACAGACAGTTAAGGTAATTTAGGACAACCATATGACACTGGAGTGTTTTTTCCCCAATTACTTTTCACACTGAATAAATATGTTTCAAAAATGATAATAAAGAACGTTACAGCAAGTTGAAATGCTAAATATTCTTCCTTGTACAGGTATTGCTCCTATATGGTATTCTCATCTCCAAAAACCATATCATTTTTTTGAGAGAGACTTTAGCAAATAATATCATTGTACAGTTTCTGGTACTGTAACATGGCTGTATTCTTGTTCTATGATTTACAACATACGGACCTGTTTCTGGTACTGTAACAGGCTGTATTCTTGTTCTATGATTTACAACATTGGACGGGCCAGTTTCTGGTACTGTAACATGGATGTAAACATGTTTTATAATTTACAGCATTGATAGAGCCAGTTTCTGGTACTGTAACATGGCTGTATTCTTGTTCTATGATTTACAACATTGGATGGACCTGTTTCTGGTACTGTAACATGGATGTAAACATGTTTTATAATTTACAGCATTGATAGAGCCAGTTTCTGGTACTGTAACATGGCTGTATTCTTGTTCTATGATTTACAACATTGGATGGACCTGTTCCTGGTACTGTAACATGGATGTAAACATGTTTTATAAATTACAGCATTTGTAGAGCCAGTCTCTCGTACTGTAACATAGCTGTATTCTTGTTCTATCATTTACAGCATTGGGTCGGCCAGTTTCTTGCCCAAATACTTCAGCTCTACCTGGAGTTTTTCCAAGTTCCAGGTACCCGGTGGTGCTAGATGTCTGTGTGCCTTTGGTGCAGACTCCAACTCTGTGATCGGTAGGTTGTTGCATTGACACTGTAAAAACAACAAATTCAAAAGATGAACTCTTATAGGCATCACTTGATTTCATAAGATGTCATTTACTGAATGTTTTTTTATTTTGCTGATTTCTGGTATTTTCTCGAGACTCTTAAATGCACAAGATGAATCCTGCTGATTTTCAGAATCGGATGTCAAATGTCAAAATACTTTCAGGTAACTTAGCAGAATTTTTCCAACAATGTTCTAGAGGTTTACATGGCGAGAAACTTATGACAGGTGACTTGTTACTTCAACTTCCTGAAGCGATTTACCTTACTCTGATTAAAGTTTCCATAGTTCGCATTTTGATAACATTTAGCATTTTCGCACAAATTAAAATTTTAAACATGGTAAACCAATTATTTCTTTCTGAAAATCCGTGCAAAAATCATAATTTTTGTTAAAAAATGGTTAACTAAACATTTTCCAGCATAAAGCAGAAAAAAGAGTTACAAAGTGTTATGTTGATAAAAAAAGTGGAATACAAGTATGCACACGGGAAATTAAATGGAATTTATATACATTTGTACTTTGGATTGATTGAAACCACCATTTAAATTTAAAACCAGCTCAAGCAAGTGATTGAATGAATTAGAGTTCCTTTCATGATAAATATGTGATGATGATGACTGATTTGAAGATTTAAATCCGGTGATGAATACCTATAAAAACACACAGTTGTCATCAAGTTTTACAGCATAGGATTGACAAATTTCTAATCTACAAAATATATGTGTTACTGTCAACATCATAAGCCTCCAGAAGTTACATTATAGCACACACACATTTTCAGAACTGTTCAAGTGTCTGAAAAGCTGTAATATTTTGGATTAAGATAGCTACTTGTCTAAAAAGTTCTAGTCTCATCACAATCCATACACATATCAAAAGTTTTAAAACCCTTGTGTGTCCATACAAAAACTTACCTTTTAACCTGCGATATTGCCAAAATTACTATATAAATTTACAACAACGACCCCCCCCCCCCAACCCCCCAACCCCAATTCCAACTTGTCAACATTATTGTAACCACCATCCCTTAATGTCTGTGTGAACATGGTGATTACAGACATTAAATAAAACTAATACCAGTATGACAGATGCAATTGTTTACCTAAAATGTGAAATGGACAATATTAAACTTCAAATTCATTAAAAACTCCACCAAAATTATTTATTGTTAAGGGCTCCTATTTACTGGAGGCCACAAAGGATCTAGATATATTTAATTATGTTTCTCAAACTGCATCAATTTGTTGCCATGGCTACAGCATAACTGTCCATGTAGTATTACACCTGTACTTAAAAGAATTGTGTTTTCGTGCAAATTTTCATAGACAGTGTCATTGCTCTGTCTTTTTTTCAATAGTTTTTATCGTCACTGTAACTTCATTGTATTTTCCTTCCATTTCCAGTGGTTTGTGCAGATGGCAGTTACTACAAGTTTGTCTTCAACCCCAAAGGGGAATGTACTCGTGATGTTTACGCCCAGTTTCTGGAGATGACTGATGATCGATCATAGTTTTAAGTTTCCTGTATGTTGTCTTAAAACAAACACTCAAGTGTATCTGCCTGTAAAGTTTTCAATGCCATGGAAAATGAAAATCAAATCTCCTACCTGCACTTAGTTTTTAACACTTCACACCAAGCCTCAAATATGCCATACCATTTATTCCGGTCCAGGTTAACACACCACAGATTTCATCCAAAGTCAACACTCCACACCACAGACTCAAAAGTTCCATCCAAGGTCAACACTCAACTTCAAATGCTCACAAATTCCATCTCAGGTCAACACTACATGCCTTATATTCAACTGAAAGTCAACACTCCATATAATAAATTTCATTCAAACAAGGTCAATATTCCAAACCATAAATCCAATTCAAAATCAACATACATTCTAGGTCAACACTGCACACCACGAATATTCATCCAATGTCAACACAGCACACCACAAATATTCATCCAATGTCAACACAGCACACCACAAATATTCATCCAATGTCAACACTCCATACCACAAATATCCATCCAATGTCAACACTCCATACCACAAATATCCATCCAATGTCAACACTGCACACCACAAATATCCATCCAATGTCAACACTCCATACCACAAATCCCACCAAAGCTTCACACAACACCTGTTCTCCAGGATCAGTGCTTAGAAAGTTGCAATATGTGTTTGATACTGCTCCTCCCCAATACCCCCACTCCTTCACAAAGCTTGTGTCACATTAATTTCAGTCATAATATTCATTGTGAGGTAGAGTCCTTCCCTATATTTAGCATCAAAACTGCTTACATTCCATCTCGTTAGAAAATTGAGAAATCATTTTTATATATGTGTTAAATGGTATTCAAAATATTGAAGTGATGTGATTTAGCTATCATAATACTTTTCGCTTAATGTGCTTTAATTCAAATTTCTACATTATAAATCTAATAAATTTACATTTTTCAAAGATAGAACATCTGGAAACACCTTCAGGACGTGACAAGTGTATCAGTGTTGATAGATTTTCATTGCTATATCTATTAAATGAATTAATTTGACATGCATTATCAATGTATACTGTTTGTCTGGAGTAGCCTGTTAACTGTGATGTATGTGCTATACTAAAACTGCCTAGTAAAGCAACATTTGTGTAAGTTTAATAAAGCCAAGCATGGGTTTTTGATTTTGTGCTTTAGTGTTTCAATTTACCTTGATATCCTGCAGTAAGCCCAGGAGGCCAGTACATTACTTAGACAGAAATCAGAGGGTGGGCTTATTACAAGCTGATGGAATACTATTTGTTATTTTACTAAACAGCAATAGAAGGAATTGAGGCTTATTACAGGGTATTCAATGATTGTTATATGGAATATAGGAGCAGGTTGTTTACAAGCATAAAAAACCTCAACCCATACACATCATTTCATTGGCGACAAAAATATTTTGTGTGGTCAAATTAAGTTTCCTTATTCACAGAACATACATGATAGATGTGATTTACCCATTAAAATTTGTCCAACTTGTTTGTGATGATAAAATAAGACCAGTTTTTATTTTTTTAAACCTTAGGTTTTAAATGTTTGTATCATACTATGTTTCTATGATAGAGTGCCATTTCAATCTTGTACATTGGAGATGTACCTGGTACATGTTTACTTATGATGATTGCATTATACATTCAATAATGGCTAGATGTCTTATCCTGCTGTTTGTAACATAAAAATACTGGTTTTTATTGTTGAAAAATGATAAATATAAAACTAGTTCTTCAATATTTGTCATATGATTAGATTCAAATTCTGTTTATAAAATTCTGCAGTAATTACAAATCAGAATATGCTTCTGTACTTGAAAGACCCATCCTGTAAATTTTGAAAATATTGTATGGCAATGGTATATTTCTCAGAATAATGAATTTAGAAATTGTTTGGTATTTCATTTGTCATGTATCTTCAGCATTAAACTTTATCACACGTTTGCCACGTCACACAGTGAATATACTTAAGTCATATGTTTTAGTATGACTAGTGAAGGAAGACCTAACGTGACGTCATACAATGATAAGTATATTATGACCTCACACTGGAGATCAAAGATAAATATATAAAGTCTCGCAAAAACGATTTCAAGAATGACATAATGGTATCAACAACAAAAAAGTGATCATGTGATAAAATGGATGTTAATTTTGTTTTCATTTTTTTAACAATTTTTTCACTTCTGCCTGCCTTAGGATCGCTTAATTTATGCACCGCATATGAAATGGAAGCTGTTGTATATATATATATAACCCAAGGACACAATATTATCTCTGTATTAACGTCAACATACCTGGAATGTTGTACAGAGAAACCTTTTTAGTCAATAAAGCTTGCTGCAATAGCACTATCAACATCAGGTACTGTAAATGTATATGTTTAAGAGGTTATCTTATTTCAATACTTTTTGTTCTAAAGATATTGCACTACAATAGGATTACACTAATAGCAGTATCTGTATGTCATTGATATAGCAATTCCTACAAATGCAACAATTCACCATTATGCTTATTTGTTCAAAGCTTTTATTGCTTATAAATGAAATTGCGCCAAAATAAGTATGTTTACAGTAAATAGAAGGTTTATGCTGAGGTTTATTGGTATTGATAAACATTTTTGTGTTGATAAAAGGAGTGATTGCAAAAAGGAAAAAAAAAAATGCATGCTATGTAGAACTGCTTTCATATTTCTTACTAATCCCCAAAAAAATTGTTTCTGATTTTCAACTGGAAAGGAAAATTAGATTATCCTGAAATCAAATTTTCAGTTAGATTAAATGTTCATGAAACTTATAATGTTCATTCGTCTTTATATTGGATTAACTGGTGAATTTTTGTTAAATTTAATCTCTTTTTTTTTTTTTTTTAATTATTTTTTTTACCATCAGAGTTCAGCTTGAAAGATGTTTCTATTTCTGGTGTGTAATTTCCTTGCGCTTCGTCTGGAAAAGAAGATTATCAAATTTTCAGCTAGATGAAAAAATGTTCATGAAGCATTCATTGTTTTCATGTACATTTATCTCTATATTGAATTGAAGTAATTGTGGAATTCTTATTGTATTCAATCTGGTTTTTTCACGACCAGAGTTGCTTAATAAAAATATGTATGTTAATACATGTATATACTATATATATATATAGTGTTGTTTAATATCTTATTTCCCCATCTGCCAGTAATATACTTATTCTATATACATATCCACCACACTAAAATATAACTACACAATCTATGTTATTACCAGTAATACTGGATGCTTCATGTATCTATGAACAGATATGTATGAGGTTCAGATCATATTTTGGTGCAATACATCTTCCATATTATAAACTTCGATGTGATGTCATGTTTCTATCTATTATTGTATTATGCATGTGGTATAATAAAACTTGAAAAACAGTGTAATATCAGAAGTTGAGAAAAATACAAAATTCACTTACTTATTTTTGGGTATGTTTGTAACAAGGTTGTGTCTCAAATACAAAAACTGTTCAAAATCATGGTGTAAAATCAGTCGATCCTCTTGAGGTAGAAAGTAGTCTATATTTTTTTTTTTTCTATTTTCATAATGAGGGATGTGATTGTACTCAAAATGCATTTTTTTTAAATCGGATGTTATATCCAGTGCTTCTATTGTTTTTACTACATTTTAGGAAAAATGTGTATTTTATCTGATTGAATGTGGCACTCTTTACTACAAAAGGAATTTTTGTGTTGATCAAAATCTTGGTCAGCTATGATATACGAGTACAAAGTAGATTGGAGGGGAACTCAAAGTAAGCATTATTAACTCGTTGACATTTGTTTTATACTACTAAAAGTAAGTACATTCTAAATATCTTAACAATACTAAGAGATTTTGTTTATAATAACTAACCTATCTGTTCATTGCAATTATTTTATAAACCTCATCTGTGAGAATCTATCAGTGTGTGATTAAAGTGAGTCTAATTAATGTCCTATCTCCAAGGTTGATGGATCAAACAGGTTAAATGATTCAATGCAGCGTTGAAATTTCCATGGGTTTTAAGCCAATTGTTGACTGCAGGCATGAATATTAGATTTTTAAGCATTTTGAAATCAGCCGACACAAAATAATACACAGATCAACAGAAAGGATTCTTACCATAAAATATGCACAAACCTAATGTTACAAAAAATGCACAAAGGTCACTTCTGTACCAATATGGAAAAGGGATGCTTTTTTTTTGGGAGTGTCATCTCCATGATAAAAATTTCATGATTGTTGTCAAGTGTAAATCACCAATCAGTTTTTTGATTCACTGTTATGTTAATGATTATGGGATCTAATTCAGTTTTTATTATTTTTTCATTTTTATAACCGCAGACACGGAAAAGAGTGTCCTGGTTATAAAACTATATATAATGGTCGATTGTTTAATCTTATTATGATATCAAAATAACGTAATGTTTTTTGCTGCCTGACATCAATATGCCATTTTTCACACTTTTTTCAATATCATGACGGTGAACGTTCAAGTGGCATTAATAATACATCTGTACGACACATTTTTCTTTTTAAGTTCTAAATATATGGACTGAAACCAAATACTCATTTTAAACAATATATAATTCTATTTTCATTTGTACATACAGGCAAAAAATTTAAAGAGGAATAAATATATATTTGTTTTCAATTTGCTTTTGTCTGGAATCTAAATTTTATTAAGTATTTTGAAGCAAATTCTAATTTTTTTTTTTTTTTTTTTTTAGTTTTTTTTTGTGAATGAGTGAGTGTAAGAATGATTTGTGCCTGGTATATAGTGTGGCTGCGTTATGATACCTCGTGTATAAATAGACCTATCAAAGCACAATGATGATATAGGCTTAGATGTATAGACGCTAGCGTCGGCGACGAGAATTAAATCAGATCAATAAACCAATGTATCACCCTGATTCCACGAATTGTGTTTTTTTTTACACTTTGTTCAAATGAGTTAACTCCATTGTTCTTGAAGGCGGTGCCAGCAACTTAATAAGCACCAATTTTGACTGTCAGAAAGTGTTATCATTTGATCATGTCATTTGATGAAAAATGTTTATTGTCCATGATTGAAAGTCATTTAAATACTTTAAAACATTTGACCTTGTAGACCTTGAAAGTTAGTCGAGATATTTCATCTGAACAAACTTTATGCCAGGATGCTATTGGCCCCCATATCATGATCACGTGCCTCTTTCTTATAATAATAATAAACTTTATTTATTTTACAACAATTGCGAAGCAACTTTTTCCAACTTATATGAATCACTCTTGTTGGCTCGAATGGAAGCGCGCGAGGGGTCTTAGTGTGGGAGGAAACCGGAGTACCCGGGGAAAACCCAAGTAGTAGGGCAGGTGACCCCCATACTTTTTCACATCCATTCCGGGAATCGAACCCTGGACGGCTAGGTGAAAGGTGAGTGCGTTACCACTGCACCACCCGACCACCCTTTTATTTTTTACTATATTTTATATTATATAAATATATTATATTTATGCTCTTTGGTGAACGACGGACGCCGCAACAAACTGGTCGGCCAGATGAGTTAAATATTAGGCAACAAGAAATCCATTTGGAATATTTATTCTTCAAACTTCAACACGGTTAAAACATTTTATGTTATATTGACAAAGACAAATTATTACATGATACAATAAATACATGAACATTGAACTGAAATTATAGTATGAACCTTTGATCTCATAATCTCCAATTATTCTAAAATTCTTTGATAAATATACATGCACAAGTGGTACCTTGAATTATTGTTAAAACTAATTCACAAGATCATCTATATAGTAAGTAATGTGTCTGGCATAAATATGGGAGATTCATAAGCAAGATAAACAACATACCAGGTGATCTTGTCAAAGTATACACAGGTGTTGCCAAAAGCAACTTATTTGAACATAAAATATTTATGTATATTTGACCAATACAAATCGGAAGTGACTATCTGGTCTTCTCTGTTGTTTAAAGGCTGTTTAAAGATAACTAGTGATCAGTGAAAATTTTCAAAAATGAATTAAACAAAATTGGAAACACATTTTTTTCATCTCACAACTGCATGCTTGTTGGGACAGGTCGGATTAATATATTTTGGGTGTTAATTTCGCATTTGGCAGATTGTTCATAGTCAGCAATTTGAATTTTTCACCAACAAATGATAAACATTTAAGCAACTGAGGCCACGCTTCATACAATGTTGATAAACAGGGTTGTATACATGCACATACATGTATTTTTATTATATATAAAACGACTCGTGTGTTTGAGAACTTGTGCATTCTATGTATATCATATGTATGACCCATGGAACTGGGACTTCGCAATTTATGAATAGTCCATCAGGTTTGGGACTTAAGCAATACAACCTATGGGTACACTTATATAATAACTATGTATTCTGAACCACAATTGTGGTAAGTGTATTTAAAATGGGTCATTAAAATCCCTCATAATTTCATATGTTGTACATCATTGATAGAAATACTGTTACCAATTTTAGTGTCCTGTGAAAGTGATGACGACCCGCACTATGTGTTGGAATATTCCGAACACGCCCTTCACATGTCTTTATCCGATCTGGTCCCGTCTGGTAGTCTGGATGAAACGAATTCCGGAAGAGGGACTCTCGTTGAGACGTGATTAGCCATGTCCCAGGAAAACCGAATGGAGTAGTATCCGATAACAATGAAGCTGGAGAGTCCGACCGAGAGGAAACCCACCAGGATAAGGGATCCAACCAATACGAGAGAGGATAGCATCAGGACCACTCCTTCAAATACAAAACAGGCCTAGTAATGCCACAGCCCATAATAATCATAACATATACAAATTGCGTTTATTTTGTACGCCGGCAATATTGGCACTGCTTCAATCATTCATCGCCAAGAAGTATTGTACAATGCGGTAATGTTTCACAAAATCTTTAAAAACACCAGCTATCTATATTTCTGAAAATAGAGAACAAAATCACATTCAACGCAGTTAAACTCATCATCGATATTCCAGGGATAACGATCACTTTCGCTCTCTGCAACCCCACAGGCACTCGAGGCCAGGATATTATTTTTTAAACATTGATTTTTGTTTTAGCACTCATGACTGACGTTATTTAAACGAAATATCAGCAGAATTCAAGTTTATGTGCCGGTTGACAAATCCGAGGTCCACGGTCATTAAAAATACACAAGGCAAGCAACTCCAGATTTTAAAAAATCGACCCCTCGCTTGGAAACTGGCTCAAAAAAAGTAGTTATGATAAGTTCCTTGTAAAACAATATATATCCGTAGGTAGTGTGTATATTTACCTTTTATTTGGTGCATAACATTACAGGCAACGAGAAATTCACAATACGTACATGAGATTAACATCTCAATAATCGGAGATTTTATCGTCCATGTAATTATCTTTGACGGAAGTAACATGCCATTTCAAGGGCGGTCACTCCGACTTTTTGGGAGAGGAGTTCCAGATAGCACTATACCAGTGAACAGGTAAGAAAGGTTCCGATGTCATTTCGCGCGTAACTTCAAAATAGATATTTTTATTTCTACAAATACAATTGCGGGGATGGAAAAATAATGGCTGGGCAAAGAAAGTCCACAGTTGCCAACTCGGATACAATATCATGGTAAGGGATTATACAGAATGCATCAACTTTCAATCAAGCTGGCCGTAATGAGAATTTTTTTTCAAAAAAAAAATAGAAAAAAAATCATGCAGATAATGAAAAAAAGGCGCAATTTATGAAAAATATCGTGGGGGAAATATATTAACTTAGAAATTGGAAATTAAATGATTTTTTTTCTATTTTTTTTTATTTTGAAGTTACGCGCGTAATGACATCGGAACCTTTCTTACCTGTTCACTGGTATAGTGCTATCCGGAACTCCTCTCCCAAAAAGTCGGAGTGACCGCCCTTGAAATGGCATGTTACTTCCGTCAAAGATAATTACATGGACGATAAAATCTCCGATTATTGAGATGTTAATCTCATGTACGTATTGTGAATTTCTCGTTGCCTGTAATGTTATGCACCAAATAAAAGGTAAATATACACACTACCTACGGATACATATTGTTTTACAAGGAACTTATCATAACTACTTTTTTTGAGCCAGTTTCCAAGCGAGGGGTCGATTTTTTAAAATCTGGAGTTGCTTGCCTTGTGTATTTTTAATGACCGTGGACCTCGGATTTGTCAACCGGCACATAAACTTGAATTCTGCTGATATTTCGTTTAAATAACGTCAGTCATAAGTGCTAAAACAAAAATCAATGTTTAAAAAATAATATCCTGGCCTCGAGTGCCTGTGTGCAACCCTAGGACATGTTATGGCAAAATTAAAGGCACAAGCGAAGTAATTTGATTGGCTCCATGGAAAAAACTGACCAATCACAAGCTAATACGCTCTTTTTGAAAATTACAAGGGAGCGACACCCAACTTCAAAGCCATTAAATGTACCATTATGCGACCTCGCGATTCGATTGATGTACATTAAAGGATCAAACTAGTCTTCTTGTCTGGTCCACAAGGTGTCGCACGCGGAACCTTCAATTTTGCCATGACAGTCAGTAGGTTATGTAAAAGAGTCTAAGAGTTTTGTTAAAGATGATGGGTGGCCGGAAATACTTTTTAATTAATATTATGTTTATTATAGAACGTTTGACCTCTGACTTTACCTTCAAATATAACGAATCCAGTGAAACCAAACGTGGTAGCAGCAAATACAAAAACTAAGAAGCAAAACAACGGCACACTGCACATCACCATGGTAACCACCAGGAACAGAGTGATGATTGGGTGATCTGAAATACATTGTTGAATGGTTGCCATCTTCCCTTGCAGATTGAGATAATCATTGATGGTTTGAAGGAACCCTACACTGTCTTGTGTATCTGACGAGTCGGCACCTACAGTTGTTCCTCCCATGATGAAGAATCTGTGAACAGACAGGTGTTTACGGTATTCTTCGTCTTGGTTTTAAGAGAATGAAGGACAATAACTTCCCAAACCTTGTGTCAAGTTAAATTGTTATTTTACATGCAATTATAAATCGTTGGACAAGATTAAAATGCTGATATTAATAAAGGGCAACAACTTTTTTCAAAAATCGTTGAAAATTAATGCAGCTCAGGAAAACAGAGTTCCATTTCAGAGCAACATGTCCTTCCAAGTCTGAAGGAGATCGTTGAAAACTGAGAGTGGTATCGATGCTTTAAGAAACTACAACTCCGTGCCATGGGAATTAAACCTTCCGAGTTTGAAATAGGTCGGTTGAATACTGTGATGGGAAATCAACCAACTGTGATACATGGACTTTAACTGCAAACGAGTGAACGGACATCAGCACACTATGTGTTGTCAATTTTTGATGTGCGCAAAAATGAGAATATTAACTTAAATTAACCGTATTTGAAATGGCATTATGAAATCAAACCACACTTTTCAGCATCTTCGAAAATAAAAGTCAATCCTGTCTACAAAGCCCATTTAGGCGTCCTCTATAGGCAGTTGACTTTCATATAGAGGTTCAAGTTCTATTAATTGCATTACATTGAGAACTGAATGTCGTGTAGAGATGGCATTTATAGACAGGTGTTTGTTCTATAGATGTGGTCTTTATAGACAGGTGTTTGTTCTATAGATGAGGTCTTTATATACAGGTGCTTGTTCTATAGAGGTGGTCTGTATAGACAGGTGTTTGTTCTATAGATGTGGTCTTTATTGATAGGTGTTTGTTCTATAGATGTGGTCTTTATTGACAGGTGTTTGTTCTATAGAGGTGGTCTTTACAGACAGGTGTTTGTTCTATAGATGTGGTCTTTATAGACAGATGTTTGTTCTATAGATGTCTTTATTGACAGGTGTTTGCTTTGTAGATGTGGTCTTTATACACAGATGTTTGTTCTAAAGATGTGGTCTTTATAGACAGATGTTTGTTCTATAGATGTTGTCTTTATTGACAGGTGTTTGCTTTATAGATGTGGTCTGTATAGACAGATGTTTGTTCTATAGATGGTCTTTATAGACAGATGTTTGTTCTATAGAGGTGGTCTTTATAGACAGGTGTTTCTTCTATAGAGGTGGTCTTTATAGACAGGTGTTTGTTCTATAGAGATGGTCTTTACAGACAGGTGTTTCTTCTATAGAGGTGGTCTTTATAGACTGGTGTTTTGTTATTACCTTTATAAGCAGGCTTTGTTATAAAGATGACCTCTATAGACCAATTTTTGCTGTATCAGGTGACCTTAAAAAACGGGGTTTTGTCATATATAGGAGGCCTTTATAGACAAGTTTAAAGAAGTTCCTTATAGAAAAGTGCGTGTCATATAGGCATTGCATTTACAGATGGGTGTATGTTAAATAAAGGTGGTCGATAAGACAGAGTTATAAAAGCGAAACCTGTAAATTCCGATGACAATATTACATCTCTATTCCACTATATCACTTGCATTCATTAATTACATTATATTTAGAAATTCAGATATATTTCGTTACAAGAGTTTTGTCAACAAAAGGTTACCTACCCACGTCCCAGTCAGTACCTGAAGAACGAATTTCTTTCTTTTATAATGTTATACTACGGTCTAAGTTAGAAATCCAAGTCCGTAATTATACACAGATGATATGTAAAGGGTTTATTATCATTATTGTTTATCTGTGTTATTAATAGTTTATCAATTTTCATATCGCTTGAATGATAAAAATATTTGACGATTTTTTTATAAATAGAAATATTCGCGTTCCTGTCTGTAACTTCGAACCAATCAGAATTCTTCTTTGGCTCAACAATAATGAAACAGGAAGTTGAATGTACATGACCGACATTGTAATATTAAAACAACAACAAAACATTTCTTATACGTATAATGTAAATATATACGTTATATGGTTTCTCTGTGGTCTCGTGTATGTAATACTGTGACCAGCTACAGGTTTTTGTGTTTCAACTTTCACTTGTATATACTGAAGTAAACAGCAGTACGTGTATTATCTACCGGTAATTTACCACAGCTTTCTTCGTTAGCGAATTGATAACCTGCTCGGATACTCGTATTCTAAAGAGAAATTTGTAGAAAACTCACCGTTTACAGCAGAAATCGTACACGATATATGAATGGAACACGTTACGGATCTTCGTTTGTAGCGTCACATTGCACGTGATTTTACACTGCAAACCGAAAATACACCAAAGGTCAATATACGTGACGATAGAGGGGCAATGTATTGGAGTGTGCGAAAAGATTTAAATTATTTTAATTACCGGAAGTGGATATTATCTGTGTTTAATGTAAGCTTTCAGAAACATATCTATAACATGTCTTACGTACAATATACGATGTTGATACGTTCAGCATTGTTAGGTTGAGTGTCCCACCCTTGTTTAATGCTGTCTTCATTGATTCAAGAATTACTGTATACAAACACAGAAAATGTATAGATGAAGTGGGTGTCTTTTATGAGTTAATTATTGGCATGTGCTCCAATAAAGTTTCTACATTTATATAGTTTAATTAAAAGAAAATTCTCTCCAAAAATTTCGATGTAGTTTTTTTATACCAACTTGTAGGTAACACAGCTTTCAGTCGCCATGAAAAATAGAAATATGCGAAACAAACATATCAATTTTAATCTACATTGAGAGGAGCTGTCGGTATTCTTGTGGAAAACGAATGAAAAGTCGTTTGTAATTTTTCAACTTGTAAAAATCACAATCTAGCATGGTTAAATTCGAAATGTCGATTGTTTTGAGTCAAATATGAAATAACACAAATATAAAACCTTTTCCGCGTTCTGCTATACGATATTTCGGCGTAATACGTTGAATTGAGTTTGTTAATGCATCATCTATGAAAACTATAGCAATATTCAGCAAATATCGGTGCGCTTTCACATATTACATCATAATGCAAGCCAATGTGTGAAAAAAGTCGCCGTGTATGGATTTGAATATTCATAGCTCAATTACGGATATGTTTCCTTTCAGAAAAGCTTATTGTAATTACCTTCAAAACAAAGAGGATTGGGCAACAAGCAAAGCCTATGAAAGGCCACACACATCCCTAAATTAATTATATGTATTTACAAATATATTATTGATATTCGAATATCAAGTTATGAATATTTAACAATGATTTGTGGATAATTAATAACGAACATTAATTTATTATGAATGTCCTGTGGTAAAAAAACGATCAGGGTTATTAGAACTAATAACGGATGGTGTAAGTATTTATGGAAATATATTTTTTCTTAATAATGTAGATATTTATGCAATCAGGAAAAAAAAACTGGCATGTACCTTGTACAGATCTCCCACGCATGCAGATAGACTGTCGGGATAAATGCGCCTCCTTCAAACAGATCACCGCCATGATACACGTTCTTGTGATGTGAATTAACATCGCTGAATTTATTGATTAACATTCAACTGTACCATCAATAACGTGGATCTCAAGTTCGTGAGTTGGTGTGGTTTAAGTTTTAATTTGATTTCTCATATCTGGAATAAGAGTTGCTCCCCTTTAGCTGATGAGAGCTTTATAACCTGAATATTACTAACTGTATCAGAAGTGTCGTGCATCGACCAAGTTAAAGTTAACAGGGTCATGTCTGTTATCCAACCTGTAGGCCTGTGTGAAAAACAGTGTCACACTAAGATATTGTGATTAGAAATAGACTAATTATTTTCAGTATGCTATATTTCAGAGACTTTTGCAAAACCGTCTACTTATACCTAATTTGTTAATCAATCCATCGCTGGGAGTTGTGGCGTGCTCCTGTAATCCAGCTACCTGGAGGCTTGGTGTGGTGGATGATTTGAAGGTGGGGTCACTGCTTGTCAGTGCACTATGTCGATCGGGCGTCCGCGCTAAGCTCGGTATCAATATGGTGACATCGGGGGACCCCAGTGTCACCAGGTTGTCTGAGGAGGGGCGAATCGGCCCAGGGTGGAAACACAGCAGGCAAAAGTCCCCGTGTCGAGCAGTAGTGGGATCGCGCCCGTGAATAGGCATCGGTTGGTAGCCCATCTGATATAGTCGGACCCATTCCTTTTTATTTTCATATTTTCAAACGACGTTCATCACTGATAATGAGCAGTAAATTCTAAACAATACTATGCCACAACAACACAATACATGAATGTCTGCTATACGCGCCATAGTGTTTGTACAAGCCTCCCTCATTAATAAATAGAGACAAAATTTATTGTGTGCAAGCACTTTTAATACATTTGTCAAAAACCTTTCTCCGATCGCCACTAAGTTGTGCTGGTCTGGCACTCTGACACTTTGTAACATGTAGCCTGGAAGAGAAAAGAACGTGGAATAATATACTGCTCATGGTTACAAGTCTGAAACAGTTCACCATAATACCATGTGATACGCTAGAAAAAAGCATTTTATGTAAACCTGTTTGTTGGATACGTAAATTCTGGTTATGTCTCGAATAGGATAAAATAATACGGTTTTGCCAAGGAATTAATATTTAAATCTAGGTCCGTGATTTATATATGCGAGAAAGGAATATAAAAAATAAGTGCTAATATAGTATTAAGCATGCAAAACGTTTTTTAGATACATACTAATGAGGTTTCTAAGTAACTACCTATCTTTAGGTACGTGTATGTAATTATAATAGATTCTACTTACACTCCCTACTCCTACAATACTTACTTTGTTATGTTTCGGAATGACACAGGTGCAGTTATTACAGGGCCTACTGACGGTTTTCCCTTTTCTGATCATAGTCCCGTCCATCATAACACAACCTACAACATAAATAGTCCGTTATAACACAATCTACAACATTATCGGTCCGGTATAACACAACCTACATCATAATGAGTCCGGTATAACACAACCTACAACATTATCAGTCCATCATAACACAATCTACAACATTATCAGTCCATCATAACACAACCTACATCATAATGAGTCCGTTATAACACAATCTACAACATTATCAGTCCGGTATAACACAACCTACAACATTATCAGTCCGGTATAACACAATCTACAACATTATCAGTCCATCATAACACAACCTACAACATTTACAATCAGTCATAACACAACTTACAACATTATCAGTCCGGTATAACACATCCTACAACATTATCAGTCCGGTATAACACAATCTACAACATTATCAGTCCATCATAACACAACCTACAACATTTACAATCAGTCATAACACAACTTACAACATTATCAGTCCGGTATAACACAACCTACAACATTACCAGTCCGGTATAACACAATCTACAACATTATCAGTCCATCATAACACAACCTACAACATTTACAATCAGTCATAACACAACTTACAACATTATCAGTCCGGTATAACACAATCTACAACATTATCAGTCCATCATAACACAACCTACAACATTTACAATCAGTCATAACACAACTTACAACATTATCAGTCCGGTATAACACAACCTACAACATTATCAGTCCGGTATAACACATCCTACAACATTATCAGTCCGTTATAACACAATCTACAACATTATCAGTCCATCATAACACAACCTACAACATTTACAATCAGTCATAACACAACTTACAACACAACATTATCAGTCCGGTATAACACAATCTACAACATTATCAGTCCATCATAACACAACCTACATCATAATGAGTCCGTTATAACACAATCTACAACGTTATCAGTCCATCATAACACAACCTACAACATTTACAATCAGTCATAACACAACTTACAACATTATCAGTCCGGTATAACACATCCTACAACATTATCAGTCCGGTATAACACAATCTACAACATTATCAGTCCATCATAACACAACCTACAACATTTACAATCAGTCATAACACAACTTACAACATTATCAGTCCGGTATAACACAACCTACAACATTACCAGTCCGGTATAACACAATCTACAACATTATCAGTCCATCATAACACAACCTACAACATTTACAATCAGTCATAACACAACTTACAACATTATCAGTCCGGTATAACACATCCTACAACATTATCAGTCCGGTATAACACAATCTACAACATTATCAGTCCATCATAACACAACCTACAACATTTACAATCAGTCATAACACAACTTACAACATTATCAGTCCGGTATAACACAACCTACAACATTATCAGTCCGGTATAACACAATCTACAACATTACCAGTCCGGTATAACACAACGTAAAACATTATCAGTCCGGTATAACACATCCTACAACATTATCAGTCCGGTATAACACAACCTACAACATTATCAGTCCGGTATAACACAACCTACAACATTATCAGTCCAGTATAACACAACCTACAACATTATCAGTCCATCATAACACAACCTACAACATTTACAATCAGTCATAACACAACTTACAACATTATCAGTCCGGTATAACACAACCTACAACATTATCAGTCCGGTATAACACAACCTACAACATTATCAGTCCGGTATAACACAACCTACAACATTATCAGTCCGGTATAACACAATCTACAACATTATCAGTCCGGTATAACACAACCTACAACATTATCAGTCCGGTATAACACAATCTACAACACAATCTAATTATCAGTCCATCATAACACAACCTACAACATTATCATAACACAACTTATAACAAAACATCTTATCAGTCCGTTATAACACAAAAACATTATCAGTCCATCATAACACAACCTACAACATTTACAATCAGTCATAACACAACTTACAACATTATCAGTCCGGTATAACACAAACTACAACATTATCAGTCCGGTATAACACAATCTACAACATTATCAGTCCATCATAACACAACCTACAACATTATCAGTCCACAACCTACAACATTATCAGTCCGGTATAACACAACCTACAACATTATCAGTCCATCATATCACAACCTACAACATGATCAGTCCGTTATAACACAACCTACAACATTATCAGTCCGGTATAACACATCCTACAACATTATCAGTCCGGTATAACACATCCTACAACATTATCAGTCCGGTATAACACAACCTACAACATTATCAGTCCGGTATAACACAACCTACAACATTATCAGTCCGTCATAACACAACCTACAACATTATCAGTCCGTCATAACACAACCTACAACATTATCAGTCCAATAATCCAAATAGCATTAGTTTTTTTCCGAAGTCTACATATGATATAAAAATCTTATATCAAACGTTGAAACTCGTTAAACTTGATTACTCGAATAAATCGAAGTTTTTCACGACATCGACGACTTCGAGTTATCGAAGTTTTAGTTATATTTTACACGTTACTTACTTCTCAAGCAAAAACAACCATCTTTTTCAGATCCGGGTTTCAGAGAGCAGTGAAATAGCCCGTTACGTTCCTGTCTGTACACACATCTGTGTCCTTTTGACATCCGACAATCACAGCTGATCAAATATATCACATAGATTAATCATTTACAATCATGATATCGATAATCACGTTTAATCGAAACTATAGATCAACGATCTAGAAACATTATAAAGATAGTATCTGTTATCGTGTCTTCACATATAACAAAGGGAGATAAGAAACACCTACGAGACGACATTAATGAACTACACTGTATCCCACTTGTTAATCTGATTTCTAAAAGTAAAATCATACTTATCAATATGTTAGTACATGAAATGGTAACCATGATGTAATTTATGTCATACGAGGAATTAGGTATTTTGTATCGATATAGCACTATGTGGAATATGTATAGAACTGTTTTAAACATTTCATTATGTGAACGCCTATAGGTTACATCTTTTTATATCCATATTGCATATTTACGTTCTAAATTCACAGCTCTCAATTTTTTAAACTATGGAATTCCAAAATAACTTATGCTTCTCTATAACAGTTTCAAAACTATATATCTGAAAGAGCGTTAGGTCGCCAGTATTGTTTCGGATAATGTCCACGTGTTGTTCGAGGCTGGAGTAAGTTTGCCACAGCCCTAAGAAAGCAACTGTTTGTGGAGTTTGAGTTAAGTGCCTTATTGTATGTTGTACAAATTGTCTCTTATGAAACGTCACCGTATCATATATGTTTTATGACGTCACAATACAGGTCACTAACATGAGAATGCAATACAGCCAATGTCTTCAATTTCTGGAGTTCAAGAGTGGCGCGTAAACCCACAAATCGAAAAGTGTCGTCGATGATGCATAAGACGCTTAACTTCCGAAACACCCGATATTATTCTCCGTGCACCTTGCCAATGGCCTCCGTGTAAATTAATGTTTCCTTTGTTCATTTTGCATGCTAGTTTTGAGTTTGAATTACTAATTTGCCAACATGTCGGTATCTTACTCATCAATTAGTTAATGAAAGTATTATAAATCATAAAAAATTCATTCAAAACGACGAGACGACGTCGACAACGATGATGATTTATAAACAATACTCACTCTTGTTGACAGCGACGTCGTTTAGCCATAGAAGTTGACACTATTGCAACCATTAAAAACAGGAACACAGTTATTGACGCCATGTTCGCACTGAGAAAGGAGAACGTGCAATATGATAAAAGTTTGTTTCGGCTCACTACACTGCGATTTAGTGCGAAGTACGACTGTGCAACACATTTCACCGGCTTAAGACTTACGCAGACTTTCATTTAATGTCCATCCACATTTTAAATGTCCAAGCAGCTGTTTGTATGATAAATTTTATTCCACTATTTAACCTTTTATAACTTAAGTTCGCAGAAGAGTTCACAGATTTATGAACTTTAAATTGGACTTATAGTCCCTAAAATTGAATGTGTTTTAATCTTATTGACTTTCTTAATTTTATGTTTAAACTAATTTAATCGCAAACGAGGTAAACTATTCTTGACCAGGCTAAACAGCAAGATATGCAAGAACAACATGCAACAAACATCGAAATGAAATCCTACATTTAAACAACGAATATTTGTATACCAGAAAACATCGGTTGACCTGTTTCGTCAAAACAAGAAAACCCGCACTCCTGGCTTCCTCACTTCCTAATTTGTACCATATTCTGATCAAAAGCTCTGTTATTTTAACAATTGTACTTTAATTGCGTCGGTGTAAGCGTGGCTGCTGATGAGAACTACAACACGTCGGAGACATCTGCTGAGAACTACAACACGTCGGAGACAGCTGCTGTGAACTACGACACGTCGGAGACATTTGCCGAGATCTCTTCGACACGTCGGAGACAGATGCTGTGAACTACGACACGTAGGAGACAGATGCTGAGATCTACGACACGTCGGAGGCAGATGCTGTGAACTACAACACGTCGGAGACAGATGCCGAGATCTACGACACGTCGACACGTGCTGTGAACTATAACACGTCGGAGACAACTGCTGTGAACTATGACACATCGGAGACAGCTGCTGTGAACTATGACACGTCAGAGACAGCTGCTGTGAACTATGACACGTCGGAGACAGCTGCTGAGATCTACAACACGTCGGAGACATTTGCTGAGAACTATGACACGTCGGAGACACATTCTGAGATCTACGACACGTCGGAGACATCTGCTGTGAAGTACAACACGTCGGAGACAGCTGTTGTGAACTACGACACGTCGGAGACAGATGCTGAGAGCTACGACACGTCGGAGACAGATGCTGTGAACTGTTGCGTGCGAGGGTATAATCATCTGTCGGGATTGGGGAATACAAAGAAACGACTTTCATCATTTGTCTCAGGCCAAAAAATCAACTTTTTATTCCTCCTTTTTAGAAGAGTTCCAAATGAAAACGGAGCTACAACAGAGTTACGTCCCCTAGACCAGTGGATTATGCTAACTTGCCTACCCTACACAATTTCAAATGTATTTTTGATTATGCAATTAATGTGGAATACAAAATGGCATATACAAATAAGTACAAGTTTGTAAAAAAAATTCTTGAAAGATACTTCAATGTAATTCAATAATACCATGTTATTATGTACATCGTATGTTACTTAGTCCCTAGATGTGCATATAATAATTTTAGGATGGCTTGGAAAGAATGGAAGAAAGGAGAGGAAGTCAGTTTTCTCTCCATCCTCAATAATCCATATGTGCATTTACTCATCTTTGTATATGTTTCGTTTACTCTATCGTTAAGGTTAAAGAAACTCTACAAAAAACAATCGAAGTAGAAAATCCCCGTCTAAATAAAAGTTGCCAAATCACAACGTATATGATAAGTATTATGAAAATCGCATATTAAATTTCCTAAATCCGATTTCTTTTCGTCCACTTTTGATTGGATTTTGGTAATGTTCAGTCTGCATATCGATACACGTTGCTTTACGTTGACGGAAATTAACGAAAATAACCGATGTGAAACGCACGTGCGCCATGCACCGGATTCTCAAGCTAACAATCGGGACAAGAAGGTGAGTAGTTTTGCATGTTTTCTTTTATCTTTTGTCTTGTTAGTCTTTCGGTTATGTGGAATAAAAAACTGAATTTTTCTTGTGTCCAACAGAGACAAAGAAATAGTATTTTGCTAACACTTGATAAACAAGTTATCGTGAAAGATGGAACAGCAAAGCATATACCTATTGGCGAAAGGTGTGCCTGCTCCATACTTTGTAGATATCTGGTTTGTTCTCAAAGAATTGATAAAGAGTGTATTGACAGACGGGGTCAGTACCGATGGTAGATAAAATAAAACAAAGGCAACAATACATTTCATTTGAACGAGGGTGTAGTCTTGTAGTACAATACGATAACGTTGCTATTGCAAAGCTGCAGTGCATCGATATATGAAGGAAAAGTTTGTCTAAATTGTATTTCTTAATTCCATGTCGTAACATATCATTGTAATCCATATGACACTTATTGAAATATTCCTAACAGAACAGCAGAATCCAATCTGAATTCATCAACGTATCGACCTCCAATATACTGAAGATTGTGTCAATATAAATGGTGTATGCAATAAACAAGGGAAAGAGAAAAATAAAATAAAATAAAATAAACATTAAGCAGAGGTTAGGAGGTCGGTTTTGAAACCTCTTAGAGTGGCAGCTGTGACAAGATCAGGTGAAAGTATGACATATCGACCTCCTTCAATATACTGAAGACTTTGTCAATGTAAATGGTATGATCAGGTGAAAGTATGAATTAACTTTGCTTCTCTCTGTCTTTATTAAAGAGTTATTGCCCTTGTTTAATAACTAATGCATCATAACTACATCATGAAGTATCTCTCTTGAAATCTCATATAGATGACACAAATTCATATGACATGTTGTAACCTTCTCTGCAGGAACAGCAGAGAATTTTTAAACTCTGGAGGAGATTGACGACTTCATTTTTCATTATATTCCATGTGTTATCCTCTGCTTGAATACTGATGGAGATACTTAGAAGTAAATTCAATCTATGCTAGTTATTCTTTTTCTATGGTAACTTTTCAACTTCATGGTATTGAGGTGAGTCTTGCTCGGAAGACAAATACTTACAGGGCTCTCTCGTAGAATTGGGAAAAATAATGGTGTTTTCCTTAGAATTGGGAAAACGTCGGGTCTAAATTGGGAAAAAAAGATACTATTTTGCATTGGGAATGGGGCCGATAAATCTGGCAGATCGAGAGCCCTGACTTATATATTCTCTGTACCCCTGAAATATAGTATGCCATTATACCATTCAAGACTTCCATTTAACTTCTTATTTTTCCCAGAGAAAACAGCTATGAACAGTTGCTTTGTTCCTATCTGTCCTTTGCATAGTCTATGTTTTTATAACAAAAACTGTTTTCCAAGTAGAAATGAAATAAAAAGAGTAACAAGAAAATGAAGAATTTACAAGATTTCAAAAAAATATAACATTGTTTGTAGATTTTACTGCCTTCTAATTATTATATTCTAGAACTCGGTCAGTATTGAAGAATGGAAACTGTTTAAACTCATTTATTATTAATTGAAATAAATGGATTTGATTAAAATTTTTATTTCTTAACAGTGGCAGGAACCATTAATGAATTGAAACAGAAACTTGGATTTTGGCTTCTGTGACAAAAAGAATTCATTATGGAAGGTCCTGAAGCTGAGAATAATGGAGACTCCATTGTCATCAGTGGCATATCTTGTCGCCTTCCTGGAGCTGACAATATGGCAGAGTTTCGAAATAGTCTGTGGCAGGGAGAAAATAATGTACAGGAAAACCAAAGGTGGACAAAAGGTAATGATGTTGTCACAAGCACTTTGTTACTTGTACTGAAATTTTGCCATTATTAACATATCTGGCCCAAACTGCTAAGAAAGTGCGATATCCATGGTGCTTCTATCTATGAGTAGTAGTGTTTCCTTCCAAAGTATTCTTGTTAGGCTCCCCAAAAGTTTTCAAGGGAGTATATAGTCGCCGCCTTGTCCATCCCTTCGTCCGTCCTTTCATGTCCAGAGCATTGACCAAACAAAGATAATAGGATATTGAGACTTGAAGTATAATTCTGTCATAAAAAAGCAAAGTGAAGTGTAGCAAAGTCATGACCCATGACTCCTCAGTGCCCTTTGAAAAAGGCTTTGTCGTCGGCATTAGGTTTGCTTGCATGAAAATTAGGATAATGAAACTTGGTGTATACACAGGTCATGTTACGAGAATGTGCAGAAAACTAAATTTCAGGCCTCCATTCCTTTAATTATGCTTCCTGAAAATTTTTGGGAGAGCATTTAGCCACGGAATTGTCCGTCTGTCATTCTTTCTTTGACTTTCTTGTATTTACAGTAGGTTATTGAAACTAGGTATATAAATTGATCACACTAAGACAATATGCACTGCTTAGAATTCAGGGACCACAACTCCTTAATTACAGGGTTGTTGCCTTTTGTTCAAATTTCAAGCCTCTGGAAGAACTTTTATATGTTTGCAGTTTAGCTAGGGTAATGAAACTTGATGTATACATCGATCATACTAAGATACATACATTGTGCCAAATTCAGGGCCCTTGATCCTTCAGTTACAGTTATTGCTCTTTGCTTAAAGTGTCTTGCCCACAGCATAATTTTGCCTGCATTAAAACTAGAATAATGAAAATTAGTATATATACATTGATCATACTAAGAAGATGTTGCAGTAGGCCCATAACCCCTTAATAACATACTCATTGCCCTTGGTTAAATTTCTTGTTCACAGCATAACTTGACCTGCATTTCAACTTGGATAATGAAACATGATTTATACATGATTTATACATTGATCATACCACGAAAATGTACAGTATATCAAATTCAAGGCCTTCAACCCCATGATATTAGAGTCATTGCCTTTTTGTTTAAATTTTGTATCATGAGCTTGCATTCAAACAAGGATAATGTAACTTGGTGGATTTGTCATAATAAAAGGATGTGCATTGTACCAAATTCAGTGCCTGAAACCCCTGAATTACAGAATTAATGCCCTTTGTTTAAATTTTGTTTCCAATAACATTCTTTCTGGGGAGCATTCATCAGTTTCACTGATACCACTGTCTTGATAGGTTGAAGGGATTTTCTTTAAGAATATATTTAGACCAGGAATAGCTGAAATGTGATATGTGATAAATATTTTAGGCCTAAGAGTAACACAAAACAATTTTTCATTGTAAGCTAAACAATCTTATGCTAATTTACTATGAAGCATTATCTGCACAAGGATAGATCAATATCTCTCAAACATTGTTTTTGGCTCTCTATGAAACGAACAGTATATTATTTAAGGGTCAGTTTAAAAATTCCGGATAGTGATTAAAAAAATCTTTCAAAGAAATTTTGTTTGTCTTTTTGACTGCAGAATTACCGGATGGCACCCCAAAAAAGATGGGAATATTAAGTGACCTGGGAAAATTTGATGCAGAATTTTTCAGTGTAAATCCTAAAGTTGCAGACGTAATGGATCCACAACTGCGGATGCTGCTAGAGATAACTCATGAAGCCATTGTGGATGCAGGTGTGTACTGAGTTCCTCAACATTTTTCAATTTTGCAGTTAGATGTTAGACTAATAAAAAAGTGGGTCTAAAGAAAGATAAAAATTATAGAGGTGTGCTGTCCATATCACTTTTATATATTCAGCTAGTTACTGTTGGCTTTGTGTTTGAACAGGTGTTGATCCTCACCAGCTGAAGGGTTCAGATACTGGGGTTTATGTGGCTTGTGGACTGTCAGAAAACATGGAGGCATTCAGTACCAACCAAGATCATATTTATGCCTACAATCCAATAGGGAATGCCTCTGCGATGTTTGCCAATAGAATTTCTTTTGCGTTTGATTTCAAAGGTAAGGAAAACAGTCTAAAAATGTTTGGTCATCTGGCATGAACATGTCTTATCAGCACAGTTGGAATATACCACAGCAGAAAAGAAAGCTTACATTTGATTGGCTTCTGATGGGAAGACCTGACCAATCACTATGTCTTTAAGATTATAAATAAGCTATGGTATTTTGCAAATCTTTTATAATCATCAAAGAGATGATAGTGTGCAGGATTCCAAAAGTTCCCTGGCTATTAAACTGATAATCTTGGCAGTTTTCTGCATACTAATTCTTCAGTTTTGTCATAACATGTTCTAAGGATGCAGAGAAGAAAAATATATTGAAAACAGAAACCTTGGTTTGTAGAGATGTTGACATTATGTACATCTGAGGTGGTTTGGTGCGAGTGATGCCAATTTTCCATCATCAACTTTCCTTTAAATCATTTGAAATGTTCTATTACATTTTACCTTTAAAGGTTTTTGAGCTAAAGCATTACCAAAGGAGATGAAATAAATGACCATAACCAAAGTTTATAGCTGTGGGTGGCTAGACAACTCGATCTTAAATTCCATCTACTTTAATCTTTTATATTGTAGGTGCTAGTTACGCCTTGAGGAATGGTCATGCAAGTGGACTTGTGGCTTTGGATCGTGGACTGATGGCCCTTCGAACTGGTCAGTGTCAGGCAGCAGTTGTTGCTGGATGTAACCTTTGTCTAAAGATCACAACTTCCACCCAGCTGCACAGGAATGGTCTTCTATCATCTCAAGGTCACTGTAACTGCTTTGATGAAAAAGGTAAACAAATGCTTGGGAAATTCTGAAAATTAGAATAATTGTTAAGGCCACGATAAAATTACCCCATATAATTCTTTTAACTGTGATCTCAAGTTTGCATCCTTGATATGAACAAGTGTTTCTGGTTGTAGCGGATGGCCTTGTGAGAAGTGAAGGTGTGGTAGCCATGTTTCTACAGAAGCAGTCTTCTGCTAAGAGAATTTATTCTACCATTTTACATACAAAGCTGGCCTCCTACAAGTCCCAATCCCCAGGTAAATATGGAATTATTATTAAGTAAAGAAATAGTTTATTAGAATGATATGCCAGTATCGGTGCCAGACAACATCATCATGAATTAAAAGTTAAGAGAAACACAATTAAGTAAAGATAATAAAAAAATATTGCAAACTGCTTTTTCATTTTTTGTTCAAAGACTTTGATATACATGTTGTCTTACACAGTATTTATATTGGAAATACAAAATGCTTATGAAATTGGTTTCATTCGGACTCCAACGTTTGAAAAGTTTTGTGTATAATACAAAGTTCTGTGTTTGCAGTGCTGCCCCCTAGTGTAGAAGAGCAGTCAGAGTTTTTAGAGATGGTGTATGAGGAAGCTGGTGTATTGCCAGAGCAAGTGTCTTATGTTGAGACGAGTGGTTGTTCTGTCTCCAAAGCGGAGACACGGGAAATGAAAGCTCTTGCCAAGGTCATTAGCAGTAAAAGATCATCACCTCTTCTGATTGGTTCTGTAGTATCAAATGTTGGTCACATGGAAACTGTATCAGGTAAGCTTTACACATTACAGAAGATATCTTTTTTTGAGAATCCTACAGGTGTCTTCCCAGAACTGATAATCTGTTTATGTACAACATTGTCTTTATAGACCTTGTGGGACTTGCTAAACTGATACTGACAATGGAAGAGGACATCATTCCTCCAAACCTCCACCTCTGTACTGCTAATCAAGACCTAGCTACCACATTCAACGGCCAGATCAAAGTAGTCCAGGAAAAGACACGACTACCGGGCAACAGTGGTATAGTGTCCTTAAACTCTTATGGACTAGGAAATCTGTGTGCCCATGGAATCTTTAAAGCACACGAAGATCAGAAATCAAATAGCCACCAGGCAACAACCTTAAGTCGATTGTTCACATACTCTGGTAGGACAAAGGAAGGGGTAGAATCTGCATTCAGATTGGTACAAAGTAATACCAGTAATGTACACCTCCATTGCTTACTACAGGAAACAGCCCATGTGGCACCCACATACCATCCTATACGTGGTTACATAGTGGTTAATGCTGCTGATGGACTCCAGGAAATCAAGGTGAGGGTGAAAAAAACTTTTATAAAACGAAGACCTACTGAACTATTATTTGTTATGAATTTAAACATAGTATCTTCAGTTTCCTTAGAAATGTAACGTAGTTCATATTTCACTATCTATTCCACTGCAATGGTTCATACTGTTAAGTTTGAGTTTTGACAGATATTTAAATGTTTTCTGGATCATGACTTAACTGTATACTAATACAGATAGAAATAATCATGCTACAGTGAAATATTTCGCTTTACATTATAAAAGACCCCATGGTATCAGTTTCTTTTTGCACATAATTTTCAGGACTGCAGTTCAAGTATTCCTGAACGACCATTGTGGCTGGTGTATTCTGGGATGGGTTCCCAGTGGCCTGGTATGGGACGTGCAATGATGAGGTTCGAAGTTTTCCGTCGCTCAATTGAACGATGTGACACTGTCCTACAGAAACATGGACTTCATCTACAGAAGATGATCATGGAAGGCGAGGAGAATACTTACGAGAGTGTCCTTCACTCCTTTGTAGGACTGGCCTCAATACAGGTAAACAGAATATATGGATTTGTTTCATGAAGTCTTAACTTACCTTTAGTAATGGAATGGCCAGTTCTTCAGCATCAGTATGTTTTACGTTGACCTTGATATTTCCTTAGTTACAATGACCTTGACCATGACCTTTCTAATTCCTTTGATCATGACCTTGTGATGATGATATGAATTGTCATTGAGTAGAACAAATGTTTATTGAAGTAGGTATTTAGGTAAGTTTGACCTTGTAAACATTACACTTACACCAGCAAAGTACATCTCATGTGGTAAAGTTTTCCTAAAGTTGCACATCCTAGACATGACACAATAATTAAACAGTAGCAGGAACGGAAACATTGCTGAAATGAACAGAGGAAAGATAAATGAAGACGAGTAAGAATTAGTAACTAATGGCAGTGGTATGTCTATCCAGTAATGAAACTTTTTAAGCTCTAAAAAGAAAAATGGCACAGATTTCTATGAGGTGATATTCACCACATGCAATCATACAGTGTGATACAACAAGTCTATTCTGTCACCAAATCCTGCAGGAGCTGTGCATTCTGTTAATGTTATACTGATTCAGGTAGCTCTTACGGATATGTTGCTGTGTATGGATATAAAACCTGATGGCATTCTTGGCCACTCTGTCGGAGAATTGGGATGTGGCTATGCTGACGGCTCAATGACTGCTGAGGAAACTGTCCTTGCTGCATACTGGAGAGGTCGCTGTGTGGAGGAGGCTAAACTTCCTCCAGGGGGCATGGCAGCAGTTGGTAAGCTAGGAGTATTTTTTGAATTGATGTAGATCAAATAGGGTATTATTGACAATATATGGAGTTGTCCATCATGAGACTCTAATGATATTCAATAGTCTGAGTATTGTGGCTACTCAATAGATTAAGTCCAGGTTGTCTGGTTCATAAAGTGAAGATTCAATATATTTGATTAAGATTTTAATCATAATATTAAAGCTGAATACCTTCCAGGTGATACAGGGTCTTTTGTGGAAACTTTGGCAATGTGAGCATGGAGAAATACTGAAAACCAGGAGTGAGTTACTGTCGCCATACCAAATATGTTTTATGTATTTCTTGACAGGGCTAACCTGGAAGGAAGCTACTGACCAATGCCCCGAGGATGTTGTTCCAGCCTGTCACAACTCCACAAACACAGTCACAGTGTCTGGTCCAGTTGATGCAGTATCAACCTTTGTGACCAAGCTCAAAGACCGTGGTGTGTTTGCTCGACAGGTCAACAGTGCAGGAGTTGCCTTTCACTCAAAAGACATGCTTAAAGTGGCACCCCTACTCAAATCTCACTTGTCAGAAGTAAGTACACCTGATATAAGACCGAACAAAGTGGACATTTAGTTAAGTCTAACCTGTCAAAGGTACGTACACCTGATATAAGACCGAACAAAGTGGACATGTAGTTAAGTCTAACCTGTCAAACATATATACACCTAATAAAGACAGTACAAAGCAGGATTCCAAGTCAAGTCTCACCTATCAAAGGTAACTATATAGTATACAAAAAGACCAGGTAATACTCTTCACAGGCTTGTTATATGGGCAGTACGGTTGACCTGACATAAAATTGTTACCTATCTATATAGATGTTAAAAATGGATAGAATTAAGTGTAAGTAAGTAAGAAAGTAGACCTGTGTTTCAATAGGTTTCATGAAAAACATTCATTTTGCAGGTAATAAAACCAAAGCAAAGAAGTTCAAAGTGGGTCAGTTCCTCTGTACCCGAGTCAGAATGGGACAGTGAGAAAGCAAAATGGTCATCTGCAGATTATGTTGTCAACAATTTGGTTAGTCCTGTGCTTTTCCAGGAAGCACTCCAACACATTCCTGAAAATGCCTGTGTGATTGAGATTGCCCCACACTGTCTCCTTCAAGCAGTGATCAAGCGTTCCCTTCCCAAAACATGTTCCATATTTGGTGTAATGAAGAAGCAACATGAAAATAACCAGGAGTTTTTCTACTCCAACCTTGGCAAGTAAGTAGATTGCAGATGAACCTTTTTCTGACCAAACTGAGGTCAGGTATACAAGGACAGACCTAGGTCAAAGGTCAGAGTGTAACGATACAGTACATCCTGTAACATTTCAATGCAACTTTTGATGGCAATTATCATTTAAACATAGATAGTATTGATTGTATTGTTGATGTCAAAGGGTTAAAGTTTTTAAATAAAAGACTAAATGAAACAGTTCACCTATACCGTCTGTGGTTGTGTAACTGCTTATGAAAAAGTCATGTCTGTTTTGATTTAGGTGTTATCTAGAGGGTGTGAGACTGAATCCCTTGGGGTTGTTCCCTGCCATCCAGCTTCCTGTACCCAGGGGCACCCCCATGATTAGTCCAGTCATAGGATGGGACCACAGTCAAACCTGGGCAGTAGCTGACCCAGAAAACTTCATCACAGAGGGCCTGGCATGCCTCTATGAGATTGACTTGTCACCTGAATCAAAATACCACTTCATTATCGACCATCGAGTCAATGGTCTAGACTTGTTCCCAGCATCAGGCTACCTCACTCTGGCGTGGCGAGCCCTGGCAAGGGTCTGGGGACAGCTTTACACAAGGATGCCTGTCTCTTTTTCAAACGTTGTGTTCCACCGTGCCACCATCCTCCCAAAATCTGGTACTGCCTTTAACTATTGTCATTAGCTCAAAAATTGACCACTTAAGAAATTTTTCATTACATATCAAGTCATATGGATGAAATGGGATATTTTTATTGTTTCCATTCCACGGTATCTTTAAGCACATATCCCAGTAGAAAAATAAAAATCTCTTATATAGACCATATCATGTATGAAATAATTGTATTTTCCTTTGCTTCTGTTGATAGTACAATTTAAAACACTAGGATCAAATCCTTTGATGAATCTATTGGTACTATCCTTATTCTTTGTTTTACTAAGGCAAGCTGACCTTTCGCGTAAATCTCACAAAAGTTACGGGCTGTTTTGAGATCAGTCAGGACAATGGACTTGTGGCAAGTGGAGTGATTTCACCTGCAAAGATTGGGCCCAAACACGATTCAGAGGATGTTCCAGTCCCTCAGAGTCCAAATTTGGAACAGGAACTGACAACAGACGATATCTACAAAGAACTGAGGCTACGTGGATATGACTTCGGACCAAAGTTTAGGTCTATAGTAAAAACAAGATGTAGAGGTAATTGCAAAATAGATTCAATTACACAAAAATTAAGTTGTCAGGTATTCAAATTGTTAACTTCTTCTGATGGGAAGAATTACCCTTGTTGTTTTTTTGACTTCACCTCTTCTATAGAACGTTGTCAAAGATATTTTGACATACAAATGGGTTTAGCCTATTCAGTCAGAATTTGTTATTTATGATTTCTGAATTCATGTTAACCAAATGTGTTGATCAAGGCATAAAATTTTGCAGAATTCTTCTTATTTTCATGGTTTGTTGGAATATTTAGCTTGATATCATCACTAGATTTAGTGATGTACTGAGGCCTACATGTAAATGAATGTCGGGCTGAAAATTGATGGGGAATATTGAAATACAATCACAGGGAAGAAAGTGGCAAATAAAATGATTATATTGTAGTTTTACCATACAGTACTAATTATTTATGTTTCCTGGATATCAAAATCAGAAGTTCATAGTTCTTATACCTATTTATAGGAGAAAAAATAGTTTACCCTTGTACTTAACCATATTGATTCTGTAAAAAGCTTGAAGGTCAAAACAAATTTAGCCTTTTAGAATGAGTTTGCACGGTACTGAGCAAGCACTTGTTAGCATTTTTACTGAGCTTTCAATCAATTATAGGGTACGTTCCCTTTCTATCTGGCAATTTGTCTTCTTCCTAGTTACCTGTATTAATCTATATCTTTGACTGAAGCTCTTGTATTTTATGTCTTACTTCGGTTAGGCTTTACATTCAGTTTACCCTCTTTAAAGCAATATGTAGTAATTTATATTCAACTGTTCAGAACTAATCGTCAAAAAAAGACAATTCTGTTGGTTCTTTACACTTTCTGGTTTATTTAGAATCTGATGCATGTTTCTCTAGACTGAGCTGAAGGGAGTCGCTTTTAATGTTGCTCCTGTTTTCAGGTGAACAAGGTGACTTACTGTGGACTAACAACTGGGTATTACTCCTTGATGCCATGATACAGATCCATCTGATCGTGAAACCCGACATCAGGTCAGCATTACCTACAGGGATAAGGAGACTGACCATTGACCCTGTCTTCCACAACAGTTCAGTCCAGCTGGACCACATTACTGGAAAGAGAAGTATGGCTGGTTGTTAGTGTTTATTATACCTAAGGTGAAAGAAGATGCTCCAATATAAAACTGACTTCAGTACATCAGTGTATGTCTTCCTAGGGAGATCCTCACATAATCCAAATGGCTCCCATACATTAACTTCCATTCAAGAAAGACCATGCTTTTGTGTTCTTGCGAAATATTCTTGACTAGAATTGCTTTTTCAAAGGATGGTACAAAAGACTACACATAACTTTGATGAAGAGTATTTCTAAAACCAGAACCTTGTTTTCTGCTGAAAAGAATTCTCAGTTTAAGACATCATGCCATGTCCAGTTCTACAACTTAATACAGATCAGGATGTATTGTTCTACAAATACTTTTTTGTTTGGACTGCATTTAATAATCTTATTATCATTACTCTTATTTCTTCTTCTACTGTAAAGGTTTCTAACACTTTTCTCCAGATATATATGTTAGATCTCCACCAAGCTTTTATGGATTAATATTGACTTCTGGTTAGGTTCGGTTCTTGTATGCCTGTCAAAAGACAGCTCATATTATGTTATAATGTGAAAGGGAGAATGGTTGGGTGCACATGGTGTTTACTCAATAACTTGAGTAGTTCTCAACAGATCAACTTCAAACTTCACAATGACGTTCATTACCATGTTACCTCTGAGTTCTTCAATTTTTGGACTAAAATTCATGGAGTTATGGCCCTTTATTCCATTACAGAAACAGTGTTGGCTTGATATCACAAGTAGTTTTCAATTGATCAACTTCAAATTTCATAAGAAGGTTCATTACTATGACAGCTCAGACAAGATGAATAACTGTAATTTTTCAACGGAAATTTTTGGGAGTTATGACCTTTTATTCAATTACCAAAACAGTGGCTGCTCAATATCTCAATTAGCTTTCAACATATTAACTTTAACATTAAGAAGAAGGTTCATTACCTTAATCACTCTGGACACTCTGCTCGATTCCTGAATTAGATTTCAATGGATCAGCTTCAAACGTCACGGGGAAGTTCATTACCATTTTAGTTACACAAGTTGTTTGTTAAAATGTTCAGAAAGTTATTAATGATAATTTACAGATTTATTGTCCCTTATTTCAATTACTTAAATAGTGCCTGCTCAATATCTCCTGAAGTTTCTAACGAATACACTTAAAATGACATAGGGAGGTTCATTAGGTGGGACAAGTTCAGTAACCAAAATTATTTGCTTGTAATTTATCGAATAATGGCTTTTGTAAAATTATAGAAAACTAACATTTAGCATTTTTCATTGATCATCATGGAATGTTATTGCCTTTGACGCTCGGTGGTACTCCGGTTTCCTCGACCATTATATGACTGGCACTGTCTATAAATGACCTCATTATGTTGATCGCACATTAAACATCACTTTCCTTCTCTTTGCTGTTACAAAATAATCATGTACCACCTGGCTGAACTTGTTTTATTGGACCAGGGGGTTAGTCGTTTAATTTTGTAGGCGTATGTCAGTGTTCCCTGCCAGGGTCAGGTTTATGACTGAGAATTTTTGAAGGTGTATGCCAGCCTGTTCCACAGACTTTTCTACCCTATGTTGAAGTACTTTAATAAGCATCATTCACGACTGAAGGAGTTTTATAGGGGATTTATGTAACTGGTCTCATTTTTCTTGTTTTTGTTTAGTATAACTTTGCTTGCAGCTGTGAAGGTATTTGTTAACAAGTATGGGGATACAACAACAGCAGGAGGAGCAATTATGGAGGGAGTAACCTTGACCAAGGTTAACCTTCGACCCCATGACCAGACTGTTGCCCTTGGTGAGATGACCTTTGTTCCCTACCGAGATACAGCTGGTCAGAAGATGTCCACTTTCCCTTCATTGGTCAAGTATACAGAACAATGCAGTCATGTTGCTGCCGCCATCCTCAACAAATTTGAATCCCACCTGGGAGAGTCCAGCATTCCAAATAAGGAATTGTTCGAAGCTGTAGCAAAAACATGTAAAGCAGATGACATCAGCAACTTGAAGATCAAATCGCAGCAATTGGATCAGGTAGACTGGAGTCTGTTAAGAACTTTGATGAAAATTTCTTCTATGAGACTTACAAGAGGATTGGCTGACAACATTGTCAGTGTACTGGAGGCCTTTGGGTCAGACATGGAACGGGACCAGTTACTGAATCATATGACAAACAAGGTGGTTCTCAATCCATGTCTAGACATTGTCTCCGAAAATGTGCTATCCAGAACACTTCATGTTTTAGAGGTCAAAGATCTTGGCAATATTTTCGGAGACAAGGTCAGAGGTCATCTGCAGCAGACACAGAGGGGAGCAGTCAGTTTTCAGCAGGTTGACTGGAAGCTTGAAGGGCCATCTAAATCAGAGGATCTATTTCAGCTTGTTGTCCTAGATGACTTCCTTCATGGGCAACCTGACATTATGGAATCTCTCAGGAAAGTTTCGGCATTGGTTGCAGCAGATGGCTTCCTCATACTGCTGGAGGTCACCCACAACTTTCACATACAGGCCATGCTGGATGGCCTGATGAAACCAAGTTTCAATGTGAAAGATGAAAGAACTTTAGGTTGGTATTGCAGTCCCTCCAGGTGGCAAGAACTGTTCAGATTGGCAGATTTTGAAATTGTTGTGGAGCGAACAGATGATCTTCTTTACACCCTGTATCTACTGAAAAAAAAGACAGAAGCTGATCCAAAAAGGCAAACTGTGGTCCACATCGATGATCTCAATTTCTCCTGGTTGGATGATCTCAAGGCCAAGTTCAAGGATGTGCAGACAAGACCCAAGGGAGATAACCTTTGGGTTGTAGCCAGCAAGGAGAAGCGAAGCGGAATTCAAGGTTTGGTACGATGCCTTCGTCGAGAACCAGGAGGGGAACGAATGCGGTAGGTTTAGTCAAACAGGAAAGTACAAGTTAAATAAAGAAGTTTGGTATACCAGTGAAAACCATAATGAGTTTGTTGAATAACTGTAAAGAATTCAAACCATTTTCATTGAGAATTTGTGTAGAACATGAATACTGTGAAAGCCTACATCATTTGTAGATTTTTGGGCTGATCTGGTCTGAAGACCAGTGAGCTTAGGCCATGGCCTTGCATCTGTTGTCCAGCATCCATCCGTCAACCTTTTCTAAAATTTGCTACTGCTATGAACCACTGAGTGGATTTTAATTAAATTTGGTGGAAGTTAGCATTGACATGTTAGTATGTGCTATGTGGATTGAGGCTTAGGGCTATAGATTTATAATTTATCAAAATTGGTCTCATTGGTGTTTAAGAAGCAAATCTGTGAGTCTTGTAATCAATTATTTGTCATGATCAATAGAGATAGTTCTGGCGGAATTATCTTACCAAAATGTTAAGTGAAATGCTGTTACTTGTAAGACAAAACACGTCTTTATTCTTTGCACCGTATATCAGTCACATACAATGCAGAGTTGGGGCCTCAATTTAGAGCACTCACGATATAACAGGAAGACATGAAAGAAAACTTGACTTGCAGAAATGATAAATACCTGGTTTAGTCATTAATAAATAATGGATTATAACCAAATTTGGTTTGAAACAATTTTTTGTGTTGGGAATCATTTCTTGTATTCAGAAAGTTGATTTAAGCTCTAGAGTCCTTGGGGTGGAAGGTAGGGCCCGAACAGGGGAGGTTTGTCAATATTTGCTTCAAAATGCTACTCCTCCTGAATGCTTGAATGGATTACAGCCAAATTTGGTCTAAAACATTATTGGGTGTGGGGAATCATTTCTTTTATTCATAAATTTGATTTGACCCCCTAGAAACTTAGGGGCAGGCCCCAAAATGGAAAGTTAGACAATACTTTCCTTCAAAATGCTAATCTTCCTTAATGCTTGAATATCTTTCAAACTTTATCTGAAATATAGGGACAAAAGGGGAAGTTAAGCAAATATTTTGCTTCAATGAATGACTCCTTCTTAATTCCTTTGTGGATTTCATCCAAATCTGGTCTTCAGTATCATAACAGAGTGGGGATGATGTCAAACATGATATAGTGATCCTGAGATTGTCCAGGCCAAATGATATCTTTAGGTTTGGTCCGAAATCTAACAATGTTTACTGCTTTTTAAATTCCATTCATGCCATTGAGAGGAAATATTTGGAGTTAAATTTGTTAAGGAAAAGAAACAGATGATATCTTATTTTTCAGCCTGGTCAAAACTTGGTACGCCATGGTAGTCACAGTACCCATTTTGCTTGTAGGAGCTAACAGCTGATGAGAAGAAACCCACAGTAGGCATCTTATAAATAAAAATGAAAACTAAAATTGGTTACATTCTACTGATTCTTACATCAGGTGTGTATTCCATGCTGATGGTGTTGACATGGGCAGCAAACTTGGGCCTGCCTACCTGGAAGATCTGATGGAAAAAGACTTGGTGATGAATGTTTACAAGGAAGGAGTATGGGGCTCCTACAGACAGGTCCCTCCCAAGTCGGGTAATTCTAGATCTAAAGAAAAATATCGTTGGAATTTTCTGGTTTTTGTTCTTCAGGAAGTCACTGAAGTGACCTCTCTACTTATTTACACTTTACATGAGAATGACTCTAATAGGAAATTTTAAAACCATGAAACCCACTTAATTTCATGTTCTGTTTGTCAGGGGAAATGTGATAACAAGCCGAACATGACATTAACAGTTGAGTTAATTAAGTTAAATAAGTTAATTTTCAGATGTGCAAAATTGACTTGTTTCTAACAGAAATTGTTTGAAAACAATAAATTTGAAATTTGATTTGTTTTCCCGATAAGAATAATAATTTTCCTTGACTTTTGTTAGTTAATTCTTTGAAATATCTAAAGTGGTATCATATATTATCGTGAGCAATCCTGACAATTCATGTCAGATTCAGTTTACATGGGGTCAGATTCATGTGTGACACTACCGTGTCATTAGCTGATGTTTTGCCTTATAATTCATTTATCCATCATCCTATAGACTCAATAATGGTGCACCAACACAAAGACGGTATATTTACAGTGTGTATCTCATTAAACTTCGGTAAAATGTGTTCTGAAGATCGCAACTTAATTCTTGCTGACAAAAATAGCCAACAGAGTGTGAACTGTTCACTTTTGAAATGCCATGTTTCATTGGCTGTTAAATTAGTGGTTATTTTCATTCGCCAATCAGTTGTTGTGTAATACAGCATAGGGAAAACCTATTTTCAGAACATTTTACTGTCACCTTACCGCTGCTGGTGGTAATTTAAGCAACAAATGATTTGAAAAAGTATTAAAATGTTGTCATGCTAATATCATGACCATCTGAGAAAAATGAAGTTCAGCATTGGTTTGCATCATGACAAGTCCCAAGTGACAAGGGTTTAAAACCCATTTTAATACTTGGAATGCACTAGCCACTAGGCGCTCATTTGACAATTTTCACTAAGAACAGAATTGTAAATGCAGGGCACTTGTTAATTGACATCTCTTTAACTCAATCAGTTAAGCGTATGACTAGGAAGCCAGAGATTGGTGATTAGATCCCTAGTAGACTTGTTGAAATGAATAATTAATATGTCATTTCATATTTTGAATCTTTCAGAGATGAAAACTGAAGAAAAGGGAAACAAGAACATGGAGGTCAGAATGAAGAAATATGGTGACATGTCTAGTTTCTGTTGGTCATGTGTAGAACCCTCAAAGCTGGACGTGACCACACACAGATCAAAGGTCTTGTGTGATGTTGTCTGTGTGGCTCTTAATACTGCAGACAGAATGATTGCCACAGGGAAATTAGTGACTGGGGAGGCAGGTGGCACACTTTGTACAGAGTTCTCAGGCATTACACATGATGGGCGCCGGGTAATGGGGCTGGCTCCTAAGCAGGTAATAATTCCTTAAACCACATATGATGTGCATACACCAAATTTTCTTATTCATTTTCAATGTGTACTAGTGTGTAAAGCAAACTGCATTGCAGACTTACAGATAATTTTACTTTTATGTGCCCTTGCCATCTTATTTGAATTGATTGTGAAGTGAGGGAGTTGGGTAAAGGATAAAGTGTTGTCAGTGTTTGCTGTAGTGACATGTCCTCTGTAGTCATATCTCATCCTGTTTCAAATCAGAAGCATTGTTATTTATCAAATTGATTGGATACTTAGTGGGGAAATAAAAAGAGGTGGAGGAATCCAATGTCCTGTGAGTGGTACTAGTTGGTAGATGTATCGGTAGAACCAGCGTCCTGTGAGTGGTACTAGTTGGTAGATGTATCGGTAGAACCAGCGTCCTGTGAGTGGTACGAGTTGGTAGATGTATCGGTAGAACCAACGTCCTGTGAGTGGTACTAGTTGGTAGATGTATCGGTAGAAGAATCCTCGGTGGCTCTGAAGGATTCTAGCAGAGCTCCATAGACGATAGGTACTCACCACTAAATAAAGGATGGAGCATCAACACCAAGGATTCCGTGATCGGTAGTTTATTAGATTGACATGTGATTGGATACTTATTAGATATTTTTGCATACATGTACACCAAGATATCTAGATATTATAACCTGTGTAAGCAAGTTCAGTGGAAGGAAGAAACAAACTGAGATAATGTTAGTTAATGAATGACTGAACTAGACAGTATTCATTAGATAATTGCATTTGTATGTTTCAGGCATTGTCAAAGGTAGTATTGGTAGACAAAGGTCAGATCTGGGACATTCCTGAAACGTGGTCTTACAAAGAGGCTGCTTCTGTATTATGGGCATATGGTCTAGCCATCTATGCCCTTAAAGTTAGAGGAAACCTTACCAAGAATTCAACTGTGCTCATACATGATGGAGCAAGTGACATTGGTCAGGCTGCCCTGGCAATCGCTTTGGGCTGTACCACAAACGTTTATGTGACTGTGAAGATGCAGTCTCACAAAGACATTTTGAATCAACGTTTCCCAAAGCTATCTGAAGATCGCATTTACCTTTCTCAACAGTCCAACAACTATGAGGCAGATATCCTCCGAGCAACTAAAGGCAAAGGTGATTGGTTTTAAGTGCATGCACTGGTTATAATTGTGAAGTTCAAAACAATTTTATTCATAGAAGACTATTTTATTTAAACAATAGATCAATAATTTGGTGAGAAATGCTTGTATTTGTCCAGTTTGGGAAACTATTCCAAAACACAATTCTGCATTCTCAGGAGGATATCCCTGTCACCTACCTCACACCTGTATTGAATTTGTATGATGTAATTTATTTGATTAGTTCAACCTTATACATCCTTCCTGTCCTAAACGGACCTTTGAGGAAATGAGTTACTGTATTGAAATATCATTACTGACTAATTAAAGCATTCATGGAAATCCTGCAGAACTATTTCAATCTAGGGATGATGGCTAGGTTGTCTTGTAGATAAATATTGAAGCCTAATATTATTATTTAATCACTAAGTTCAATTTACTTATTGTGTCTCCAGGTGTCAGTATGGTGTTGACCTCACAGATGGCCGACAACCTCCAATCTGATGTTCGTTTGTTACAACATGGTGGCAAGCTTCTAGACTTAAACACCTACCTCCCATCAGATCGTATACCTCAAGGTCAGTAAGATTAATATACCTGTACGGCAAACTTAAGGTCAATATCTGCAACACATGATCAGTCCAAGGTCAGGTACTGTACATCTCAAGGTTGATCCAAAGACAATTATGGCACATCTTATGATCAGTCTAATGTCTATGCATCACAATGTCAGCCCAAGATCAGTCACTGTGCATCTCCAGGTTTTTTATTATACATATCAATGTCAGTCAAGTCAGATACTGTACATCTCAAGGTTAGTCCAAGGAAAATTATTATACTTTTCAAGGTCAGTCCATTGTCAGTTGCTACGGTACATCCTGAGGTCCGTTAGTTACCTTTCATCTTGAGGTCAGTTACTATTTCTGAATTAGCAATGATCAAAAAGCTATAAGAAATGAATGCTGGTGAGAGAAGCGTTGATTCCCTTGTAGGAACTTTCCAGGGTAGCTACGAACTGCAGGGTATCCGGATTGATTCAGTCATGGATATGGACATGCCCTCTGTGGCCGAGATAATTCTACAGGGCATACGTAACAATACCATCAAGCCTCTCCCTTTCACCACTTACCCTATCCACAAACTCAAGGAGGCTTTTGATGCCATGACTACTGAGAAAGGTTCTGCTTCCAAAATACTTGTGGAGGTTTGTTGCAAGTTTACCTATTAATAGGATTACCAAGTTTTTTTTGTGTGTTTTTTGGGGGGCTTTTTTCACACATTATATATCATATTGTTGGGAAGTTGGTAATCTTACAGAGATCAATAATTTTTTTTCTTCATGGACTTTTGGTTTGTGAATTAAACTTTGGGAAAAAAAAAATTCACATATTTAGGGAAGATTTTCCACATAGTTGCAAAAAATGTTTTTATACAAAATCAGTAATGATGGCTGTATAGTATTAAATGTATTTAGATATATGTCTGATATTACATGTGTTAAATATACATGTTAAAGTGCCTCTTAATATATTCATCAACCATGTCTCTCACTAAATGTTAAATGATATATATCAAACTAGATGGTGCCCAGTACATCGAGTAAAACGCTGTCAGGAGACATCCCAGTGTCACTGCAGTGTTTCTGTCCTGCAAACAAGTCCTACATTATCACAGGCGGTCTTGGAGGCTTTGGCATTGAGTTGGCTCAGTGGCTAATTGACCAAGGAGCCAAACATATTATTCTTGTGTCAAGGTCAGGGGTTAAAAATAGCTACCAGGCTCGTAAGCTACTGTTATGGAAGGATGAAGGCGTGACCGTGAGAATCTCAAATGATGACATCAAAACTCCAGCAGGCACCAAGGATTTATTTGACAAGGCAAGGAGTCTAGGGGAGGTAGCTGGAGTTTTCCATCTTGCCATGGTATGTTAAATTAAGAGTGAAGATCTGGTTTTGTTAATGATGAAATTAATTATTTTTACATTTGTTTTCCTATTGAGATCCTATGATTTTGAGATTTCTTGTTTTGATTCTTTAATTTGCCATTGGATTCTTTACACTTTTTAATGAATTAAAAACCCAAAGTTAACACTTCAGTCATAATTGCATAAATTTATGCATTATTGCATAGGAGAAAATTTTAGTAATCGTTCAAAGTTTCTGTTCTTGGTTACAGGTGCTGAAAGATGGCTTGTTTGAGAACCAGTCTATGGAGAATTACAAGGCTGTCTGTGAAGCCAAAATTGATGTTGTATTGAACCTTGACCTTGAAACTCGAACCAGATGTAAGGAAAGTCTTGAATGGTTTGTAGTGTTCTCCTCTGTAAGCAGTGGCTTTGGAAATGCAGGCCAGACTAACTACGGCTTTGCCAATGCTGTGATGGAGAGAGTTTGTGAAGAAAGGTCAGCCCAAGGTTTGCCAGGTGAGATATCATTTTTGCTTTGGTTGTAGGAATTGGTAACAATTGTATTTATCCAGCAATAATTTCATGCCTGATAATAAGACCAACCCTATATACATCTGTTTAGTTAATTTATGAATCAGTGCTTTTTCATTGTCCTTTATTAATCCTGCCCCCCTGACATTAACTTACAGGTAATGTGTTTGTTGGGTTTATTATATTCCCAAAAAGGAGAGCATGTAGTCACTATTTTGTCCTTCAGTCATCTTTTTGTCTGGAGCATAACACAAAACTTGTAAGAGGTATCAACAGAAAACTTCATAGGTAAAAAGATCTCAACAAGAAGGGCATTTTTTTTTTGCATAATTTAGGAGTGATTGCACTTTGTTAATTTTTCATACTTAAATTTTGTCACATTCAAGGAGCATAACCTGTCTCGGACAGCCGTTGTGAATGAATATGGTTATTAATCAATTTAAATAGATCTGAAGCAATAAGCAAACTTCATCTTACAAGTCAGTCGTTCATGTTTTGTGCATTATGATTATTTTAGTGGGATTATAATGTGGTGTTCCATATTATTTATTATTAAAGTTGTAAGATGTAGTTGGAAACCAAATGCATCTGTCACCTGAAAAGTTGACATAACAGTATCATGTTGTCATTGATATCGGGAAAGAGGTTTCTGTTCAACTACTTTGAACACCACAGGTTTAGTTATTATAAAATTACTTGCATGGGATTAATGGATATGTACCTGTTAAGGAATGGTCTGTTCAAGATGACAAGACGACAAACACTGTAGTCCTCTTTGCTTCCACCAGCAGGGTACGAATTAAAACAAGCATTAGATTGCATTAATATTTCAATATGAGCAAAACCTCTTTGCAATTGCCGCCTTGATGCTAAATTCAACAGTTCACTCAATTTTATGAAGGGCTCACAATTATTCCAAGTGTTTCTTAGTTGGGCATGGTACTTGTCCAAGTCAGATTGTATTGATAAACCAGTGATTTTGTAGCTCAAAGTGAGCACCTACCTGTTGTGACCATCTTCCTCCTCCATCTCGAAAAGCGTTGTAAGGCATCTGCCTTGACAGGTAAAGGTTACTACATGTACAATGAGGTTCAAACCAAAGCAGTACAAGGATATTTTTAATACTCCTTCCAAAGACTTAAATAAATACATGTGTACCCTTTCCTCTAACAGAGATGGTGCTGACATCACAGTCCACTCAAAGTGTTAGTCTGAATTAGTATGTTCTACCAACAACTTTTTAAAAATTGAACTGGTGCCAAAATTAAGAAGTCAACAGAATATCAGGATGAGTTTATATATTCAAATGTAAACTAATCAAGATAGAATGGTTGGGTTTTTACTACTGGACTTTAGTTCAATAGTTTCTTATTAGCTCTGGCTAGTGGGATTTCATGTTAGCCTGCTTGTAGGGTGAGAGTGTTGGGTCATCAGGTGCATTCAATTGGGTTGCATTTCAGTTCAGAACATGAAGGTTGCTGTTATTGTTATTTTAAAAAAAACATCTACATCTATAAGGATTAATGAACTTTTTTTACAGTATTTTAATACTTAACAAATTTTATCTATTTACCTTTTATTTAGGCTTGGCAATCCAGTGGGGTGCTATTGGTGACGTGGGTGTTGCCAGCGATAAGACTGTGGTTGGTGGTACTCTACCCCAAAGACTGGTGTCCTGTTTGGAGGTTCTGGAGGCACTTCTTCACCAACCCCACCCAGTAGTGTCGAGTTATGTTCCTGCCCAGACTGAAGACCTTGGTCCCCAGGCTAAGGGACAGAAACAAGATATTACAACATCTGTACTCCAGATCATTGGTAAGATGTTTTAAAGGCAAGTCTTGTGACACCTTGTGTAGATAAATGTGAAAATTTCATCCAGGCTAATACAGTGAATATAGTGTAGGGTACATTTAGAAAAAATGCTTTTAATTTGGTACCTGAAAAAAAAATCAGCATTTGGTAGTTTATAGGCTCTGTGCTTGAAACCTACCTGGGTACACAGTGGTGTTTCCTTAACATATTATGAAGAACATTTTTCTCCGTTTGTAAGAATGGAATATAAAACTTCTATAAATAGATACCTTGATTTCTAAAGAACACTGTACTTTGATGCTTCATGACTTCTGTAAAAATAATTTACTTTATTTCAAGCTTTTGATGACAAATTTGAACTATCAGAAATAACAAACTTGACACATGTAATCTCTGATAGTTGTCTCCCCTGTAAGAGATTCAACAAAGCTCATGAGGATGTTGTTGTCCTGGGTCTTCAGATGAATGGTTGGTTGCCCAAATAATGTTCCTGGTGTGAAATGACATTTCACTGTCACTCTCTTCTCTAGACCATTGATAATTAAGTGTAAGGGTTGTAGGAACCCAAACAGCATCTCTGCAGATCTTGATAGTTTACAAGATTTCAGCTTTCGGCTTCCATATCTGATGGCATGTAAACGTTTTTACTGTAATTAATTATTCAATATTTTTGAAGAAGGAATAAAACAATTATATACATTGAAAATGACAAATATAGTTATTTATAATCTGTTGATGACTCCTGTGAAAAATATATCCTTTTTTCTTCAACTTTTGGTAGACCAGAGAAAGTTTGAACCATAAAAAAAAAAATCATTGCTTAAAAGTATTTACAGGTATATTGATTCTGATTTATCTGATCTCTTCCAGAGTATGGACCTTATGATCAGTTTGCGGTGATCAGAAGAACTGCCACAATTTATTATTTAATTTTCAATCACAGAGGTCTGTGACAATGTTTCTTGGGAATGAGGGGTGTATGGTATGCTGTAACTAGTACAAATTTATTTATCATTTTTGTACCAAAGATGTAAAAATTGAACACTATTTGACCAAATATCGGCGACTTATCTTAGGGTGGTGAATTTCTCTCTGGTGTACCATACAAGCCTCATTCCCCGGAAACATTGTTACAGGCCCCTATGGTTTTCAGCATCTGTCAGTCATTGAAATATTATAGTATGGTATGTCTGTCTGTTCATCCTTTGGTCTGTCTTTGAGGAACTATAGTGTAGTATGTATGTCTGTTCATCCTTTTTTCTGTGGAAGAATTGTGGTGTGGTATGTCTGTCTGTTCATACTTTGGTCTGTCTTTGAGGAACTATAGTGTAGTATGTATGTCTGTTCATCCTTTTTTCTGTGGAAAAATTGTGGTGTGGTATGTCTGTCTGTTCATCCTTTGGTCTGTCTTTGAAGAATTGTAGTATTGTAAGTCTGTCAGTCTGTTAACAACTTCTTGCCATTGCTTTATAGGGCATGCAATTCATTGTGATGATTTTCATGGAGTTAAAGTCAAAGTATTATTATTGTGGTGTTCACTTTTAGCATAGATTTTATATTTCAATAGGAATTCAACCAGGGAACACTCCCAGCCTGGACAAACCTCTGGTAGAAATCGGACTCGATTCACTCATGCTTGCTGAAATTAAACAACTTCTTGACCATGAGTTTGACCTTAGTATCTCCGTTGATGAAATCCGTTCATTGACAATTCGGCAGCTGAGAATGATGTTGAAAGAAGACTTGGACAACTCAGTGCCAGATGTTACTGGTAAGTTTGGATGGCTTTTTGGATTAACTGACATTCAAGTGGTATTTGTTTCCAAAAACATTATTTTACATGAGACAATAGCAGGAGCTGTTAAATTTGTGGGTAATGTCATAAAGCAGCAATTCTCTTCCATGATCTGTGTAAGTTGAAGAACTCTAACTGATCTGCAGTCGTGCACCTGTTTGACAGCTGTTTTAAGGTGACCTGACGTGGGTTATTCACAGGGTCAAACAAATGTATGGTTGGTTAACAGTCCCCCATCATAGGCATACTATAGTTTTGTGTTGTGTCCATTCGTTCTTCCATTCATTCTTCTGCTATCTTGTCAGGACTCTATCTCCCATTGTATATGTCTCTGGAACTTTATATTTGGGGTACAAATTCACCTTAGTGAGGTGATGTGTCATGTATGAATAGTAGGTTACTCTTATCAACATTTTGACCTTTGACCTACATCAAAGAAAAAGTTTGTTCAGACTTTATCTCTAACACTACTTGTCACTGGAACTTCTTAATTTGGAAATAGGTTCACCATGGAGCCATGTGTTGATGGGGGAAAGGTATTTCCTGATTTGTCTGGTTGAAGTTCTTCTTAGGTCCGAGTGCTATGCACCTAGTAGGTTACAAGTGCATATTCAACCCTCCAGTCTTCACATCCTTGCTATAACAAATACTCTGATGAGAGGGAAATTTCATCACTAACTGTTTTGGGTGCAAATTTATTACACCAGAAGCTGTAACTGATTTCCTGCCACATGACGATCATTGTGTTTTGATGTTTGTATGGTCTACCTTAATACTAAACAAATGCTGATTGGCATCTGATAGTGAGATACGCTGTGTGTAGACTATTTGAATTATTTAGGTACTTATTGGCATGCTTGCACTTTTACAACAAATTGTTTATTTTATGATATATGTCCATGTATGAAGGATAAGTTGTTAAATGTAGATACAGGAATGTATAGGTTTTCTATTGTTACATTTAGTGCACTGATGATGTACATGACAGTTTTGTAGCCTTTCAATTTGTGCAATTTTTTCTAAAAATTATGAAGAGGACAATTTTCGATATTTTGCTAGCTCAAGAATCTGTTTAGCATTTTATTAAAGTCTAAATGAAAATTTGGTTCTTCTATGACAGTGGAGAATTTGTCCTCAAAAGTGTCCATTACTAAGGATGATCTTGTTGCCAGGAAAACCATCAAAAGGCTGAATGATGTAGCCAATGACAGACCTGCTGTTTTCATCGTTCATTCTTTAGGAGGTGAGTACTTTATACTTTCTTCACCAAAATGTTTATTTTTTATCATGCTATTTTACAAAGCTTTTAATTTTTATTGAATCTCTTATTCAAAAGACATTCAAAACTGTAACAAGATTAGTTAACTGTTTCAATCAAATCATGACTTGTGTCGAACTTACACAAGAATACAGTATTCTTTACCTGATGACTCTGGGAAAAGGTACACAGATATATTGTATTCATTATATCGTAACTTGAGTTAAAGGTACACATTATTCAGATTGTAAGATGTACGAGTATTAATTGTTCAATGAATTTAATTTAACAAAATTGAAAGATACAAAAGGAAAATTAACATGTTCTACACAGTCCCAGATTTAAAATGTAATGGAAAAACATTCAGGATTGCGTTGTTATTCACAGGCACAATTTCCAAAATAGCTGACTTGGTTTCCAGTGTGGCTGCACCATTGTATGGAATCCAGCTGACAACTGATGTACCTACGCATTCCATCCATACAATAGCTGCCCACTACTTACAGGTGACAAACATTAGGTTACTCAAAACAATCCGTCCTATGTTTTATTGCAGATGATCATTAAGGATTGATATGAGAAGCAATTTTTTATCTTGATGTGTAAATAGTTAAGTAGAGACGATGAATGGCATAGGACTCCACTATTACTTGGCAATCTAGTTAGCATGTGTTTTTGTTATAAAACTGCAGTGAAATTTATTTGAAAGGAGTCTGAATAGTTTCAAATTAAAGAGATTAAATTTTGATTAGATTCAGTTAAGAGATCATTATATCAGTGATGGTTACATTATTTCTTCAGGAGATAGATACTCTGATACCAGATCAGCCGTATCATCTGGTAGGCGTGGAATTTGGTTGTCTTGTTGCCATGGAAATGAGACAACAACTTGAGAAGTTCCATGTGGATAGCAAGAAGATTGGGAAACTTGTGTTGGTAGATGGTAGTCCTGTGGTCATTCCACAACTTTATGGAGATGAATTGAAAGCTCTCCAAAAACTGTCCTGGCATGAACAGGACAACAACATCCTCGTGAGCTTTGTGGAATCTCTTACAGGGGAGACAACTATCAGAAAAGTAAGTTCACATTATTCTTCACTAACATTTTTTACCTTGTAGAAATACCTGACAATGATGAGAACTATTAGATGATTTTCACTTTTAATTGATAAAAAATGTGGACTATGACTGTTATCTTATTTACTAATGGATGAATAGATTGCATTGTCATGAAAATACTCAACTGTGTCCGTCATCAATCATAACATTTGTGGATGATTTTCCATTTCAATTTCAGACACTTGAGGAGAAGAATTCTTTTGACAGCAAGGTACAAGAAGTGACATCAAATCTGATCTCTCTTCAGCCTCAGCTGAATACAGAAGACATTGCCATGGCAACCAGAATTTACCACATGCTTTCCTCTTTGGCAGTGACCTTGATGTGGAGGTCAAATATTAAAGGTGATGTGACCTTGTTGAGGCCTTTACAACCATCACTAAGCTACTGTGTGCAACATCAAGATTATGGGCTAAAAGAGGTTGGTATTGAAAAGCATGCAAGTCCTCCATTGATTGTACTCACCTTTCAGATTATAAAGTTGGATTAACATGGAACTGAAATCTTCACTCCAGTAACTTCCTATCCATTCAACCCACTGACTTGAACATAGTGAAGTTGTTCAACTATATATTCAGTTTTCGGGGTCTATATCTTTCATTAAAGAAATTGTTGTGGTAAACTAGCTGTGTTACAATCTTGTTGTATGTCCCGGGATGAAGAAGTGGCTGGATTATTGAAAGCTCGTCAGTCCTTAGTGTTTAATGATTTAGTGGTCTCTTTGGTCAATAAATAATGATGTCAGATTGGTATAAATCACCACGACCATGCTTTCTCACTACTTCAGTTATTGTTAAATAACAGGTCTGTCAGCAATAACAAACCCAAAAGTAAAGACAGTCTTGGGGATTTCCGAGTTTATTTGACAATGCCGATAAAAAATTGGCATGATAGAATAAAGAAATAATAAGATTTTGGAAACAGTTTGATGCAAATCCTGACATAGAAGCTACAGGCTAATAGTTGAATTTTCGTTGTTGCAGTATGTGGATGGTGCTGTAAATATTGTCAACTGTCAATTCACTCACAAGAACCTGGCAAAAGAGAGCTTCAAGAAAGCACTAGAGGAGATACTAGTAGCATAGCCATGGTAATGTAGACTACAACCTGGAGTTGGAGTACAATAAGATTAGCTCACAGTCACTACACATTGTGAGGAAGTTTTTGGAGTATTACTTGAAATGTACAGAGATGAACTGTGAGAAATCTGTGCAACTTGTAAAGCACAGCTTGATGTGACTTAAAACTGTTCATAGGTAGTGGAGGACTCGTACAAGCTGCTGTGCCAAGTTTAAGCTGTCGGAATTTAAGAAAGAACATCTAATTGGCACAGCACCACTTGTGGTGACTGAAAACTGCTTGAGGATTTTATTGAAACATAATAGAAATTGTGGTGATTTGAGAACTGAGAAAGCCAGTGTAATTCTGGCAGAGCTCTTACATGGGACTTTCGCTGTAAGAATGTAAAGCTATACCTGTAGACAAGCACAACATGTGGTGACCTAAACACTTAGAAAATCACTGTGTAATTTTGGCAGAGTTGTTACGGGGACTTGCAGCTGTAAGAATGTAGTCATACCTGTATCTAAGCACCAAATGTGGTGACTTAAAAAATCTGATAGTATTTCTGGAGGATAAACTTTTTTTAATGGAATGTATGATATTCATTCCTGTTATCCTTGCATATTGATTTGCTGCAGATATAATATTTTGATACTGAGGAAACAATGTTAAAGATTACATTTCAGACAGTCAACTGGAAAAAGTTACTTCTCTCGACACAATCCATTGAACAATCATGATAGAACATGCAACTTGTTTTTTCTATCCTTTGAAGCAAAATCATAGGATGAAAGTTATTTTTTTACACTTGTCCATTTTAAGGAAATATGGATAGCTTTGTCTGTGTATAAAAATGTAGGAGAAGACCAAAACCTGGTCAAAGTACATGTAATAGGTCAGGGGTCAAATCATTGCATGATCTGGATGGCTTCATACTTTGTGGATGTCGTCGGACAATGTGAAACAATATGAAACATACTACCTAGTGAGTCCTACTTCCAAGTTCTTCACATTCTCTTGCAAAGTGTGATTAATGTGCAAATAAAATGGTGGAAGGCACTTTTGCAGAAATTTTTTGTTATTCCTATAAAATATACATCTATGCAATATTGTATTCATGTTGATAAATATATTTATTTTCATCATGTTGTTTATCTATAAAAGCAATCCTTTTGTTATTTCATAATCTATTCTTCTGTTGGTTCAAAAATAAATTTACAAGACTGTAATCAAATTGTGTTTTCTTTTTTTCATACCGGTAACATTTTCTGCAAATTACAGGATGTCAAACGGTTTAATAAGATAACCAGATATGCGAGTGCTTTATATCTATACATTCTGAAAGTGGCCTACCTAAAATGTACATAAAGTAACTTTATTTTTTTAAGAAATCATGGATATAAGAGAAGTTGGCAAGCAAATATCTCAAATCCATTAAAATGTTTTGTATTAAGTTCCATATTTGGATGTCCATAAAGTAATACATTATATATGGTAAATTTTCAGTCATAGAACTGGACTGACTTCAGGACAGACAGAAAATGCAAACATTTGCTACTACTCAGCTGTACCCCATTATCCCTCATGTTTTGGTACTGAAATGAAGTATCACTAATTTATCTCCTTTTTCATATTACCTTACCTTACCATAACATAAAAAAATGTAAATACCCTGTTGCCACCAGAAACATTTTTAGTCGCACATTGATGAAAGGGGAAACTATGTTTTCATCCCGACGTTGATGTTGGGGTTGGTTGCAGTTGTTGAAAGGCATCAGTCAACTCCTTTGTAAGTGTACTAGGTTCCTAATATTTGGTTTGTGTTTCTGATGGGTTTTTTTTTTTTTTGTTGTTGTTGTTGTTGAATTTTGGACTTCGACTTTTGTGTCTACATTAGTTTAATTGTATCTTGTCGATCGTGAACTTTTTGGTGTCAAAGGTCATAAACATCCTGTTGAAATATCTACTGGGATATAGTTTCTGTTTGGTGGAACCAGTTCCCAATGCCAGTTTGAGGTTTGGTGATAAATAATGTGGATAGGAAGATGACCTCTAAAAAATGTTTAAAAAAAAAATCTTTTTAATTTATATCCTGTTCCAAGCACAACTCATTAGATTATTTACCTCTCTTGATTTAATATGCCTATGTGACGACACCATCAGTTTTCATATCATTACACTTGTGTTTGACAATATTACTGATTTAGAAAAGAATTGATATGGATTGAGCTCCCCCATTTGAAGTTTCGCAATAATAAATTTATCAGTTGTCTCCCTTCTGAAACCTGGCTATGTACAGGTAACACCAAGTAAGTATCTTTCAAGAATTATGGTGAAGTCAAAATTCAATTGCAGGGCTAATGATGGGAAGATGTATGGCTAACATTAGTTATTACATGTAAAAATATTGATGTTCAAGACTCAAACTTTCATGAGTGTTCTACACTAATTCACAAGGCTGAGAAAATGATTAGTCCACTCCTGTGATCCACAAGACTTGAAACTGAGATAAGCTCCACTCTTCTGAAACACATGATTTAGAAACAGGGATAAGATCCACTATGACCTTTGAAACTCGCTAACTGAAAAACAAATTTAGCAATGTTGTATCTCCTTATCTAAACTCTAATCTATGGTCCACTAGATTTAGAATCAAAGCTACTCTATTACCCACAAGACGAAGAAACTAAGATAAGGTCTAGGTAAAGATTCTCTGATTATTGGGTTCATTCTACTCTCAATCATTTTTGCTCCAAGCTCCAATTTCTAAAGCTTTGTTTACGGTCGGACAGACTACAGGCAAAGAGTGTGTTTGTACCTACAATCTAATGATTGTGGACTAAAAATATGACTTAAATATCCAATAATCTGCAGTGACTTTTAATATTGAAAGCCATCATTTAAAACTTTCAAAAATAACAATTTGTAAAGACAGATTCCTTACATACTATCACAACATAAATAAGGTAAGTATACAGTGAAGAATATAAAACAATACAACATTTGGTCAATACTTCCACAACGAAAATAATGTCATTCACACATTACAAAATAATAACAAAACAAAATGTAAAATTTGCACTTTAAAAGAGATTTCACAGGTACGTTTTATAATGTTTATAAATATTGATAATGTATGAATTTATTTGGAATGACTCTTTCATGGATTTCTAACAAGTCCCAATCAGCTAAAATCTACTGTTGCTACAGGCATATCTTTCCCTAACTATGAAATCTCTCCTTTTGTAGTGTTCAAAGAAAATGGTTTCAACATACGTATCAAACGATTTCTTCAAGATTTCCATAATTAAATCGGTATTATTGCACTATAAACCTTGTCATAACATATCTAGAAATAAATCTTTGTCTCACTTTAACTGTTAAAACCATTCTTGTATTTGTGTGAATGCAATAAACAGTTTATCAATGTAAGTCAGAAAAATTGAAATATATTTTCTACTTCAGAAAAGCACATAGCTCTTGCATTATAAGTTAAAATTGATGTTGATGGAATGTAAATGGAATGTTTTGACTGTTACAGGTATACACCAAATATTTAATTTCTATTAAGTTAGCATTATCAAATAAAAGTTTTTACCGAGATTCTTCAAGTCATTAATAGATATACAGACTTACGATGTTAAAATTTATAACAAAATTTGTTATAAACTCACGATTGAGATTTTATACATATAAAACTGCATAATGCTGGATTCTTTATAGGGAGACATTTACAAAACAATATATTTTGGATTTCTAATTTTCACATACATGTACAAAAAATGTTTTAAAAATGTCCATGTAATTGAACACAACCACTGATGAACATGGAAGGTCAGCATGAAACTATTACATTGAAACAGATTTATTAATGATAACGGTATGCAATGTATCAACTGAATTTATCTTTGTTACTCAAATAGAGAACTAGTTGTAGTCAGATATTTTATGAAATCATCCTCATTATATAATGTTTACCACAGGGTAAGCTGTCACTAGAACATAGGCAGTGGTAACTTGCCCAACTACTGACAATATTTGATGTGGATTCACTTTGGTACATGGACATTCAACCGTGCAGCAGCAAAAGGTAGTTAACAGACTACACATTGTCATACCTATGAATTGTCACATTACCTTTGTACTTCATTAAGATTTGTCCTGAAGCTAACATTGGTTATATCTGGCACCATTAGCATACATAACGTTTATTTTGTAGTTTAGGTTTACTTCAGAACTAGAATGCCTAGTCTCCAACATTGTTTCGTGGCAAAAATAGGCCTCCAAATGCTGGATTAAAACACACTTCAGGATACCAGGTCCTTTTTTCTTGCAAACATAATCAGGTCACTAATCCAACTAATCAACCATGCTCAATGTTGATGACTTTGATACATGTATAGTCACACTAAGAAGATGATGCTCTAGGAAGAGAAAATACTGATATCCATAAACTGTCACAGATGAATGGCTGCTGGAATTGTACACGTTTGTCTAGATTTCTGATAATAAAACAACTGTACACACACAAGTGTGATTAAAAAAAACCCACTAACATTCCTATCATTTGATTCATGATTATTGCTTCAAGTACAGATATGGTTTGGTACGAGTAGTAAGATTATCATTGATGAACACGATGTCAATTTTTTTTCTTCCAAAGGAAAGTTCTGAAAGATGACACTTTTCAATGCTGAACCTCTCTGAAAGTTATAAATTCATCATAAATGAATTGATGCAAAAATCATCTCTCTCGCTGAACATAATTGCAGAGACTGAAAAGAGCGTCTGATTAGAAATCACATTTCATTTACTTCGCATCAACTGTAAGTCTACGGTCGTTCTCACAATCCATTCACATCATTATTCAATCATATATGCGTAGAAATTTCAGATAAATACATTACACATATAGAATGGATGACTTCAAATAAATAATAAGAAAAAATCTTTTCTAAAGTGAAATACGGTTCGCAAGAACCTGACATGATGGTGGGATATCACATTTTATCAGATGTGGCAGGGTTAAATACACAGAAACCTTATATATTGGAGCCATATATATCAAATAAAATTGGATATCCACAAAATTCAAGAAGTCAGGATTTGGATATAATGGTATTAATTGGGAACAATATTCACAATATGATTTTTCATTGATGATTTGAACACTAACAGTTAATTAGAAAAATCTTTAGATAATTAACTTTTAAAAAAAAACAGAAAACCACACAATTTTCTTTTGCCCATCTTAATAATAAAAAAGTATTTAATACACATTTGTCATCTGTGTTTGTTAAACCACAAAAAAATACATAAAATTTAACATCTTTTTGTGACACTAACAGACATTCAATCCAGTTGTTGCCCTGTTGTCGAGAGAAATCTTTCCTCATTTCTGTTTATTTTTGCTGAATTCCTATAAACCTTAAGCATTTTAAGTATAACAGAACTCCTGATCAACAATCACTGTTAAAGTCTGAATTTCTTTTTGGTATATTGGTTTTAAAAACTTTGAAGTAGTCCTTACTCATTCATATTAAGTAAGAAATAAGGACATGCACTTGCTCTCCCCCTCTCCTACTTCCCCTTTTTCACTTTTTACCTTCCTTCAACCCTTCACTGGCCCCTAATCAGTACTGATAAGGTCATTTGTCTCTGTGACTCCAACCTCTGTCCCTGTTTCCACAGTACCCTCGATCCCATCCTCCTCTTCCTCTTCTTCTTCGTCGTTGAACTGGTTTGTGGTGTCGTATGTGAATGTGCCGCGAGACAGATCCACCTCTATGGGGAACACAACAGCCTTCTTCATGACTGAATGGCAGTCATTGTGATACTTAGCCATTGCTGACACAAACCGTTGTAGCTGGAACACAATGTCTTGGACTGGAACAGAACGAAAGACAAACATCAAACTTTGATACAAGTTTTTTTAAAATACTAGAAGGGACCAGTAAAGCATATTCTACATTTTTCAAGCTCATTTTATTTTTTAATCACTACTCACTACAAATGGAAAAGTAAAACATATGATACAATCAACTCTTTGTACTCTTTGCTTTTTTGTGTTCTATGAGCTTTTTGAATGTGGTACCAAATGAAAGATTTATAATTCGAAACATGCTGATAGTACTCAAAATCAAAGAAAAGAGTTTTTGAAGATATCTTACTTTAAAAAATGAAAACCTGAATAGAATTGACATTAGACAACTTACCATGTTTTTGGTCTAGAAGTTCCATTTTGACAAGGACGTCGGCTCTCATTTTGGCGAATCTCTGACGGGCATCTTGTCGACAGCGCAACACTAACCTGAAATTTTGAAACATTTTTTGCTTTAGATAAAAGGTCGTCTCATCTAAGACAATACAACATGATATATGGGACATACTGTTTCAATCACATACCTTCATAATTATGCATTTATTGAGTGCACTATTTGTTCTTACAGCTCCTTGTTTTCACTCCTTACAGTAGATCACAGTACTAACCTGTATTCAGAGTTCCCTGTTTCCATTCGGTACAGTAGATCACAGTACTAACCTGTATTCAGAGTTCCCTGTTTCCACTCGGTACAGTGAATCACAGTACTAACCTGTATACATAGTTCCCTGTTTCCACTCGGTACAGTAGATCACAGTACTAACCTGTATTCAGAGTTCCCTGTTTCCACTCGGTACAGTAGATCACAGTACTAACCTGTATACATAGTTCCCTGTTTCCACTCGGTACAGTAGATCACAGTACTAACCTGTATTCATAGTTCCCTGTTTCCACTCGGTACAGTAGATCACAGTACTAACCTGTATTCATAGTTCCCCGTTTCCACTCGGTACAGTGGTTCCTGTAATGCTGCATAGCTATATTCCTCATCATCCATTTCCTTCACCTTAAGACAATAAGCCTGTCAAACAAAATTGTTATATTTCAATGGACATCCTCAGTAAACAAAATGTACACCTATATGTAGCTCTTAATGTATAACGTCCTCCAGTCCAAACTTATATTTTAACCACTACGTGTTGTGTTCTAAGACAATGACTCAAACTTTACAATGGTAACTGCAATATGTAATTTTGTATATTACTATAAAAACCTGTCTCCATTCTCTGATTTTTTATAAAGAAAAGGTACGACTATCAAACATCAGTATTTGCCCATTATCCATTTTGTAGATACAGCACACTGTATACAATATAGCTGTTTAAGTATAAACTAAATTTCTGTCTGATCCTTGCCTACGTGTTACATGCTGTCAGTTTGGCCTGTGCCTTATATCACTTTTATTGTCATTTGAAATTATACTCCACCCACACTACTCTATTTGCTACTCTTGCAAGATAATTTGTTTTATATTGGAATTTAAAAGATAATTAAAATCAAGGAAGATATATTCTGTAAATCTTTACTGCTTATATTTTGAATGTTTTACTTGTACATGTTTAGTATGTGGTACCTTGTCTGTGATAAAAAGGTGACATTATGACAATTTCTATATCATTCTACAAAAAACAGCATTTCAGTGTTACTTTAGTTTTAGCTTTAGTTAATCCTGACACTTACCAGATACTCAAACTTAACATCCAGATATTTCTTTATGGTAAGTCTTGTGTCTGGAACTGCTTTATGTAGGTATGTGTTGAGATCACTTATCATCTGAAACAAAAGACAGGTATCTGATTACAACCAAGCTTTAAAAAACTTACAAAGGATTTAAGAACTAAAACAATATTCACAAACAAAATATTTAAATAAAGGATTGCAGTGTATTTATTGATGGGAGGATCTTACTGGTTTTGCGGTTTTTAACATCTTGATGGCAAACTTCTCCATGTTACGATGTGCTTCCCCAAACATGCTGAAGGCTTCACTCGCTGCAGGTTGAGGCTCGCGCACTCCAATGCTGGAAAACACCTCCCCAAACACTGAAAAATTGAAAAAAAAGTTGTTTTTGTTTGCTTATTATGAGCATGAAAGTGAAATTTAATCGGTATTTTTTCTTCAGTAATATGGTGTCCTTTTTAAATACATCCAAAGTGGAAGTCACCTCAAAGCATTTACTGATCTCGAGACCAGAAAATGTGATATATTGATCAAGAAACATAACAGTAAAATACACTGTATGATATACTTACACTTATGGGACTGCGACAGTTCAAATGTGGACTTGAGTAACTTCTTTGTCTGTTCAATTAAACCTTTATACATGTCAGCTGTCTTCTCCAGTTCTTCAAGCTTCTTAACTAATCCATCTATAAGTAGAAGTTAAAAACACAATAAACTTGAAAAATGAACATTGTTAAATTTCAATATACTGATAATATTAAAAACGATAATAATGTTCAAGTTACTGTTAATGTTCAAAATATTGATTGTTTATTTCATGGTCTGTTACCATTACAGACATTATCTGGTTTCTTCAGAATTCAGTTTAAGCTTTGGACATGTTGGATATTGAATGTGGGTCAAGGTATTGATTTAAACATTGTCATAGCCCTAGCTCTGCCAAGTAAAGCAGTACCTTAAAACTGATTATTTGCTGGGCTCATCACTCTGTGAAGAGCAGGAATCATTTTGTTGTGGTATCTCCTTCTAGTATCTAATGGTTTCCCAACTAAACATTGACAAATTTCTTCATGGAGTGAAGTGTCATGCCCAAGGGCATTACCATGACAGAACAAGATGATCTCTAATCTCAGCTTCCTGAGAAACACATATTACCCTGGGTACAAATCAAACCACACGTTACATTGTCATCTGATATTGAAAAGTCCAGGGAAACTAGAATACTGACAGGTCAGCAAGGGTCCCGCTATGTGACTGGAAATTCCTCCCCTCCTTCTTCATCACCCCACCCTTAAACACACACACCCCAGACTGGCAGATTACTAGCAAGACCTTACACTCTGCCACAAAAGTCAAGAAAGACTGTTACAAAAAAATACATTCAACAATGTGATTTTTTTATCAATAATAACAGTGACCTTGACCTTAGAACTTGGGATATAAAAAGCGATATCTCCAGCAAGCATGTGTTGTAAGGAAGCAATGTATGAAGTTTGATTTAGATTGGGCAAAGCAAAACTCAATTCATCACAATGAAACTGATTTTAACTTATAGTTGCAGTGACCTTTCACCTTTGGACCTAAATGCCAATCTATCCAAATGAGCGCTTTTGGTTAAGAAGCATTGCATCAAGTTTGAGTTAGATTGGCTTTAGCAAACTCGAGGTATTCCACAAAATGGATTTTCCATTATAGCAACAATAACCCCAACCTGTGACTTCTGGGTCTGAAAAGTAATCCCTCGTAGGCGCTTCCTTCATGGAGGCTTGGCATTAAGTATGTGTGCAATTGGCCTAAAAGAATTTGAGATACTGTCCAGTAACTAACAAAATGGATGGACGAATGCAAGGACAGACAGACAAGCTGATTACTATAGGGTACCCACATCTCAATGCAAGGCCCTAATTACTTTGTCTCCCATCATTATGACATTATAAAACTTATGTTAGGAAAAGTTGATGATTAATGCATGGGAAACACACTGAATGAATGAAGACTTGGATAGTTTCACAAGATGGTTCAAGTACTCACCATTACATAAGATTGCTCTACTCAGACCTAAGGCGTCAGCCGTATTTGTATTCATGGTCTCCACCACACGATGTTTCACCTTTTTTAAAACTGCAAGAGAATAAGAAAAACAAATTTAAAACAGTTTAAGGGGTAAATTATTAATGAAATGTCAAACTTTAAGTTTTAATATTTTGTACATACCTTATTACCTAGTAAATCTGTTGAGGGGATCATGAGATATCAGGTATACAATTTGTTTATTTCAAATGTGACCAATTGTGACATTACCCTGTTTAACCTTCACCGCCAAAATATTTATCAGATGTAGACTTTGATGTGATTCTGCGGTAATCATTTGCGGGGTCCATGACATATATTGTACACAAGCTATGTATTATGAACACAAATGCAAGCAAACACCAATGGAATCAGAGATAAGTGATTATTATAAACCTCCATTTACTGGAAGTGGGGGTTATAATAAAAACAACACTTGAATACTTATTCTAGTAGGAGTTTTCCACACATACCTATATCAAGAGATTTTCCTTGCTTTGGATCGGCATGTAATTTATTATAGTTAATCGTTACTTCTTCCTGAAAATGTAAAAGACTCGTAGATATAAAGTACGTTTTCCACATAAATAAAACATCTAAACATCCAGAGAAATTGATGAGTATGATTTCTGTAATAATTGTGAAACATGAGCTTTACTTAAATTCAAAATCTACAGAAAGAAATTTGTAACCTAAACACAGAATACTGCAAAAATGCAGTCAGTAAAGCAGGAGAATTAGGTCAGAATTACCCAGAACAACTGTATACTGCAGTAATTCCAGGGATCCTCCTCTAGATATATTCCAATGTTACAAATCAGTTAAACTTGAAGTACTGTGAAATACAAAAAATGTACTACCAAACAAAGTCTAACCCATGTTACAGAAAATCTGCAGCGAAATTCTCAAGCTAGATATCCACAAATTATTTTCATGAACAATAAAGTTGAAATCAAATTCATCTTAGAAAAACAGGTTTGCTATGATACAATGTGGACAAATGGATACTATATATCTTTCACTACAAATTTATCTTCAACTTACTGATATTGACTGTATCATTTTCGCAACTTCCACTTTACTCTTGCCCTTGGCTGACTGTCCATTCACTCCAGTAATCTCATCCCCTGAGGCCAAAGTGCCATCCTTGGCAGCAGGAGTGTTATCGAATATCTGGACGACGTAGAGGCAAGGACAAAGTGGGGCTCCACCCCCTATACTGATTCCGATTAGATTCTGGGCATCCTTTTTCAGCACTATACTGCCAGATGTCACTTTCATACCCCTTTAAAATCAAGATAGAGAACAAGACTAAATTTCAGTAAAGACTTTTTAAAGTTTTCTACCAAAATTTTCTTTTTTGTGTACAGGTCACAAGAACAAAATCATTCAGATAACAAAGAACTAGATTTCTTGCATACTGTTATCAAAATATCACGTTCAACTGCATTCTTTACACAAACCAAGAAGGCTACCTGGTAGATGAATTGAAGAATGAAAAAGGTTGATATTAATGTTTTATGTAATTTTACACAGTTAATACCAGAAAAATTACTGATCATCTCAGTCACTTGTTGTCATGCATTCTTTGTCTTAACAGGGACGTCCCTGGTCTTAAATAAAATTTTGTTCCAAAATGTCAACTCTTGACTGATATGAATGATCTCAAAGCATACATGTATTCTCTTAATCTCAGTACATGAATACTCTGGTCATTTTTCCAAACACTGATATGTTCTTTTCAATTTGCATCCTGGAAATCTTGGAATCCAGGTATTTTTTAGTTTGATAGGTTTTATCAGCCCATGAATAGCCAGGTAATTTTTAAGCAAGAAAAAAAGACCATGAATAGGGAATGTCAAACTAAGCACCTCGATTCTTCAACCGAGGCCAATTTTCTACCTGACTGAGCTATCATGGCACTGTGCTTGAAGAATAGCAAAGGTCAAAAATTGTATTTCATTCACCAGGCAAATCAATGACTGTAGAATACTATAGCTGTGCTAAACAAGAGGTCTAGTGGCCTTGACGGTCACATGACATAAGCAATATTGAATATAAAGGTTAAAGGTTAAGTAGCTTTCAAGTGTCATGAAAAAGAAATTGTGATATTGATGATAGTAAGCCAGTATCAATAAATGCATACCATCTAATGAAAAATAAACATTTTGCTCGGAAATGGAAATTTATATCAAAATTATAGCAAAGTTAACCTTGTTCCCAGGGAGAAATTTGAGACTAATCTTTGTAAAATACCTTCAGATGCTTCCATCCATGACAAGCATTTGATACTACCATATTTGGGTGTTGAGAAAATGATTTTTGAAAACTAGGTCAATCTGACCCCTTTTGGCCCCACCCACCGGCCCCTAGGGGTCAGCCAGGATCAATATGGGCATACCATCAGGCCATTATCCTTTGCTCATAATTCTAATGAAGTTTGAAATATTTCCAATGGAAATTAATTAAAAAATCTATTTTTCCTACGTAAATTATTGTAAACTTTACCCCCCTTGACCCTTTTGGCTCTGCCCCTCAGGCCCCTATCGGCTAAGGACCGTACCCTTTTGGTTCATCTTAAACCAAGGAAGGATTCTAAAAAAAATTCATTGAAAGTGGTTCAGGGGTTTTTGAGTAGAAGTTGAAAATGTTAATAAAGTTTACAGATACACAACCCTGGACAAAGGTGATCGCAAAAGGTCACCATGAGACTTTCTCTCAGATGACCATACAAAAATACCATTCCACTGTTGTAATTTAACACCACTATTGCCTTGATATACCTGAATACTTTTCATGGAATTTTGCCATTTCATATTTCGTAACTTCTGGAAATCGTCCAAATGCATTCTTTCCAGATTATTTTGGGACAAGAACTAATCATTTGCTGCCACAGACTATTATTTTTTGTGACAGTGCAAAAAAATCTAAGAATCTTTAACATTAAGTTTTAAATGAAAGTGGGACAGACGCCTCAATGCCTCTATAATCATAGGAACAGAAATAGTAGAACACAAAATATCTATGTTGTTTGCAAAAGAAAGGTGAATCATTCTCAGTGACAAAATTAGATTAATTACTAAATTGATCTATATGGCAAACTTCCATGTAATGTAATAATAAATATTTTAAAGAGACTAAAGCATAGTTAGGTGTAGTTTACACGATACTGTGTGATTAAATGGAAATATTCAAGATAAGGTCAACATTAACTTTCAAAACACCTTTCTATCATATCAGTTCCTGGTTATATAACAGAAACTCACATGCGATCTTCTTCATAAAACATTTGAAATTGACCTTCATCAGAGTCATATTCATCCGGATCAAATGTAGGGATTAAATCATATTCATAATTTGTAGAATCACACATTATACTTCTGAAACTGGCTTCACCACTCCGACAACAGGCAATGTTCTTTTCTGACAATAACTAGAAATAAACTGTTTGTGCAACAGCTGTACATGTCATGGTTCGTGAACTTGAGAAATTATTACAAGCTAACCATGTCATTGTTTGGAAGCAAACAAATAGGCTAGTATTCGTACACAGGATGTGCAGTGTATCGACTTTGTGCAGATGTGACCCTTGCCACGTCATTCCTATAGGACTGGGAAAAACATGTTTACATTTACAAATCACGTGGGTCCGGCAAATTTGTCATGCATCGATGACGAGTGTTTTCAGTGTTATACATTTTAACCAAGTAGATTTAGGTCGGGATTTTTTGGGGTGTGTGTGGAGGGGTCCATCCGTTCGATACCCCAGTAAATATATAGGAACTTTGGTATACGTCTTTTAAAAGTGCAAATGGTTATTATGATAGGAAGATAGAAAAATTACGAGACATAAACGGTCTCAATTTATCCAAAAGCATCCGTCTGACAAATAGCATCTGTCAATCGAAATTCAGTGCCGATCAATTTAAGAGTTACATAACTGAACTATGAACATACAGTTTGTCTTCTTCCATTTCGTACTCCATTCCGCCCTGGTCATAATACATATTTTCTTTCAATTAGCATATAACAGACTTTTCAGCCTTTTCCCGAACCTGTTTCCCTATTATTACCGGAAACAACGAGATAGAATCTAGGGCATGCGCATATTGTATGTTTTGAGGAATTCAATATCTGTAGCGGGCAACCCCATGTTTACTTCAAATAGGGGTGTCAGGTTTGAGAGGTGTGTCTTTTTTCGACCAATCGCAATCTTTATTTAACTCCTCGTAAGTATACTTACTCCCCGTTCTTGTAGCGTAATTTCCTTCACCAGTTATAGAACAATATCATATATGCAGAAAACAATCTCATGACAATTATATATAAGAATGATAAGTACAATATTATAACTAATTCAATCATCATCCGTGTGAAATTAATTTAAAACAACATTCTTATTAATATTGACGATATAGAAGGAATAGCCACCACGCACAAAGTCACGTTGCACGATAACGTAAACACGCACAGGCCTTAGACGTAAACACGGGGCAATCACGGTGTCGTCAGAACGAAGGAGAGAGATTGAATCGTTAAGGTCAGTATATTCTGTCGTTTTCTTATTAAAACGCATATAACAAGATCAAACATTTGTTTTGGCAAAGATTGTTAATATTTGATCGTCTTCAGAACTTATGAAATGTTAAAAATCCTGCAAAACATGGACGAGAATTAATTTTGGCTCGCTTCCAATGTTTATATCGATCGTAAACAAATGTTGTTGGTGTTTTATTAGATATAAAGAGTATAATATTAGATGCTAGCAATCAATTCTTTCGAGCTATCTGTTAGAATTCATTTATTTTTGAAGATCTTACACGCAGAATTTTGTATCAAAATTTAAAAACAACGTTAGCCTTATTCCCAGTAGGTTGGATCGCAAACCGACTCGAACTGGTTTAGACCAACCAAGCTATTTTGTCCAAGAGTGAATGACCGACAAATGATCACTATCGGTTCGTGTGAATGACCGAGAAAATATTGACACCGCATTCGGTAGTACTTGAGTGATAAAAGATATTTTGCACGCTAATCTACTATGGCCTCGTTAAAAAAGTCGCTAAATCTGGGTGCAATTAGGTCAGTTTCAATTTTTCCTCAGGAGGAATCGAAACAAGGATCTATTTTTGTAAACACATTTTATAGTGATTAGTTCGACCTTAAAACAGTTTATATATGATAGTTGATTAAATAACAAATTTACATATGTAATTTCAGAAAATTGACGGCAATGACAAGCACCCTCTTAAGTATACAGTATACAATGTGATGATTTATTCATTATAGGAAGAAGAAACCACAGTTGGAAACCAATACATCACACGAAAAATTGATCAACGATTATCGTTTTAGATAAATGGGTAAGAAAATTGTCATCGTTTGAAAAAAAATGTATGTCAATGTTTGAAAATAAATGTAACTTCATATATTTGCATGTGTTATTTTCTTTCTCTTTTACTCGTACATGTAGTTGCAAGAGAAAGAAAGAAAAATTTATTGTTGATATTCATTTAACTTCTCTTCATTTCAGACCGAATGAATGATAACTTCTTCAGCCAGCAGATAGGAGGAATCTTTGACAACCATAATAGAGAGAACTGGGTATGGGATCAGTTCCATAAGTCACCCGAAGTGACACTTTCCCCCGACCAGGAAAGTGCATACTTCCATATTGATCCGGTATACCACAGTACCGGCACAGCAGGTAATGGAATATGTCAGGTTAACACTTTACTACTTTTATATATATATATTCAATTTTACATTTTGTTTCTTATTAATAAAACCACTTATGAAATACTAATATGAATGAAAATAACATTGTTGCAGTAGTTATTGTATTAAAAAAAGTCCTATGAAAGTAAAACTGTGAAATGTTGGGGTTTTTTTTTATCGTTTTCCGTTTGTTAAATAACGGGTTTAGATAAGTTAAATAACAGGTTTAGATAAATATGTCTATAATCAAAAACTATTTCTTTGTTATTTGTTGTAACCTGCTCAAATTATATGAAAAATTTTCAAAATACAAATAAAAAATAAGGAGAATAAATGTGGAAGAGACAGAATACAATAAAAGTGTAGCAATCAATAACAAATCTAAGTTTTAAACAGATTTTTGGTGAGAAAAATTAATTAGGATAATGTTGAAGATCAACAATATTCAAAAGATAAACAATAAATAGGGAAGTTAGGAAGGATCAACTTCTTATATAGAGAATATACATTGTAAATATCATCAAGTCTGTGTGTGGCTAAATTACATCGTTGTCCCTAATCATAATTGAGATAAAATGACTTTTAATTTAGAATTTGAAGCAAAAAAATCATGATTAAGAGTAAGGTGGCATCTGTGTTTTGTTCTTTTATATTTACATTAACAGACCTAATAAGCAAAATATATTGGTTTGAATTCATACATAAATCTAAAACGCTAACTGTGTTAAAAAGCTACATTTTTCTTTAAGCTCATATTTTAAACACCTAGCTTGCTTTCGTGGCATCACAGTGCTAAATATCAGTAGACAATGAATGGCATTTTAAAATAAAACTTTCGTCCTTTTTGCACATTTAGGGAACAGTCAAAATTTTTATGTAATGTCATGTTTCGAAAGCTTTGCATTGCCTTATTAAAATCTCATTTAACTTTTATAAACGCTTATAAATAGCATAAGGTATAGAGCACTGCTCATTTCATGATTTTTTTCACTACCGGCATGACTTGTGGCCGGAAGCACTGTTTCCTCTGTACTTGCAATGGTTTGTATTACAGGTGATTGATCAAAAAGAAAGGCAACCATGAGAGGCTTCGAAATCCTGGTTCTGATCACATACTTTGGAACATATTATACAATAAATAGATTGTGTAGTTTGGAGGTAATGTTTATTAAAAAGGATGAGTATGTGGTGATGTTTTTTTTACCAATGTTTATTAATTTAACAACCATTTTTCTTTCCATTATAGTGCACATGAAATGGAATGCAGAAATGAATATTACTGTTGCACACAGACACATATGTGATTTTTACAATGTTTTTGCAGTGTGAAAAATATGTTAATTAGTTGTGATGATTAAAGCTGTTCTAATTGGGAAAATTTGAAGAAAAAAATCCCTGTAAAATAAATAAATTTTTTTTTTTGCATATTTTAGAAGTTACGATTTGAAAAATTAACTAGACTTATGGATTTGATTTGATGCTTCTCTTGTCTATATACAATATTTTTCATAAATAAACTTTTTGTTTCTTCATCTGTTTGAAGCAAAGGTATCTTCACAACTTCGTGAGCTGTTAAAAAGAGAAAAAAGAGTACAGTGTTTGGGAAACTTTCAAGAGAATATAATCACAAGTCTTAATATGACATTTTATCCAATAGGGACAAAATACTGTATGAAACAGTTCATCCCATGTGACGGCAAGAAGATTGTATTACAAAAAACCCATAGCTTGATTTTTGAATGGAAGATATTCTAATCTTAGAGAAAAGTGGGTTTGTGCAGAAAATTTAATGTTGATCTTCTAACTTTCAGGTGTACGGGGCACCAAAGGGTTTATAGATGGTATACACTATTGGGAGGTGACATTCCTTGAGCCCCCGAATGGGACCTCAGTTATGGTGGGTGTAGGGACAGAAAAAGCTGGACTACATACAGATGACTACAGATTTGTTGATCTAATTGGTAAGTCTGCAGAAATAAAAAAGAATCTTCCATCCTCTTGCGGTAAGGATATGGGGATCGCAAACCAAATGAGAAAAACATGAAACTCAACTAGTGTTTTTTTCAATTTAAGAATCTTTACCTGAGAGAATACCCCCCACCCCCCTTTCATATTGTTACAACATAGCAATTCAATGAAGATTTATTTACAAAAGTAATATATGGTGGTGTAATGTTATCTGACCTCTCTTGACTTATTGAAATAATAACATACCAATCTTTTTCCTGCAATATACACAAGGAGCCAACAAACACATATTGACACAAATAAATCTCTTCTGACCAACAGTAGAAATGGATTGTCTGATGGGTAGGAGATTATTGCCTGATAAATATCTCTTGCAGTTGTTTTCTTTAGTTGTAACAATACATGGATTATTTTGATACCGGTTTACAACTATTGGATTAAGTTTGGCGACAGGTTTTCTGTGATATGGTTGTCTCCCCAAGATCGTAACATAGCAAATTTGAGTCTGTCCTAATGATAATATAACCCGAAACACTTGAAAAAAGGTGAAAACAGTTAAATGTTGTATGATAGTTGCTTTAAACATAATTGTGTCAATCTTATTTCAAGTAGGTCTCAGAAATCTCGATGAAATAGCAGATTAATTCTGTATAATTGATTTAAAAGTTTAATTACCACTTTCTGAATTTTTGTCTTTTTTTTATGTTTAAAAAATGTATCATTTCCTCATGCTTTATACATGAAGAAAAGTAATGTTGGAAAGTATGAGAATATTTGTATTGTATAAACAGATATTTTATTTGATTGTCACAAATTTTTAGTTGGTGTATTGGTTTAGATCACATTTGATTGCATATTGCTTGTAAATATCTTCAGGTATTGATGGGGAAAGCTGGGGTCTTTCATATCGTGGGGATTTGTGGCATGATGGAATGTGTCATGAATTCTGTGCACCAGTATTCCACCAGGCTGTGATCGGCTGCCTCTTAAATCTATACAAAGGGACCTTAACCTATTATCAAGATGGGCGAGAACTTGGTGTGGCTTTCACTGGTCTCAACAATCTAAGCATGCCATTGTACCCAATGGTAAGCTCTACTGCAACTGAGACTGAACTTGGACTTGGTACACGAACATGTCGATACCTCTCTCTGCAGGAGAAGTGCTTCCAGGCCATCAAAAACAGTCTTCGGTGCAGCTCTGAGGATGAAGTAGACAACTTACCTTTACCAAATTCCATGAAAACTTTCATCAAGGAATTCTAAAATCATGTCATGTTCACATTAAATTTACATTGAGATCAGGGGTGCTGCTGATACTTTATCAGGATTCACAATTTTTCACGTCATTATAGAAATTTGTTACTCAAATTTGTGACGGCTGCATTTTTTTTTTTTTCTATTTTTGTAGTTTCTTTTCAAATACTGGTTGATCAATGCAAATCTTATTTCTTTGATCAGGAATTGGTCTTTCAGGTTTTCTGTATTGACCAATATTCCATCTAATGGAACCTGTTACTTAAAAATATTCAGGTGGAGTTTATTCTGTGATTAGTTTTTTGTGGCAACTGTCTATATAACAGAAATCTGTTTGATCTAGAAAAGTCTATTACATAACATTATTATATTATGCATTTGAACAAAGGGACTTGGCAGACGTTCCTAACTCTATGGTCAGTGTTGTATTATACTGACGTTACAAATATATAAATTGTAGAGTTAAGAATTCATACCAAACCTCAGTGCTACAGTATATATATATATATTATTTGATTAAATGAATGTGTATGAATTAATTTTTTTTTTTTCTGATCACAGTAGATACCGGTAGTTACTATGAGTTTCAGACTAACCAGGTTTCGGTATACACTTATATAATAAAAGTTAATGATATTATGATAACTATTAATTTTATAATGTGGAATCTTGATGTAAAAGGATTCTGCCTGTAGTGTTTCCGATTTTCATGTTTCAGTGAGAAAAATGATTGGATTTAGATATTTTGTGAAATTTCATGGAACATTATGGTATGCTTAATCAATATTTTAATTCAATGTGGTAAGATAGCAATTTTTTGTGCAGTTAAGCATGTTGGTTTGGTTTTTTTCTATTGCTCTGACAGAAATACGTGAATTTTGAATTTTTGGGGACAAATTGCTGTCATGAAATTGTGCATGAAAAATAATCAGATCTTGAAAACAAATCATGTATTTAATTTAGGAAATTAAAGAAAAATAATTTAAACATACTAGTCAATGTATAAGTAAGGCATTCCAATATTATGTATAAAGAAGACTACATAGTTATTGATAATGAAGGGAATTAGTTTCAATATGTACGGGTACTTCATATGAAAGTTTTCAATCAGCATTAATCATCAATATTTAAAGGGACTGGCAATGCTGACCTTAAAATGTGTGTTTCAGGTGTCCTTACACAAACAAATTCTTTTATCAACCTCCTATTTCAACTGTTGGAAGTGGTTGATAAATCTTAAATGCTCTCAGGTGACGTTGACATTTCGCAATATGAAAGGTGAAGTTCTTTTCAATCCAAGAGTGAGCAAATTTTGAGGCTACTGACAGAAATAAAAAAATATGTGCTTGAATAAGAAACTTGGAGCAGTTCTTTTTTGGTTGGGAAATGAATGAGATTGGTCAGGAACCCTGAAGCTATCATTTTGAGGTCTTTGTAGACATTGCAAAGCAATACACATTAATTATCTGTTTGCCAAACATTTAATTTTGATCATATTACAGCATTAATTTATTTCAATTTAAAACAATTTTTTTTTTTTTTTTAACAACCGTTGTTTTGTGAATTTTGATTTTGCAATAGTCAATTGAGTAGGAAAATAACTGAGTTGTAGTGTATGCTTCTGTGAAGTTTATAAATACATGTATTTTGAGACGATTGCTAAAGCAGAAGTGTGATGGAATATCTGTCCAGAATTTGTGAGTTTATTTGTATGGGGATGTACGAAGTTGTAGAAAATTTGCCTGTGAATTAAATACTACAATCTGGTGTTAATGTAATTCTGTTTCAGGTGTAAATGCATAGGTTGGATTGTATGTAATCGGAGAAAACTGGTTGTATGCATTTGTATGACAATATTGACAGGATATGACAGGATTTTTTTGATACATGTATATATTGTTTTGTTGATCAATTGATTGTACAGCGTTGATTTTGATTGTTTTATATTGTCAGGGTTTTATATGATAAATAAAAAATGTTATTTACAAAGTGGTGTTGATGATTTGGTATTAAATTAAAATTTTGAAAGACACTTAATAATTTTGTAATTAGAGGGAAGAGTTTTTATATTATTTTCAGTATTTGGTTCTGCCAATTCACCTTCACGTCCATATTTGTTTTTCGTTGGTTTTTTGGTGTCATCATTTAAAATTCTTCTTCAGAACCATAAGACTTAGTATCAGTGCTAGTGTGAAGTTCCAATTCCGAACCACAGGACTTTGTGTCTTTGCTAGTGTGAACTTCAGTCAACTTTAACCTAGCACAGGATCTTGGCACATTTAAAGATGCATGCAAGCAGTGAAAGAATCAAATGTCAGAATTTGATTTATATAAGCATTTTGACACATGAAAAGGAAAATCCAGAAATCACAAATTATATATATATATTGTGAAAATTACTAATTTGCACTTGAAATAAGCCTTTGGTCCATTTCTTATCAGAGACATATATGAACATGAATTTGAGTGACTGAAAATTAGCTTTCTTAATAGTAACTTAATAAACTACCATTGAATGGTAACTGGTTAAATATCTTCAAGGAAAGTAGAGCTAGACTAGAAAAATCAGAAATTTGTGGCCAACCCTCACAAGATAAGGTTGGACACAAAGATCCATTCTGGGTGGTACTTTCAATTTCCTAAGTCACACCAGGAATATTCTTTTTATTGGAAATAACAGGCAGGCAATGTGAACACACTAGTGTGACATTGATATATGCAACAAGTTTGTATAGATATGTCATGTTAATACATACATCAGTCTACATGTATATATACTTCAAAATATTGTGTATACTACTGAGACCGATAAAATGAAAAAAGTTAATTTTTGTAACATCAATTTTCCTTGATCACATGGCGACACAGTAACAGAAATTTGACTCACTGTTGGTATATTGAGAATGTTAACACCACAGCAAGGTGGCTTTAAATGCAGGGAAAAAATATACCAGTTAGAGAAGAGGGTCGTGGTATGGCGCTGGCTTTCATATTTGGCATGCGCGTTCCTTGTGACAAGACCTTTCTGGTGATACCAATTTTTTGGTAATGGGATTTTAATTTTGTTGCAACCGGAGGCATGGTGTTTAATAAACGCCTCTTGTTTTTCTTTAATGTATTGTTTCAACAGGCCATGAAGTCACGATTGTTTCTTTTCAGCAAATGTTAACTGTCAAGCTACTTGCAACTAACGTTCACAAAACCGTGGACAATACGTAGCGGTCCTGAAATATCCTTATCGTGATTCGTGTATCTAGTAAACAAGGTTGTTTTTTTATCTCCAGCTTGGCCTAATTTGGTCCTGACTTACCTTGGCTTTCGACCTTGACACAGTGCCCGACTTTACCTACATCCAACATGAGAGTTAGCAAACAGACCACGAGAACACAAAAGTAAAGACACCTGCTTGACCCAATAAATTGCATGGAAACCCGATACGACGTTATATAACGTAGAAGCTTTAGTACTTTACCAGGTAAATAAACGGAGAATACACTATTTTGTAACGTCCACATGTTTATATTTTAAGGAAACTACGTGTGTTTTTATTTTATGTGCTTTTGAAATTAAGCACCTGGACGTTGAATAATCCATTCTTCTCCACAAGCTTACCATATTTATTTACTTTTAAAAGTCCCATTCTTGTCCACAAGCATCTGTGGTCGGTTGGCAGGGCACGGAGTCTCTTTCCAGAGAAGGTTGCAGAATGTGCTAGCAAGTTTTGATATATTTTTTTATTACATGGCGATGTAATATGATAAAAACACTGCGGAATACCCGACAATTCAGGCTAAGGTCCCGTCTTATTTCACACAAGTCCGGACACTTTTTGGCACGAAGCGCACACCACTATTGACGCATTAATCAATATTTGCAAACGTATGTGAATTTTGTGCTTTCATATTTATTTCTACTTTAAGTAACCATGACAGCAATATCACACAACAAATTCTTGTTAATGCACTTCACAGGTTTCCAGCGAAATGTTACATAAAGGTCTCTTTGAATAGGAAGTTACGTGGGAGGGTATCGCTCTACCGGATTTTGTTTTGTTACATAGTATTGTAAATGTAATAAACTGTGCAGATCTTGGCTGACGTTTGTTTATTTACATAACGCTTTCTCCGTTTAAACACGCCAGACAAAATTTAACACAGATATATAAAACATATTACTTCTATTACGCCCGACTTTCACCTAGACGTCCGATTCAATTCCCCGGGCGGGAAAATGGTCAGCTGCTCGACCACGATACTCCAGTTTTCGCAAAAAATAAATTAAGTGTATTTTCGCAATTCCGTTTAACCAATTCCCATCACATACAATGTATAACAAATGATATAAAAACGTAATACATTTGAGAAGACTTATACAATGTACAGAAAGTCACGCTGTGCTCTGCATAGTAGCCTATGCATAAACTATTGAATAATCAGATTGTCGTTAGTTGTCCTAGGGCAGACTTCTCGGTCAAAATACAGACTTATGACCTAGAGAAGATTAAGCAGGTGTTCGTTCGTATGAAGTTCTTTGTTGCCCGTATTCGGAACCAAGGGTTCAATTTTGGTTTACATATACAAACCCTTCGATTAAAATATTTTGTCTCTTTGGAAGGCAACGAATATTTGCACTGCATTCATAATATAGTCTATGGCTTACAATTGAACTCTTTTGTGATAATATCAAAATTTAAAACTTTTTTGCATTTGTCTTTTACCTTTTAGCTTGTTTATATTATTCCGTTCTTGGATCGCTGTGTGTTTTACCGGTTGATGGCCCTAATGACCTTTTATGTGTTGACGGGCCGTTAAGACTTATACTTATATATACTTATAATATAATATTAATATTCATATTATAAGTATTATTGATAAAGCTTAGAGCTCAATTCAAATTCTAAAGTCGTTCCACCTGTGTCAAAGAATGATGGACGGACGAACGGAATAAATAAGTAACGGACGATGCACATTCGCTTTCAGCAGAGACGTATATATGTCTCTGCTTTCATATAACATTACCAAAGCCAGTTGTGTATTGCCGATACTGAAAATAATCTCACAACAACATGGAAATAGATAGATATAAATATTGGACTGCTTTTATTGGCCTATCGCGTGAAAACGTAGAAGAGTTCAGAGATATCTGTGTTTTTTATTGGTATTTGCAAAACAAACAACGATACACATATGTGTAATATAAGGTCGCCGGGTAGCCACACAGGTACTGTACACGCATACAAGTGTGCTATTTATAGAAATGACCTGTAGTTACACTTATCAACAAATACTGACAGTCATTACTGAATGGGAAACTCGTCCAGTAACGGCCGTAAGTATCATTTGATGGAGTGTGGACTACACATCTGTATCTACCTTGATTTCCGACATTTTGATAATTCAAAAGACTGATATATAATTTTGGTGTGGCTTTTGTTCCTTGTTAATAACATTACGTATGTCGTTTTCACTTCCCAATCCAGATCAATTATGAATTGCCGAACTGACAGGTCGACAGATATGGATGTGCATGATACACTTGTTCATTGAGAGGGAGTGGGCGTGGTTGGGGGGGGGGGGGGGGGTTGCTTCAAACATACAACAATATGTGACCAATATGAGGGTACAGTAACATAAAAAGTATTAGCCAGATCCTAAAAATACCTATCAATGATTGGATATTTCTCTGCAGTTGAGGTCCTATGATGGTATAGTTCAACACCATCAATGCATTATAGAAACATTCAAGCTTCAAAATTTATACACAACTGTGCCTCAAAATTTCTGTTATATTGTGGTGGAAGTGGATCTCCTTGTCGTGTGCCTGTAGTATGCAGTAATTCGCTAGGGCGAGTTGTCTTGTCAAATCAGAATGCCCTGGGCGACTCGGCCACCGACTAACCTTTGTTGGTCAGTCTACAGCTTGTCGCGTCAGTGAGCACACAGGTTTTCACAGCTCCGTTCACTGCCGTGTTGTAGACCTTGCGATAGCCTACATTCGTTAATGTTTGCCTATTCTACATCGGTGTCAGAAGTATTTGTTTGGTAGTCGGGAATTCACCGTATATATTTCCGAATATCCCGGCCTTTCAGGACATTTGTCCATTTTTTCCTTCCCCTTTCCCAATTCTTGTATACCCCCAATTTATTCCTTCTATTACCCTTCCCGCATTACTGTTATATTTCTTCATTACTTTCACACAATTACCCAAGAGCACACCACTCACTCTCCTATCCCTGCATACATAATCCTAAACACCACATCAAAACTTTATAAATAAGTATTGGTGATAAGACATGTCGGGCCCATTAAACATCAATGTTGCCTCGGCTGAGGAATTAAGAGATATTCCCGGTATAGGGGAGAAGAGAGCTAAAGTCCTTATAGCAAAACGTGCTGAATTAGGATCTCTCACGCTGGAGGATGTCAAGATGCTAACTGAGATTCCTTCCACAATATGGGACCCCCTTGTGAAAAAGGGCAATGTTTCATTTGAGCCTCTCGATAACCCGGGAGGTAATTCTATGGAAAATCCTGTCAGTAATGTCCAATATGAGCTGGTTGTATTGACGGAGAAACTGAGGAAATTTGAGACAGTTATCCGTACTCAGCAGGAGGAACTGGCTGAGAGAGACAAGCATTTTAAGCAAACGCTTGAGGAAATGAGGGAGGCTCATAGAGAGGAATTGGATGAACAGAGAGAATATTTTGAAAAGAGGGAACAGATGCTGGAGGAAAAACTGAAAATTGGGCCAACTCCGTTGACTGTTAAAGAAGAGCAAACCTCGTTATTCAGCCCCGCAGCTACCTTAATGAGTAAAATGGCTGATGTGGCCCCTGGTGGGGTGTATGGTGGTGCAAGAGAGCGCCAATCCCGGCCAGTGTCAACTGAGAGGAAAGAAAGGTCAACTGTTCCGCCTGGGAATTGGGAAGATGGGAGAAGAAAACCGAGATTCTTGCAGCACGATGATCGGGGTCAGAAAATTAAGATGCCCACCTATGATGGCAAGTCCGAATGGAGACCCTACCATCTACAGTTTTCTCATATAGCCAATCGATATAATTGGGATGACGATGAAAGGCTTGACAAGTTTGTGGAGTGCCTGCGGGAGAAAGCTCTGAAATTTTTCAGTACCCAGCCTGTCTCAGTACGGGGGAACTTCATAGCACTCTGTCAGAAAATGAATGAACGGTTTGGGAAGAAGGACCTTCCACACATTGTTCGGCGACAACTCCAGGATTTAAAACAACTTCCCGAGGAGTCCATAGAGGAGTACGCAGAAAGGGCCATGGAACTTGCTGCAGATGGGTTCCCAGACCTTGATGAAAAGGGAAGGGAGATGTTAGCCGTTGACGGGTTATTGAAAGGTCTGAAGAATAAAAATGCTGCTCTAACAGCCATGGACATGAACCCCTGTTCACTTGATGAGGCGGTGAAATTTGTGAAGAGCTCCATAACCAACCAAAGGGTCATTCTCGGGTCAAAAGGGCTTAGCCCAGATGTTAAACGGGTTTCGTTTCGTGGGTTGGATTGCGAGGAATATGGCGTTAGGGAAACAAAATTTGAGCTACCCCCATCTAACATCCTAATGGACAAGATAAAAAAGACAGAAGAAGATATGGCAGAGGTTCAGAAGGCACTCGGCCGAATCTTTGCGAAACTTGAGAATATTGATAAGCCTGGGTCCCCTAATGCCAGGGTTCGGTCGAACCATTCGCCGTCACCTCAGGAGAGGTCTTCTGCATGTTTCGGTTGTGGAGTAGAAGGCCACTTCCTCAAGGACTGCCCGACCAAGTCAGCTTCCACCTCGGTCAGACGGAATAGGTCACCGTCGCCCCAACAGCGTTCATCTTCACCTTTAAACTTCCAAGGGCAGAGGAAATAGGCCGATCCTCCGCCCACCAAGATAACTTTGGCCAACCGTTCCCGAAGAAACCTAAGAAGTGTCACTTGTTACAGACACAAGTGGTCTTTCTTGGGAAGGTAGTCAGTGCGCAAGGTGTTTCCGTGAATCCAGACAGTGTAAAGGTCATTGCAGCGTGGCCACTACCGGCAAATAAGAGAGAATTGGAATCTTTCCTCGGATTTATCAATTACCATCGGGAGCACATAAAGGACTTTGCGAAGAAAGCTGCACCCCTCCACGATCTTACTGGCAAGAAGGAATTCTGTTTTGTGAATGTCCATCAGGAGGCATTTGAAACATTGAAATCGGCCATGCAAGAGGCGGTTACCCTGGCCTTTCCAAATCCTGAGGATACATACATATTGGACACAGATGCTTCAGATAGGGCCATCGGGGCAGAACTTAACCAGCTACAGAACGGTAGGGAACAAACTATCAGCTTCGCAAGCAAGGTCCTCACTCCCTGCCAAAGGAAGTACTGCACTACCAGAAAGGAGCTTCTTGCAATAGTAGTTTTCACCAGGCAGTTCCGCCATTACCTGCTAGCCAAGCCTTTTGTGGTGAGAACTGATCATAGTAGCTTGACATGGCTCCTCAATTTCAAGAACGTAGAAGGGCAGTTAGCTAGGTGGATCGAGGAACTCTCTTCCTATGCCATGATCATACAACACCGCCCGGGGAAAGAACATCAAAATGCTGATGGCCTATCCCGCGTCCCAGATTTCCTTAGTGAGTGCAAGAACTATCGACAGAGTACAGCCCTGGAGAATTTGCCTTGTGGTGGGTGCAAATACTGCACGAGGGCGCGACAGCAATGGCAGACTTTTGAAGACGATGTGGATTATGTCGTACCACTGGCGGTTCGGAAAGTTGAGGCAACGTTCCCGAAATGTGACTGGGCTATTGCTCTGAGCCAAGAGGAGTTGAGGCAGCGCCAGCTAGAAGACAAAGATCTACAAACACTTATGAGCTGGAGAGAGACAGAGCATGACCCAACACCATTCGAGTTGCAGCTAGTGGGTCCGGCTGTTCGCCATTGGTGGATGTGTAGATCCCAGCTTGAGCAGCACAGTGGAGTGCGAGTGCTCCATTATCGTTGGGAGGATCCAATCTGCCCGAGACGTTTGGTGATGGTGCCCCGCACGATGCAGCAGGAAGTTTTGGAAAAAGCCCATGATTTGCCATGCAGTGGACATCTAGGACAAGTGAAAACCCTGGAGAAGGTCAGGAAAATTGCTATTTGGTACGGTTTGTCCAAGGCATGTAAAGACTACGTGGCTTCCTGTAATACGTGCAACTTGAGCAAAAAAGCCAACTGTAAAGCCAAAGCGGAGCTCGGACAATACCATGCAGGGTTGCCTCTAGAACGACTTCACATGGACATACTTGGTCCTCTACCGATTTCTAACCAGGGCAATAAGTATGTCTTGATGTTAATTGATCAATTCACCAAATGGCTTGAGTGCTTTCCGATTCCCAACCAAAATTCTGAGACTGTAGCAAAAATGATGGTGGACGGATTTATCAGCCGTTTCGGATGCCCTTTGGAGCTCCACACAGACCAGGGTAAAAACATGGATGGATCAGTTGTTCGTGCTATATGTGATCTGTTACAGATAACAAAAACACGTACTACCCCTTACCATCCTTCTTCTAATGGCCAAATTGAAAGGTACAACAGAGTCCTCCTACAGTGTATACGTTGTTTCCTCAAGGCCAAGCAGGATTTGTGGGATCAATACTTACAACAACTTGCCGGGGCCATTCGCTCTACTCAACATCGTCAGACTGGCTTCACTGCAAATCGGATGATGCTGGGAAGGGAAGTTACACAGCCACTCGATTTGATGCTCGGAACTTACGGCAGAGTCCGTAAGTATGATGGGGCTTCCGAGTATGTCCGACAACTAGAGGAGACGTTCCAAGAGGCCCATCGAATTGCCAGAAGTAATTTGCAGGCATCCCAACTTCATCAAAAGAAGGACTATGACCTGCGTCTTAACCAATATCGGTTCAATGTTGGGGATGTCGTGCTTAAGATAGAGTCAGCATCGAAAGTTGGACATAGTCCGAAGTTAAGGCGTCCCTGGCGAGGTCCATATGTTATCTCACAGGTATTGTCCCCCGTCCTTTATCGCATCAAGGACAGGAAAACCGAGAAGGTTATCCATCATGACCGCCTCAAGCTGTGTGAGGATCGCGAGTTTCCGCTGTGGCTCAAGAGATGCAGGAACCAAATCCTTAGCAAAGTTGAAGATGAGCCGCCACATTCCTCGGAAAACGAAAACGTGCAGATCTCTGATCTGTTTACTGTTGACCCCGAACTCGCATCCAATGCCGGGCAATCTCATCCCGAGAAGAATCTCGCAGTTGGGTATTCTCAGGATGGGCAGTTCTCTCAACAAGAACAGTCCCCAAAAACTTGCCTCCAGGAAGAAGAAGCCCAGAGTTCAACAGGTATCAAGCCCCCAGGTAGGCAGAGGAGACAACCTAAGTACCTGGAAGACTACCACCTGGATGCCGGATGGGATCCATGAGGGAACGACGGATATGTTCCTCTTCAAGAAAGTAAACGGGAGGGAGTGTGGTGGAAGTGGATCTCCTTGTCGTGTGCCTGTAGTATGCAGTAATTCGCTAGGGCGAGTTGTCTTGTCAAATCAGAATGCCCTGGGCGACTCGGCCACCGACTAACCTTTGTTGGTCAGTCTACAGCTTGTCGCGTCAGTGAGCACACAGGTTTTCACAGCTCCGTTCACTGCCGTGTTGTAGACCTTGCGATAGCCTGCATTCGTTAATGTTTGCCTATTCTACAATATCAATATAAATTTGGTATTGGTCATAACAGAGAATTTGAAGTAGGCAGTAAGTGAGGATTTTTCAGTATACTGCCAGTTTTTCTTGATTATATATTGTGTATATGGACGGTTGTATCCTGACAATATCAAACATTTATACCTTTCACAGTATACATCTATTCAAAAATGAAAGCTTTTTCAAAAGAGGGGACTTCCTACAGGAACTCAAAATATTGACAGACTGTTAGTTTTCTTTCTGTATTCAATATTAGCACAAAGTCACTGCTTCATTAATGATTTCAGACAAATTTCTGTTTCAAATGAATATTAATTCACTTTGCAGTCTACTTATTTTTAAGTGCTGCTGTCAATTACGGCTTATGCTGTCAGTAAAAAAACACGAAAAGTCGCCGAATCAACATATAACTATATGGAAATCAAGTACATAGCTTTGCTGTTGTCTACACTTTGATGTGTCCCCTCCAGACCATCTACATAAAAATGTATACAGGAACTCTTTTTCTAAATCAGGCTTTTCTGCCAAATCAGGAGTTTGCTTATTAATTGGTTTGTGAGATACCTTCAGTCTAAAATGTTAATTTTCTGAATTGCTGTGCTTTTAGATGCTGTAATTACCCCATATGGTGATTTTTTTTTCCCTTCAGATTATAAAAAAAAGATGGCTGAAAAGAATCCCAAAGATGCAAACACAACAGAATTGTGGGTTTCACGTGTATGTGATTACTCCTCCGAGTATGACCCAGTTAAGTAAGTTTGTATATAAAGTACACATACTGTGTTGGATTTTCTTGAAAAATATACCTCCATCCCCTTGTAACAGTCTCAGAAGACAACTTTATACATATGTTGTTAAATCATTATTTTTGGGGGGACTTTATTTTCATTAATTTTATTTGTACTTTTAATCCATGAATTCATATGTCCCTAACTGTTATAAATTAGTACAAGTAGATAAATTTATCCACAAAATACATTTTTTTTGCAAACCCATCAAAATTGAATTTTGTAAGTATCGAATTGTAATTGTATTTTAAACAATATGGTGTATTTGGCTATTACCTGGGGAACTGTTTGCTTGGTTACTGCTGTATATCAGTAGAAATCCTGCCTTTTCTTTTCTATAAATCACTTTTGGTATGAATATGGTATATGGAATTTTACCTGTGTCACAAGATCTTTATATGTAATTGGTATTTTAGCTGGGCTGCAAACTGTGTGATTGGAACGCCGAAAGTATACCCACGATACGGAGATATCCACGGAGCATGGGCCCAAGGTGTTTGTGACAGCCAACAATTTTTAGAGGTAGATATAGCCAGAGCATGCTCTCTAGCATTCCAGTTTTTTACAAATGTTATTTTTAACAAATTGACACACAATATTCTGTCAAGTACATCCCAGTTCGTTAAAGAAAGATTGTTGTAACAAATTGGCAGGCAATATACCTTAAATTTGTCAACAACGCATGTACCACCAGGAAATTAAAAAAAAAACCAAAAAACTTGTTTTTCAATATCTGTTAATGGCCTTTTGTATAAGATTATACCTGTGTTGAGAGTTTTGACGATTCATCTATTTACAAACTGAAATGTAGATATTGATAAACTTACTATTTAAAACTGTTATGACCTCTTCGTGAGGACTAGAAATCATAAAATTAAAGATAAGTGATGTTATCAAAATGGTAACTAACACAATTACTGGGTAGCTACTTGTGAACTTTTGAAGAATAATGGTTTACTTTTAACACTTTTATACATCAAATTTATGAATAGAAAAACCAATTCATCAGTTAGAAAGAACACGATTAAGTATATGTCTGTAGGAGTTTTATAAATATAATTTTTCAAAGGTCTAAAATTTTGAAATTTTGAGTATACAATTGTATGAGATTCCCATTGGAAAAAGTCAGATATTTTCATTGCGATTAAAGTTTAAATGAAAAAAACAGACTGTTTAGTATTATCACAAAATTCACCAGTAATAAAATTTATGTTGATTTAAGTTGTTAAGAAAGCATTTTGTGAATATGAATTTACAGTATGCAATGAGAAATGGCTAGCAAATAAAAGACAGAAATGACAGCAATACTTAAGACATAAACATTATGAATTTTGTAATTTGCTTTCACACAGGTTGGATTTGCTGAGAAATTGTACTTAGATGAGGTCCACATTTATGAAACTTACCACGCTGGGTCTGTACATTGTATTAAAGCAAAAAACCCTGATAATACATGGGTGGTCATTTGGACTGGACAAACGCAAAATATTAGAAAAAGTCGCATATTTAAACCAGATATTGTTGTAAGTATGCTTAAATCCTTACTCATAAAATCTTGTACTATGAAGGATGCATGAAAATGTTTTTAATGAAAATGCTTTAGAATTATGTGTTCAACTTAAAAACAGACTGACAAAATTTTCTTTATCAAAAAATACATAGTCTTGTCTCATATATGCATTCTTGAATGTGTTTGCAAATTAATCAATAACATTCTGAAAAATCTTCATATCTATGAATATGAAATAAAGATTGCTGTTAACTAAAGATTTTGATTGTTCATCCTGATAAAACCCACAGGGACACTTACCGTATCATGACACATGGATGAAGTCAATGGTCTTTATTTTTTAGAAAAAACCATTCCTAACAGATGAACTACGGATAGAAACAGATTGTTCTACGAGTTCATCTTGGGCAGAAATTGACGCTGTAATGATTGTGGGAAGAAGATATGACTTCTGTGAGTAACGTATTACCTTTTTAAATGTCACCCTCATTCCTCAAAATTCAAGGAGTTACAATCATTTACGATCTCTACAGACATCATCAGTGATTGTAACCCCTGTTATTTACAGGATGATCACCTTCAATTGCCTTTTTCCTTTAAACCCTTTGAAAAAGACCGGCTGTGGTGACACATAAACTCCCTCCCACTTAACCCAGGAAATACACACAGTGTCACACTGTCTCCCTCTCACTCAACCCAGAGAAGTCACACATTGTCACACTGTCTCCTCCCACTCAACCCAGGAAATACACACAGTGTCACACTGTCTCCCTCTCACTCAACCCTGGAAATACACACAGTGTCACAATGTCTCCCTCCCACTCAACGCAGGGAAGACACACAGTGTCACACTGTCTCCCTCTCACTCAACCCAGGAAATACACACAGTGTCACACTGTCTCCCTCCCACTCAGTCCTGGGAACACACAGAGTGTCACACTGTCTCCCTCCCACTCAATCCTGGGAAGACATACAGTGTCACACTGTCTCCCTCTCACTCAACCAAGGGAAGACACAGAGTGTCACACTGTCTCCCTCTCACTCAACCCAAGGAAGACACACAGTGTCACACTGTCTCCCTCCCACTCAACCCAGGGAAGACACATAGTGTCACACTCTCTCCCTCCCACTTGACCCAGGAAAGACACACAGTGTCACACTGTCTCCCTCCCACTCAACCCAGGGAAGACACATAGTGTCACACTCTCTCCCTCCCACTTGACCCAGGAAAGACACACAGTGTCACACTGTCTCCCTCCCACTCAGTCCTGGGAACGCACAGAGTGTCACACTGTCTCCCTCCCACTCAATCCTGGGAAGACATACAGTGTCACACTGTCTCCCTCTCACTCAACCAAGGGAAGACACAGAGTGTCACACTGTCTCCCTCTCACTCAACCCAGGAAAGATACATAGTGTCACACTGTCTTCCTCCCACTCAACCCAGGGAAGACATACAGTGTCACACTGTCTCCCTTCCATTCAAACCTGGGAAGGCACAGAGTGTCACAATGTATCCCTCCCACTCAATCCAGGGAAGTCACACATTGTCACACACACTCCTCCCAGTCAACACAGGGAAGACACACATTGTCACACTGTCTTCCTCCCACTCAACCCAGGAAAGACACACTTTGTCACACTGTCTCCCTCCTACTCAACCCAGGGAAGACACACATTGTCACACTTTCTCTCTCTCACTCAACCCAGGAAAGACACACATTGTCACACTGTCTCCCTCCTACTCACCCCAGGGAAGGCACACATTGTTACACTTTCTCTCTCTCGCTCAACCGAGGAAAGACACACATTGTCACACTGTCTCCCTCCTACTCACCCCAGGGAAGGCACACATTGTTACACTTTCTCTCTCTCGCTCAACAGAGGAAAGACACACATTGTCACACACTCTCCCTCCCACTCAACCCAGGGAAGACACACAGTGTCACACACTCTCCTCCCACTCAGTCCCAAAAACAAGACACACTGTTAAACTGGCATCCCTGGCTCCCTCTCTCTCACACAAACAAAATATACAACTGTGTGGTAAGGATGAAAATTAAATGTAAGTATATGTAATAATCAGAATAATGTACAGAATATACATTGTAACAAAAAGAATTACATTTCAGTAAAACCACTTCCTGAAACAGGCCTGTCAGATGCTCTAGGGAACCTGGTCAACAACTCAAAATTTAGTGATGTTCAATTTCAAGTGGAAAAAGAAACATTCTATGCTCACAGGGCTATTTTGGTGGTGCGTTCTGATTTCTTTGATGCTATCCTCACCAGGGAATTCAAGGAAAAAAGGTCAAAGGTAAAATAGTAAACAGTAAATGAAGATGTGTGTTTATAGATGTCACCGTATGTTGATAAATAGGGGTGTGTGTTGATGACCAAGGATATGAGAGGATATGTGTAGACGAAACAGAAGGTATGTTGATGAATGAGATTGTGTTATGATGAATGAGAATGAATGAGAATGTATGTTGATGAATGAGGATGTGTGATGATGAATGAGAATGTGTGTTGATGAATGAGATTGTGAGGATAAATGAGAATGTATGTTGATGAATGAGGATGTGTGATGATGAATGAGGATGTGTGATGATGAATGAGAATGTGTGTTGATGAATGAGATTGTGAGGATAAATGAGAATGTGTGTTGATGAATGAGAATGTGTGAGGATAAATGAGGATGTTTCAGGATAAATGAGGATGTGTGAGGATGAATGAGGATGTTTCAGGATAAATGAGGATGTGTGTTGTTGAATGAGAATGTGTGAGGATGAATGAGATTGTGTGATGATGAATGAGATTGTGAGAATGAATGAGGATGTGTGTTGTTGAATGAGAATGTGTGATGATGAATGAGAATGTGTGAGGATGAATGAGATTGCATGACGATGAATGAGATTGTGAGAATGAATGAGAATGTGTGAGGATGAATGAGATTGTGTGACGATGAATGAGATTGTGTGATGATGAATGAGAATGTGTGAGGATGAATGAGGATGTGTGAGAATGAATGAGGATGTGTGTTGGTGAATGAGAATGTGTCAGGATGAATGAGATTGTGTGATGATGAATGAGATTGTGTGATGATGAATGAGATTGTGTGATGATGAATGAGAATGTGTAAGGATGAATGAGGATGTGTAAGGATGAATGAGGATGTGTGTTGATGAATGAGATTGTAAGAATGAATGAGGATGTGTGTTGGTGAATGAGGATGTGTGTTGATGAATGAGAATGTGTGAGGATGAATGAGATTGTGTGTTGGTGAATGAGAATGTGTGTTGGTGAATGAGGATGTGTGAGGATGAATGAGAATGTGTGTTGGTGAATGAGGATGTGTGTTGATGAATGAGAATGTGTGAGGATGAATGAGATTGTGAGGATGAATGAGGATGTGTGAGGATAAATGAGGATGTGTGATGATGAATGAGGATGTGTGATGATGAATTTGTGTTGAGGATGAATGAGGATGTGTGTTGATGAATGAGGATGTGTGAGGATGAATGAGGATGTGTGAGGATGTGTGTTGATGAGATGTGTGATATGAATGAGGATGTGTGTGATGATGAATGATGTGTGTGATGAATGAGGATGTGTGAGGATGAATGAGGATGTGTGTTGGATGAATGTGTGAGGATGAAATGAGGATGTGTGTGAGGATGATCAGGATAAATGAGGATGTGTGAGGATGAATGAGGATGTGTGTTGGATAAATGTGTGTTGAGGATGTGTGAGGATGAATGAGGATGTGTGAGGATGAATGAGGATGTGTGAGGATGAATGAGGATGTGTGATGAATGGATGTGTGAGGATAAATGAGGATGTTGTGAGAATGAGATGTTGAGGATAAATGAGGATGTGTGAGGATGAATGAGGATGTGTGAGGATGAATGAGGATGTGTGAGGATGAATGAGGATGTTGTTGATCAGAGATGTGTGTTGATGAATGATGAGGATGTGTGGATGAATGAGGATGTTGAGAATCAGGATGAATGAGAGATGTGTGAGGATGAATGAGGATGTGTGAGGATGTGTGAGGATAAATGAGGATGTGTGTTGATCAGGATAAATGAGGATGTGTGAGGATAAATGAGGATGTGTGAGGATGAATGAGGATGTTTCAGGATGAATGAGGATGTGTGAGGATGTGTGAGGATAAATGAGGATGTTTCAGGATAAATGAGGATGTTTCAGGATGAATGAGGATGTGTGAGGATGTGTGAGGATAAATGAGGATGTTTCAGGATAAATGAGGATGTTTCAGGATAAATGAGGATGTGAGAGGATAAATGAGGATGTTTCAGGATGAATGAGGATGTTTCAGGATGAATGAGGATGTGTGAGGATGAATGAGGATGTTTCAGGATAAATGAGGATGTGTGAGGATGAATGAGGATGTTTCAGGATAAATGAGGATGTGTGAGGATGAATGAGGATGTTTCAGGATGAATGAGGATGTGTGAGGATGTGTGAGGATAAATGAGGATGTTTCAGGATAAATGAGGATGTGTGAGGATGAATGAGGATGTTTCAGGATAAATGAGGATGTTTCAGGATAAATGAGGATGTTTCAGGATAAATGAGGATGTGTGAGGATGAATGAGGATGTTTCAGGATGAATGAGGATGTGTGAGGATGAATGAGGATGTGTGAGGATGAATGAGGATGTGTGAGGATGAATGAGGATGTGTGAGGATAAATGAGGATGTGTGATGATGAATGAGGATGTGTGATGATGAACAAATGCCTGTATCAGACTTCCATGTATATTTTGTAAATAGCTCCTATCATTTAGAACACAGTTGACAGATGTATGTAATTTGAACAGAAGGGTTTACAGAAAACAGTTTGAATTTGGTAAACAATTACAAAGAATTGGAAGAAGGCCAATGAAACATTCCTTAAAACAGTACCTACTTTTATCACTACACACTGACGTACAGCCTGACAGATGGGACTTTCACTGGTGGCCTCTTAAGATCTCAGACGTTTTGTTAAGAGCAGGAGGAATATATGTCAGTCCAAAGTAAGGGGAATTCACCTGGTGTGTGGATCACTGTCATTCAGTGATGTGAACAAAAAACAGAATACATCATGAAATATTCAGATATCTTACAATGTACACAAATAAAAAACAACAAAAAAATAACAGTTTTGTCATGGAAAAATATGTTGTTTTGTACTTTTATACATTTTTGTTTGGAATGCAATGGGCTCACTCATGATTGAATTTTGAATTACTGAAAAATAGCACACCAGCTTTATGTATCTCAACTTCGTCCGTCGTCGTCCGCCGTGCGCCGTCCGTAAGCAAAAGTCCAACAAGCAAAAGTGCTGATATTGGGCCTGATTTGTTATCAAATACTCTGTCTTTAAGTTAACAAATTTATGTATTATTTTTGTTTTTGAAACCTGTTTAAAAAATTAATTATAAACTTTTGTAGGAATATTTTCAAGTTTCGTGCTAGTATGAAAGAAAAACCTTTCTGCAAACTTATCACGAATGCACTTCGCTCATTAATTCAGTTTGAAAAAAGTTTTTCTTTCATACCAGCGTCAAGCTAAAAATATTCCTATCAAAGCTTAAACAAATGAGGAAGATTTAACGTGTTTCAGGAACCCATTGTTTTTCAAGACGTCAGCCCAGAGTCCTTCAGAGTCATGTTATATTTTATCTACACAAACAAAATTCCAGCCAACTGTTCCTGTATCTTACTTACAGATGTTTGGAGAGGTAAGATTCTTGGATTCGGTACTGACCTCTTGTTATGTACAGTGGCATAGGATCTAAAAAGTTCTATTATGCCTAGTTGGGTTTTTTATGCACCCAGAAGGGAGAGCTTATAGTTGCCTCTTTGTTCGTCCGTCCATCCATTTGTCTGTCCATCGTTATTTTGTCCAGAGCATTACACAAACCTATCAACATAAAACTTCATAGGTAGATTGATCCCAACAAGGAGAAGTGAAGTGCACAAAAACGATCACTCTCTTTTGCAAAATTTAGGAGTTATTTCCCTTTGTTATATTTCATACTTAATTTTGTCCAGAGTGTTACACTAAAACTATAAGATGTATCATAACCCTCCTCTCTGATGGCCCTTGTTTTTAATCAAATCACTACATTTTGATTTGCAGAAAATATGTTCAAGAGCATAATTTTAACAAATAAATTTTTAGGATTTTATGATAGTGTGATAAGTTACTATATTTTTGCTGGTCAGTCTTATCTGTATGGAACATGATTTCAAAAATATAAAACATATACCTGGTAGGTGTTTCAAAGCGGGAAAAAGATGTTGAACTTTAAACTTGTGCTCTAAGGGCATATCATTTGAATAATTTGTTTTTCATTTGCAGTGGGTGACAGATTTAAGTTGGATGGTTTACAAGCCTTAGCAGTGCGAGCGATCGCCTCAAAATTAGACATAAACAATGTAGTGGACATATACATGGCCGCAATATACAAACTGCCTGTCATTGGTAAGTTAATCAGGGAAATTTCGTGCATTTAACAAGACTTGGTGACCTGATTCAATTTTGGTTGATATACTGTAGATCATCAAACCTTATCAATATTTTTTTGTGTTAGGGGGTTGGGGGGTTGGGTTGGGGGTTGTGCGTGTGTGTGTGTGGTAGGGGAGGTTGAGAGGGGTTGGAGGGAAGGGGGGAGGTAGTAGGTTTACAATTTTGCATGGCTAATTGCCAGGGGGTAAAAGGGGAAATTTAGAGTTTAATAATTTATAGTCCTGAAAAAGTTGTTTCGACTTAATGAAATCACTCGATTATATACAATAAACATTAAAATTTATAAATATAAAATTTCATGAAAATTTTATATTATGAAAATGCAAACCATCAAGAAAGAAACCTTCACAGCATTAAGAATCCTTATATCAACCTCATCTCAAGCTGTATGTTAAGGATATACTGAGAACATTTGTAATATCTCTGTGTTGACTACAATAGAAACAGATTTTAGATGTTCTTAGTAACAATACTAACATATTTCCCTTCAAACTAAATTGCACTAGTTTTAAATCTACCTAGTTATGTTTGGTTAACCTGATATTTACAAATATGATTCTTATATGAGACATTAATTAGTTAATTAGAAAATTATAGCCATTGTCAGATTTTAGATTTTAATAGGTACCATATCAGATAACATTTCAAGACAGGAAATTCAATTAGAATTAAAAATTTAATTGATCATGATAAAATATCTAATAATATATTTTTGATTCATTTCATTTTCATGGATTCTTTCTCTTCGATGTTTTAAAATTTGTTTTCTCTCATTATGAAATTACACTTATTTTTTCATCTTCCTTTTTGAGCTAGAGATAATAGATTAATAGATAGTAGTAAACAGAAATCTCTCTTTTACACATAACTATGTTAAGATGGTAAAATAACATCACTTTGGCATCATGTTGGATGGAATTTCCAGTTGATAATCAGTAATTTCCTTTAGGAGGTTGGAAGTCACAAGCCATCTATACCTTCGGTTCTACTTCTTGAGGTGTATGTACAGTTTAAACTTCGGCTATTTTGAATCTTTAGTCTACTTTGATGTCAGATTTCGACTGTCTGTGATTGTGTTTTAACTACAAGACTGTTTGTTTTTAGATGATTTAAGGACGGTTTGTACAGATTTCATGCGACGAAATATGACCGAGGTGGTAAGAACAGAAAGTTTTATGACGCTTCATCAGGAGAATGTCATTGAACTTATTCAGATGATGACCACAAAACTGAATATCTAAACAAACATGGCGACCTCAACACATTCTTGTTATGAAATCAGGTGAAACCATTATTTCTTTTAAATCTATTTATATATTTATGCTAATTAGTTCCCAAACATTTCTTTCTGGGAGATTGACTATCTAGTTTTCATTGAGTCCTATTCATTGTCACATGCATTCTTTGATCCACATCTGCTTAATTTTGCATGTTGCTGTTGTGTGCCATATTACAATATGTTGTTTTTCTCTGCTTCACACAGAGGTGTGGCCCTTTGTTTGTTTTTTTTAATGTTATGCAAAATTGTGCTTCTTTTAGTCTTGTTTCCTATTCAGAGTTGTGGCCCTTTGTTTCTTATTTTAGTGTTATGCAGAATTGTGCTCTTTTTGATCTTGTTTTCAATTGCTTTACAGAGTTGTGGTCCTTTATTTACATGTACATCTTTTTCTGGATAAATCTGGTATTTAATGCCATCTACAACTACCAAATGTTTTTTGGAGGAACTCATAAATGGCAGTGTCATGTCTTTAAGTTACCGTAGATTGTGTGTCTTATCATATACTGAGTTATTGCCCTTTGTGTTTTACATGGGCTTCACTTCTCTATATGACTGAGATTTGCAAAGATTTACTCTTTACTTAAATTCATGTATATTTGTACTTATCACTCTTGCTCCCTTGTACTAGATAGATTAGGGCATTAGAATTTCTGTGCACAGAAAAAGGAAAATTCTACTTCAGTGTAGAGCATGTGATCACCTGCTAACCCCGATATAACAATCCCCTGGTACTTCAGTCCATGCATAATGATCTGTTATGTTGAACAAAATCTGGACTATTTGAGTGATATAAATTTTTCCTACGTATGCCCACCTGTATCTTACTTAACCTGTCATAACTGGTAACTATTCTGTTGTAATGACTGACCTGCTTTTGCTCCCCATAAGATTGTCAACTCTTCTACAATCAATGATGATGAAATTTAAACATGACAGATCATTCTGGTCAAACTAATGACTCGTTTATATTTTCTTATGAATGGATCCTTTCCTTGTAGTATTTCAATCTGTTCTATAGGTTTCTGTGTTAATAAAATGTACATCACACAAAGCAGAGACAGTGTTCTTAACACTTATGTAAGCTGCTACCTACAAACAGAGAGAAATAATAGTAAATAATATATAAATGATTTGTCAGAATTATATACAAATTATTTTTGTCAAAATTGAAAGATGTGAAAATGAAAGGACAACCTGTTTTGTAAAATTCACATACGGTACAGGTATTTTATATCGCAAATGATATTAAATCCAAATGTATATTGTTTCTGATTTCTGACATTTCTGAATTCTAAAGAGCTGACAGACTAAAATACCACGAAACACTTGGAGGCTATCTTGACTGATCTGGAGTCTAATATCATACAAGAATGTTTTGATCAACATCAAAGTCTGATTTCATTTTCATGATAAATAGTATCTTGAAATCTTACTAACATATTTACTCATTAAGAACCCCATGACTGGTAATAAGCCCACCCATATCTATTACAATCTAGCAGAATTACCACAAGTACTATTTAGTTCATCTGTAATGCGACTACCCCTTTACTTTAGGTGAGAGATTTTTTGGTCCCAGTGTAGCATGGTATTGTGAAGCAATGTTGAAATGAACCCCCACACACACCCCCCCCCCCCACCCCTCTCCCTCCCCACCCTCCTACATGGTAAAGTGAAGTTACTTTATATTTTGTTTTCAACTGATGTTTCTGCACTTAATTTATTCAGTGTGTTACATACAATATAGGCTGCAATTTTGGTCAAAATACAGCTTATATCTTAAGACACTGACCATATATTCTCTAAATAGCTAGCTATGTAAGGTTCACAACTCAACACACAAATAACCATATGTTTTTCCTTTTCATTGCAGGAGAATTGGAATATGCATGTTTAACCTATATGAGCAGGAATATAGCAGAGGTGGTAAATACTTTGAGTTTCATGAAACTTCCTGCACAGCATATTAACGATATCATTAATTACAGTACATCACAAGTCAGGATATGAGTTGTCTTTCCTTTTAAGAAAGCGTGTGTATGTGAGATATATACTTGGGTTAATCTAGAATATGGGAGATACTGTCTTTGAAGTTTTTGGCCTATGTTGAGAAATAGAGAATCTCTGACAGCCCTTTTGGCAAGAATTAAAAAGAGAAATAGGTTAAAGATACATGACATTCATTAGATATGAAAATGTTTGCTTGAATTGATATTTCTTTTTATGATGGTATGATTTGAAACTATTTACGTAAAATATAGTAATTAGCTCTGTTTGGGGGGAATTTTTCCGATATTTTTGATATATTTTGTTAATCGTTAATTTTGTATTTAGAGAGGAAATCATTCTTGGAGAATACAACCTTTTCTGGTAGTAAAATTTGTCTAGATTAATCCCTGATATATTAGTTATGAACTTTTGTTGAGGTGAACATGAAGGTGTATGAACCTGAGAGAGACATATTAATCAAGTTGGAATTGAAGTTAAGTATATTGTTATCATATAAAGCGACATATTCACCATAATTAAAATCTTTTGTCACATCAGACATGGAATAATATTGTCTTAAATTATTTCTGGTAAATATTTTAAAAGACTTTATAAAACAGATATTGAATTCAAATGAGAATTGCCTGACTAAAGGTCAAAATTTCTAAATCAAATGTCAAGGTCAAATCCAAAATAGATTCGCTTATACTGGTAGATAATTTGTTATGAATTATGGAACGAAAGTACATGTGATATATTTCAATAGAATTAAATTTATAGATATGAATAGATAACCATTTATGTGTACATTTGATATGAAATAAAGGACAGGGATCCATATCAAATGTATTGTTTATGGGAAATTTTTTGCCCAATTCATCCACCATAAGTGTAATATAATATTCTTAGTGTTTTAACTTTACTGTACTTATAAAATTGTTGTTCTTGAAAAAGATAGAATGACATTTCAGTTGCTTTTTATTTAATTACTGTATTTGTTAATTATTGTGATGAATTTTTCCTCTTGTATAATATTTATTCTGTTTCAATGTTTAACTTTATGTAGATTCACAAGATTGATATTTACCTCATATTCATAGATATGTGTTGTTTCAAATTTATTTTCATGAAAGGTGTTGTTACAACTTTTTTTCTGTTTGAAATCTCATTACAGGTACATCAATTGTCCAGAAACTTGTTTTCTGGAAGTTTTTACGCCCTCAGTTATAACACTGAAAAGATAATGACATTTCTATAACATAACTCTGGAAAATAAGTTATAATTAGTCCAAATTTATCTTAAGTAAAGTGTCATTATTTATGAAGTTTTATCATAAGTTTACATATTTACATCTATTTGTATGATGTTTATGTTAACTTCAATCATAATACTCAAATTGAACATTTTGTAATTTTTAAACAATATATTTATGATCTTTTAACATACATTTTCCTTTAACAGTTTTTATACACATGACAAGACTGTGATTTTGAGTGATGAAATATCGAAAATGAATGAAAATACATGTCTGTTTATTTTAATTTACATCCACGTCACGCATCAATAGTTTTACAATAAAAACAATCAATATTAAAAAAAATTCTTTATTGTTTTTATGAAGAATCCCACACTTCTATTTTTGGTTTGGCATACTGTCCATCATCAGTCTCAAGGTCATTTATTTGAAGAGGCTCTGGAGCATTTCGTCCCAGGTACCTATTGGCAACTTATCAGTACCTCGAGTCTTCTGTTACTTGAGACCCCCAACCAGAAGGGAATACTGTATTGTAATGTCACAGTATGTTAGTTATTTTATCCGTCCACAAGTGATTTAATTCCTTTGAACAGATCAAACCGAGAGTGCTTGCTTGGGATTGTTTTTTGGGCCAAAGGTCAAGGTCACTGTTACTATAAACAGAAATTGGTTTATATCGAATAAAGTTTATTTAGACCAAATAAACTCAAACTTTACACAGTGCTTCTCTACCCACATTGCTTGCTGGATTGCTGAAAAAAGTTAACTGTAAAGGTCGCAGTTACTGTAATTGTTTTCTTCTGCTGAATTACTGGTCTCTTCGAACAATCAAACAGGCACTACTTTCGTGTTTGGAAATTTAAATATCTAAATGTTGCAAGAGAAACATTCTTGATCTGACGTCCAACCACTGCAATTCAGGAACAAGTTCTCACACAAAAACCATTCATTATAAGTCAATCATTACAAATTTATTGAACATTTTAACCAATATGTCAAGGTGTGTTTACACATAAACTAAGTACACATTTACATTACAGATCAAATCCACCTTATATTTTCACAAGTCAATACAATATTCTTTAAAAAAAAACAAAAAACTTTTCATCAAAATAACTTGTACATATTAATAACATGGTGCTGCCTGATGAACAAATATACTGGACCCTAAGATATTACCCCTGCAAGATTCCCCAACCCCTTCAGAGTGAATTCAAAATGTAAATTGAAGAGAACTTTAAATTTGTTTAAAATTAAGCAAAAATTCAAGAGACATTGTTTTCATTTCAATTATTTTGGATTTATTGTATGTAGTTAACAAAATATATGAGAAAAATACAATGAAATAGTTTAATTTTAATTGGAAAATATATATATATATATATATATATATATATTCCCAATTAAGGTTGGATTTATTCCTGAAATGAGAACTAATATTTATTCATCTCTGATCACATGAAAGCACTTCATATACAAAAATTAATTTTTTGTATAAAAGTACAAAATACAATCCTTTTTAAAAGTCATTATGTATTTATTACTATGATAACTAAAAACTTGATAACGATGCTTCACATGAGAAAATTCTAAATATCTAAATGATGAAACCATTATTTTCACACTTTCACTGTATTTCATAGATAAGCTAAGATAAAGTTTTCATTTTGTTCACAAACCGATTCAAATGGAATGATTTACAACTGTTCTTGTATACAACTGGTATATCACTTTTTAAAATGTGCCTATGTAGACTTCAGAATTTTGAGATTTATACTTTGTCAAATAATTTTACCAGAAACAAATACCTGTTTTTTTTATATAACCTTTTGGTTTGGAATATAAGCAGGGTTTTCCATAATTTTGTTAGTAGTAGGCTCTGTAATGAAAGTAGGAGGCTGGCCTGCCGTGTACGTGTAGTCATGTATGGAACATTATTACAAAACTGGATTGGTGTAGGCGGCCAAATGATCAAAGTAGCCGGTCAAATTGGCCGGCGACTGGCTCTTATGGAAAACCCTGTATAAGATATATAAAACCAATAAACTGAACAATACTTGAAGGCTATAAGACCTTATCACCAGTCTTACATCATCATATACAATCCATGTATGGACAGCATCTCAGAAATCCTATAATCACACACTAAAACTGTAAAATTGTAATTTCTATCACAGAGAATGTAGATAATAAAAATTTAAAGCAGTTGGTGCGTTCTCGTATATAATAACTGGATTTTTGAATTGAGGAACAATAAAGAAGTTTTTAATTGTAAGTTTCATTAAAGACTAAAGTAAAAAATTGCTTCACCAGACCTTTCTCTTCAAAAGCAAACATTGCGAAGTACGAATTGACTGTGATGACCATTCCACATTTCCAAAGGCGAGGTGATCTGGTATGAACACATAATGACATGATATTTGAATCATGTCACTGACAGATGAAATTCTGTCAAATTCTCAATGCTTAAAATTCCGAGGAAAAATAACGGCCAAATTGTGTCATCGTCTTTATTCATTGTACAACAATATATATAACCTAGAATACAGAAATTATCTGTTATCAGAACGCTGGCAGTGGATGAAAACATGCTGAATTTACATTTCCTGACATAGCACCAATGGCATCCAAATGATTCTTTAAATAGGAAATGGTGAAGACGATGTTATAATGTGAATTACAATGTTATAATTCCGGCCTAAAAAAATAATGGAATGTAATTTGAAGAATATGTTATCTCTTGACAGGGACATAATATTTTTTAACAAAAAAGTTTAGTTCAATAGAACACAAATGACAATTCAAGCAGGTGCATATCGGCAGATGATCAATTTTCTCTAACATGGCTGAAACAGTGGAAAACCAAACAAATGGTGAGTGAATTGATTAGCCACAAATCTACAAAGTTTTAAATAAACAAAAGATGTATCTATATTGAATAGGACGAGGTAACATTTCAAGAGTATTTTTCATTGTAAAACATTGACAAAAAAAATATACAACCAAATAGTGTATAAAAAGGATATACAATACAACAGTACAATATGTATCACTTATACATGTAAATCAACATTGTTAGTGGGGTTGCATGTCAATAGTTTGTGTCCAATTTGTAATGAAAAGTGACAGGTAGGGCAAATTTCACATCTCATTTAAAAGTTTTGACTGGAATACAAATTAAATTGACTGGAATACAAAGTTAATTGACTGGAATACAAATTAAATTGACTGGATTAACTAGAATATAAAAAATTGCATGGTAAAGTGCTATAGCAATGAGAAGCTACACATTCTGTTTAGCAATGAGAAGCTACACATTCTGTTTTAGGTGTTAACTACATGTAGCGACTTGGGACTAACATATTGTTAACACAGTGGGTGATTTATCCAAAAAAATCCAAAGACATTAATTCTGTCCACATATCTTGAGATTCCAGGTAAAATACCCAACCAGATTTGTATCAATCATTTTTTCCTTTCTTTTTCAGAGGCAGCATACTGACAAATTAAATAGGCATGATCGCAATATGATTCTGATATTTCCCAACTGAAAAACTAAAACTTTTATCCAAAAATCTGTATTTACAACACCCACGTTACTGCTGATTTCACTAGAAAATGCATGTGGAACCTAGATAGATAATTGTTCACATTTCACATTCATCAATATCATGATTTTTTTATCATGTAAAGAATACTTGGATGAAATGAATGTTTAATTCAAAATCTGAAAAATAAAGTGGAACAGACTTTAACATTATAACAGATATATATTAAAGAGATAAGTGACACTTTAACAAATCTTTTGGCACAAATTCATTGAGTATAATGTATGAATGGCACTATATTGTATTTCAATATTCTACTCCACACAGAATTAGCCTGAAGAAGGAAAATCAGCTGATATTCCTCTAAATCAAAGGGGCATATACTGACAATTATCTAGCACTGATGATACTAGGTTTTTGAGATCAAAATTCCGCTTTCTGTTCACTTTCTCTCTATTTTTTTTCCATATTCATCCTCATATCTAATTCCCAAAAATGTGGTAAAAATCTGTCCTCAGATTGCTGTCTGAACACCAGATATCCATCCTCTGATCAATATCTCCACCAGATATCCATCCTCTGATCAATGTCACCACACAACACCAGATATCCATCCACTGATCAATGTCACCACACAACACCAGATATTCATCCACTGATCAATGTCCCAACACAACATCAGATATCCATCCCCTGATAAATGTCCCCACACAACACCAGATATCCATCCCCTGATCAATGTCTCCACACAACACCAGATATCCATCCACTGATCAATGTCTCTACACAACACCAGATATCCATCCCCTGATCAATGTCTCTACACAACACCAGATATCCATCCTCTGATCAATGTCTCCACACAACACCAGATATCTATCCCCTGTCAATGTCCCCACACAACACCAGATATCCATCCACTGATCAATGTCTCCACACAACACCAGATATCCATCCTCTGATCAATGTCTCCACACAACACCAGATATCCATCCTCTGATCAATGTCTCCACACAACACCAGATATCCATCCTCTGATCAATGTCTCCACCAGATATCCATCCTCTGATCAATGTCTCCACCAGATATCCATCCTCTGACCAATGTCCCCACACAACATCAGATATCTATCCCCTGATCAATGTCCCCACACAACACCAGATATCCATCTTCTGATTAATAACCCCACACAACACCAGATATCCATCCCCTGATCAATAACCCCACACAACACCAGATATCCAGCCTCTGATCAATGTCTCCACAAAACACAAATAAATATATTTCCTCCGTTTGATGTCTCCATACAATACAAAACAAACATCTGTCCTAAGATGAATGCTTCCACACAACACCAGATATCCATCCCTTGATCAACGTCTCCACACAACACCAGGTATCCATCTTCAGACCGAAGTATGAATGCCATACCAAATAAAGTTGGTCTTCATACACATCCAATCACAGAAAACAATTGTCTGCATAACACAAATGAAAGTTTGTTCTGATATATGACTACAGGAAATGCAGACTACATAAGTAGATATACAGCACTAACGTGTGTCCACATTACATCGGGTAAATTTTGTACTTGTGTCCATGATGATACCTTTATTGATATTATCTCTTCTCAGGTTCTTGTAAAGTTCTTGTTTGTGTAACTACACAAACAAAACCAGGTAAACAGTCATCCCAAAATCTGTTTACATCACAGCTTAATGCTGCAGTAAGGGATGACAGTAGTGTCACTTGTATCCCCTCCAATACCTCAATGATGTCATCCCTTTTCCAATTCTTGTCGAGTTCTTATTTTTCTTTGCGAAACAAAATCTGATAAATGGCCATCCATAAAATCTGTTTACATCACAGTCAAATGAGGGATGACAGTATCAACAGATCTGATTCAACTGTTGTCATGACGTCTTTTGGTATAAGTTTCTGAAAAAAAAGAAAAAAAATTTAAACAGAAAATTGAAATACCTGGGTCCACCAAAATTACCTTTCCACCTCTACAAGCATTTACAAACTATAATGAGAACACAATCACTTTCATTAGATAATTATTATTGTTAAGGAAGGGTCGGTACAAACTTTTGTGAGAAAATAAGACAATGCATTCCCATTCTACGTTTCACCAATTACCATTCACATGTTTCTATTGTCACCTAAGAAAGCAGTTAAATAACATTTTTGTAACCCTGGTAAAATAATAGCTGCAGTATACTGTTCGGCTTAAAAAGAACTTCTCTCGAGCTTGGTCGGTTAAGAGTAGTAAGCCAAAAGTCCTGGGTTTGAATCTTAGTGGAGCCATTGAAATAAATAATGACCTGAGCTGCATTTTACTCAACCCTCTTTCAATCGATGGTTTGTTCCAACCCCTTTTAGATATACTACAAAAAAAGCTGGTGACAGAACTTACCAATAAGAGATGTCAAATTGTTGAATTTTTTAAAGAGATTTTCTTCATTTTCTTTTCTTTTGCGTACCTCCTCTTTATGTTCTTTGTCCATTTTCTCCATGGCAACTGTTTAAACGATAAATCAATTGTATTGTTATTATTCTCTATCCTTCTCATTGAATATAACATATATATACTTATGTCACAGTGGAAATGCTTACCCTATTCCTACATGTTCACTTAAATGTTTGTTGTATATGTAGACTTTGAGTTATATTCCACTTTATCTACAATACAGAGGACTTAACAAGGTACAAAAGAGATCAACCATGCTAAACTTCATTATACTTCACTAATTTTTAAGACTTGAACAACCAAAATAATTTGGTAGCCTAATCATAATCATCCTGACTTTCTGTCAACTTCTCTTTTTATATCAGTGTTAGTATGGAGTACCAATATTAAAAAGTTGACAGAACATCAGAATAATTTTCTTTTTTACGTTAACCCTTTTTGAAACAGACACAAAAGAATGACATAGTCTCATCAATTCTAGGATAGTAAGGAGACAAATGTTTACAAAAAGAATGACTAAGTTATAGATGGACACTAAATAAATAATCAATTTGAACAGTGCATCACCTGAAGACCCCTAGCTAAAAATCAGGTCTTTCAAACTATAAGTGTAGAGTGGGATTATCTATTATCTTAACCTGACATAAAAGTAAGCCCAAGAGCATCTCTTGATCTAAACCTAACCTTATACTTACGTTTGAGTTGATGGTGGGTGTCACGAAGCCATTCCACAGACTTCCTCTGCATCATCTGTCCCATAATGAACATCTGATAGGCATCTGTAAACAACAAACCACACAATTAAGCCATCAGCCTTAACAGGACTTTTCTAAAAGTTTTCAATGCCTCTCTTTCTGTAAAGAGTATATAAAGTCTAGTAACCCTATTTGCAATCACTTAGTAAATTATTTAGTCAAATTTATAATATTCTGACCACACAATCCAAGAGATATCCAGCAATAGGCTTATATTAATGTCTAATTAAATATTAAAACTCAATACTGAAAACATAATTTATTTAATTTAATAAAATTTACTGTGTTATCAGAAAGTGAATCTCCACTAAGATTTGTTTTGGGTAACTTAGCACATCAAGTGTAGGAAGAACAGTATTTCATGTATTGACACAATCACAAATAAAGGTCAAACTGCTCTAAGGATTATACAGATAGAAAAATTTCATAACCATCAAAACATTGCCACTGTTTAAACATTGTCACTGTCTAAACATAGCCACTGTCTAAACATTGCCACAGTTTAAACACGGCCACTGTTTAAATATTGCCACTGTCTAAACATAGCTACTGTTTAAACATTGCCACTGTCTAAACATAGCCACTGTCTAAACATAGCCACTGTCTAAACATAGCCACTGTCTAAACATAGCCACTGTCTAAACAATGCCACTGTCTAAATGTGGCCACTGTCTAAACGCAGCCACTGTCTAAACAATGCCACTGTTTAAACATTGCCACTGTTTTAACATTGCCAGTCTAAACAATGCCACTGTTTAAACATTGCCACTGTCTAAACATTGCCACTGTTTAAACATAGCCACTGTCTAAACATAGCCACTGTTTAAACATTGCCACTGTTTAAACATTGCCACTGTCTAAACATTGCCACTGTTTAAACATAGCCACTGTTTAAACATAGCCACTGTTTAAACAATGCCACTGTCTAAAGAGACCATTTGTCATTCATGCATGTAGTATTAATCATGACTAATATTCAGTAAATGTACATGTGTAACATTTTTGCTTATCACACTTGTGAAATATGACTTATAGATTACATTATGATGTACCATGGAAACCACCAACATAAAGTGAAGATAGATTCAAGAGTCAAATGTTCTGTTATACTGACAAAATCAATGCTTCATGATTATGATTTTTTCTCATTTCAGCTTCAATGAAGTGAAAAGTTCTTCAGAATTGTTTCATAAATCAAATATATGAAACAGAAACTTTTGAAAGATCCAGTCTTACCTCCTTCATTTTGTATCTTGTCACCAAGGGAATTCCAGAAACTCTCTTGTACACTGGGCGAGAATTTGTCAGAGTTCACCGAACTGTTATTAGCATTAGATCCAATGGTTGTGGAGGATCCTTGCTGTCTACAAGCACTGTTTGATTTATTCTGCTGTGGGATATGAGACTTTGATGTATTTTGTAGTCCTGAAGTATTGCTTGGTCCCAATGAGTTCTGCTGTGGGATATGAGGGTTTGATGTATTATGAAGTCCTGAAGTAGCCTGTGGTTCCAATGAGTTCTGCTGTGGCAAATGAGGGTTTGATGTATTATGAAGTCCTGAAGTAGCCTGTGGTTCCAATGAGTTCTGCTGTGGCAAATGAGGGTTTGATGTATTATGAAGTCCTGAAGTAGCCTGTGGTTCCAATGAGTTCTGCTGTGGCAAATGAGGGTTTGATGTATTATGAAGTCCTGAAATAGCCTGTGGTTCCAATGAGATCTGCTGTGGGATATGAGGGTTTGGTGTATTATGAAGTCCTGATGTAGCCTGTGGTTCCAATGAGTTCTGCTGTGGGAAATGAGGGTTTGATGTATTACATAATCCTGAAGTATTGCTTGGTCCCAATGAGTTCTGCTGTGGGACATGAGGATTTGATGAAGTATGTATTCCTGATGTAGCCTGTGGTCCAAATGAGTTCTGCTGTGGGATATGAGGGTTTGATGTATTATGTAGTCCTGAAGTAGCCTGTGGTCCAAATGAGTTCTGCTGTGGGATATGAGGGTTTGATGTATTATGTAGTCCTGAAGTAGCCTGTGGTCCCAATGAGTTCTGCTGTGGGAAATGAGGGTTTGATGTATTACATAATCCTGAAGTATTGCTTGGTCCCAATGAGTTCTGCTGTGAGATATGAGGGTTTGATGTATTATGAAGTCCTGAAGTAGCCTGTGGTCCAAATGAGTTCTGCTGTGGGATATGAGGGTTTGATGTATTATGTAGTCCTGAAGTAGCCTGTGGTCCCAATGAGTTCTGCTGTGGGATATGAGGGTTTGATGTATTATGTAGTCCTGAAGTAGCCTGTGGTCCCAATGAGTTCTGCTGTGAGATATGAGGGTTTGATGTATTATGTAGTCCTGAAGTATTGTTTGGCCTCAATGAGTTAAGCTGTGGGATTTGAAGATTGGATGTATTATGAAGTCCTGCAGTATGGGTCAGTTTTGACGTAATTTGCTGTGAAAGATTATGTTGGTTTATATCACTTGGCAAACCTGAAGTATTCCTATAATGCTGTAAAGTTCCAGAAGGTCTGAAAGTTTGTTCAGTGTTTTCATTACACTGAAGGCCTTGCATCCTCTCTGTACCCAAGGCACTATTTGGGAATGTCACTGAAACACCAGGTCTGAAGTTGTTTGATGTTGCTTCAAATTCATTGTTCAACTGCAAAGACCCAACATAACTGACATGTCTCGAGACACCCTGTGGTTCTCCATGGAGACAATCCTCACTCGCGGTAAGTCGAGAACTTGTCATAGCCTGGAAATGACCACTGCTTTGATTAGTCATTTGCCCAACTGTATAGGCACACGAATGAAAATTGTTTGCTGTTTGTGCAATTTCGTCACATCTATTTCCCAGTGTTTTGTTAGGAACAGCGGACATGGAGGTTGGCATCAGGTTGTTCGGCAATGGTTGTGTAGGAGCTATTGGATCTGTAGGTAGGCTGCCCTGTCTGGTCCTGTCTCTTCCACCAGATCCATGGTACATCCGACTTGTTGGTGGTCTGTTTACTCTAATATCAGGCAGTGAAACTTGGTTTGCACCTGGATTATCACCAAGACGATCACTATGACCTTGTGACCTTTGACCTTCAGTTACAGCTTTAGATATTCTGTGTGGGGACTTTTGCTGAGATGCAGACTGCTGTATATACTGTAACGTTTGTGCCATTTTAGTGATGCTGTAACCAGCTGAAGATGTAGGCAGTTGTCCAATGCCTGTAGATGGAGCTACAGCTTTCGTTGCATCTTGCTGCAAAGGTTGTCCAATGATTTGTGTGGAACATTCAATCAATGGATGTTGGTCTGTTTGAGGTGCTCTCTGAATATTTGATAGGTATTCTTTTAGAGCGAGAGAGTTTGATATTGTCTGTTCAATCCTTTTGGGTGATTGGGGGTTATTTTCCTGTTGTGCTGACTGTGCTGAAGGTGAAGACTGGACAATATCAGAAAGTGGATTTATTGGCAGTGAAGTCTCTAAAGAAGATGTCTCACTGAATGATGATTGCTCTATTTCACGAGTCACAGGAGACTGCCGAACTTCTGCCCCTGAGGCGGATGATGGCATTGTCACAGGACTGACAGTCACTTTCTCCGTTGTATAAGAAACAGGCTGACCCGTAGTAAATCTCTCTTGAAAGGACCTAGAAATCACAATGATAACCTGAAGTTAACACATATATCACATCAGCTACAACACACATCATCATATGAATACAGTTTTATGTATTGGTATGGCGGTAACTTAAGTCAATGCAGTATAGTCTAACCATATTGGAAATGCTGGAAGTAGTTAGGAAAACTGCTGCAACACACAATAAGACTACAAACTATAAGACTATTTAGAACTTTAGTCTCAATTCAAATTCAGCTTATTCTTAACTAAAATTTAGTCAATGAGATTTTGACCATACTATCATATTTTATCAAGATTGCCACATAAAACTATGTATTCTGGTATTCAGAAATACCCTTCCCCATTGTTAAAGATACGTTATCAACATTTTTTTCAAAAGGAAGTCAATCTTGAACATTAACATCGCCTTAAGGAATAGCATATGTTCATAAAAAGGTTTTCTTAGCAGGGAGAAGATGAATCCGAATAAACAGCATTATCAAAATAACTTATCAAAATATATTATAAAAGATTTTTTTACCTGTATAAACTTCTCTCAAGTTTGAAGATGATAATGAGCAGTGTTCTGGCACATTTATCGGAGCTGCTGGATTCACTGTTACAAAACTCAAAGGTGGTACGGTATAGTTTCTCCATATCAAACTGTTTGTAACGCACACCTCCGCACAGATGATCAATGAATTCCCGTGGTGACAGAACATCCAAGCACACCCTGCACTCAATACACCTTATCATGTTTTTGTCATTCAGAAACTTTGAGGAGAAATCTCCAAAGCTGATGAACGTGCTGCCGTCTGTAAAGAATTTATCATGTTTGAGCGGAATTTTCATTGAGCTACATCTCAATAGTCTAAGCAATTCTATACCATTACTCCTTTCTGCTAAAAACATGTGCTGTTCTTCAGTCAATTTCCGTGAAAGCAATGTAGCATTGATATTAGTGGTGTTGTATAAATGGCTATTTGTTATAACTGTATCACATTCTGAATCAGCTGTAGTTTTTGTCGGCGAAACACCAACATCTGCTCCACAAGACGGCAAAATTTCCTTTGAATTATCTGCTCCATGTTGTGGTCCTAATGAAGTTTGGGTACTCTTCCCTCCTACAGATTGTGATCTTACAATAGATGGTTTTGATGGCTGACATTTCTGCAACATAAGGTGATCTGCAGAGGAGGACCGAGCAACATCTGCTCCACAAGACGGCAAAATTGCCTTTAAATTATCTGATCCATGTTGTGGTCCTAATGAAGTTTGGGTAGTCTTCCCTCCTACAGATTGAGATCTTACAATAGATGGTTTTGATGGTGGACATTTCTGCAACATAAGGTGATCTGCAGATGAGGACCGAGTAATACCTGCTTCATGTGTTTGTTTCACACTTCTTGTAGTATCTGTTATAGATGTAGAGTTCATTTCACAAGAATCTTCTACTGGTTCTAATTTAATTCTTGCAGGAAATTCAGCTGTCTCAAAGTTGGAGTTTTTCTCAGACACTTGAGATATACTTTCATTTGATGATACGGCATCATGCACTCCTGATCTGTTTTCTGTTTCCATCTCTTCTTCCGCGTCTGAACTTTGCCCCCTGTCACATAAACCAGCAAGAGCCTTTGTCTTCTGCTCTAGTTGTTCAACCTTGGAATTACCACTGCTCTCATGATCTGGGTTTGTTTCCTCTTCATGACATGAAGTTATCGCCTTGTTTACATATGGATTCATCTCCATTTCTCCATCTGAATCTATTGTGTTGTCTTTATCTGTATTCATCTCATTTCCTTGATGTGAATTCATATTTTTTTCATTTTCTGGATCTATCATCTGTTCTTGGTCTGAATTTCGTGTATTTTCTTCATTTGAATGTTGTTCTGGATCAACGTTTTTTTCGTTATCAAAATTCATGATATTTTCTTTATTAGCATTTACTGCCTTTTCTTCATCTGGACTAACTGGAGTCATATCATCTCCTTCACTCAGGACTGGAGTATCTTTCTCCTCTGGAAGGCTTCCATCTTCTTGCATGTCTTCTTCCTGCGAATCACTAATGTAGGGTGTAGCTGGCATTGGTGTCCAAGGGCTCTCAATATCTCCTCCATTGTACATAATCAGCCGAATGTCATCCTTATCATCAGAATCACCTAGCTGAATATCCATCATATCAACTTGACTAGATTCACAATCATCAGCTAGCAATACATTCTCATCTGAGTCCTTCTCTTCCTGTGTCTTCTGATTCGTAGATTTCTCATTTATCAATTTTGGGACTTTAAAAGATTCTCCCTCGTTTGCTTTTGCAGCATCCTCAGACTTTGTATCCAATGAAGTATTAAGGTCAATGACAAGCCTGTCACCTCCATCGTCTTCACTTTCACTTGCATTATCAAGCACGCCAAGCGACCCACGCCCGTCACACAAATGTAAAGACACGTTTTGTGAAGAATCACATTCAGAATTTGTTGCTAACTTTGATGTGTTGCATGCTGCTGCCACGTCACTTCCTTCATCACTGAGGATATTGTCACTCTTATTGAAGGATGGAGAAGTCATGCAAGAAGATAAAGAAAATGATGTGCACGCCAAGCCCGATTCATCCATGTGTTGTCCTGATGAATTCATAGACTGATCACACTCATTATGTCTTGATACGTCTTTCTCCAATGCATCAGATGATGACATGTCCGAGTCCAGTGTTGAATGACTTAAAACTGAAGACGACACAACCTTTTCTGCTTCGGAATCCGAAGTATCACATACAGGGTTGTCAGAAACAATAGCTGACGTATTACTGTGTGCAGAAACTTCACTTGAACACACGTTTTCTAGCTGAGTCGATGAAACTTCTTTATCATTACACAATTTCACTTTCTTGCTAATGCTTTTATTTAGTTTGTCTTCCATTTTTCTTTTGCTGTGGTGACTTTTTTCTTGATCTGAATTAGAATTTGTAGAGGATCCTTTGCTATGCTTACTATCAGGTGTTCTTTTTAATGAAAGTTTACTCGACTTTTCCAGTGGTTGATCCTCTGAAGTGTCTGTAAAAAGCTCAAACAAGTTCAATCTATCACGAACTGGCACCGACTCCTTGTGAGAATGGACTGCATTGGATAGCACACTTTCAGCATCAGCTCTCTCCACAGGATTGCTTTTAGACAAATTAGTTTCATCTTGTTTCATGTCTAATTGACCGTTTGTCAATTCTTTGTTTGATAATTTTGTCAAAGAAACAACTGGAACCACATTTAAGTGACTATTGCTTTTATGATCCGACTGATTGTGTGTTATCTTTACATCCTTCCCAATTTCATCTTTTTTATTGGATCCCGTTTTCGTTTTGTTTTTCTTTTCTCCTGTAACTTCAACCAACTTGCTTTGCTCTTTTTCATGACTTATCCCTTTTTTTGTCGTGTCATGTACCTTTTCCTTCTCTGCAGATTTCCTGGATTCATCCTTTTCTTTCGGATTTGTAAATGTCTTTTTGTGGTGAATTTTTGTCTTTAACTTGTGTTTGTCATGACTCTTAATGGAAGATTTGGACAAGTTTTCACCAGTATCCACTGCTACTGAACTTTGATCAATATTTTCCTTCCCAGAGTTTGTTTTTGAGACGTGATTACCCTCCTCCTTCTGATTAATCTTTGATGTCTTTTCATTCACACAAATCCTATCCTCACTAATTGGAAATAAATTACTGGCTTCGACAGATTTCCCCATAAAATTATTGCGTGAAGGCGACATTGAACCCGACTTTCGTTTATGCCTCTTTTTATGCACCAGATGTGGTAATGATTCATCTCTTTCTGATAAATCAACTGATGCATCATGGTCTACTTCATAACATGTTACTCCAGAGTTTGTTTTTGTGGTGACAACCACATCATTCTTTGGAGTTGACTGTGGTACATGTCCTGATGAATGTCGATGTTTCTTTTTATTTAATTGTGTTTTTTGTAAACTAGTCTCCGAGGTTTGAGTTTTCCCAGCAATTGCTATCGAATGTCTGCGGTGTTTATTTTTCGACGATTCCTTAGTTCCATTTACGATCACATTTTTTGAACCTTCAGCATCTGTTTTTGGAATTTTTGGAAGCACTTTCTTTTTGACGTCAAAATTTGAACATGAACCAAAGGAAGGCATACTTTTGCCAGTTGAATTGTCTACTGACGAAAACTTATTATTGTTCCTGACAACATTTTTCAGAGATGATTTAGTATTCACAGACGAAACACTACTGCTGTCACCTACAGCAGTTTTCTGTGATGGTTTAGGATTCACAGACGAAACACTACTGCTGTCACTTACAACAGTCTTCTGTGATAATTTAGGGTTCACAAATGAAACAATATCGTTATTGCCTACAACAGTTTTCTGTGATGATTTAGGGTTCAAAGACAAAATATTATTGCTGTCACCTACAACAGTTTTCAGTGATGTTCTAGAGTTCACAGGGGAAACACTACTACCATCACTCACAACAGTTTTCAAAACACTATTGTTGTCACCTACAACAGTTTTCAGTGATGTTCTAGGGTTCTCAGACAAAACTCTATTACCATCACCCACCACAGTTTTCAGTAATGTTCTAGGGTTCTCAGACAAAACCCTATTAACATCACCCACCACAGTTTTCAGTAATGTTTTAGGGTTCTCAGACAAAACTCTTTTACTATCATTCACCACAGTTTTCAGTAATGTTCTAGGTTTCTCAGACAAAACCCTATTAACATCACCCACGACAGTTTTCCGTGATGACTTTGGTTTATTATGAAATGAGCTTTCACATTTTAATAATGGTTTAACAGAATGTTGTCCTCTTCGATTTGATTTTGTATTTGAAGCTGAAGCTTTGTCCACTGAAACAGATTTCAACATGGAAGCACATGAAGTCATATTTAAAGGAACAGCAACACCTTTGAAAACTGCTTTTTCATTTTTCTTGTCTTCTGATTTCTCTTTAGGAGAAAGTTCAAGGGTAGAAGTAGGTTTAATACTTAAGATTTTTTCTTTGGACATTGATCGTTCCCTTTCAGCACTTTCTATTGTTGAATGTTCAATAGAGTTGGGTCTACTTTTAAAATTTCTAAAAGTATGTTGACTCTTGTTCCACTCTAATTTACCAGATAATTTTCTATCCTTTGTTGTTTCCCTTTGTCTACAGTGGTCCCAAGATCTAGGACGGTCTCTAGAGGATGGGCTGCTCCTACTTCCATGTGACCTACTGCCATCCTGATAAGAGCACTCTTCAATCAACCGGCGCTTTTTTTCATGATGATCACTTACGATGTCACAAGAACGTTTTCCCTGCATTTTGCGATGTCCTCCTCTTTTCCAATGGCCTCGACCTCTGTCTTGTTTACTTTCACCCCGATAGCCTCCTCTTCCTCGCAAAACCCTCCAATTGCCATACCCTCTTGACCTATCTACTCCATTCCTATAATTATGTCGATGGTCCTGATCATCAGACTGTGAATCTCTGACATGATTGTAGTTGAATTTGACCCAGCTAGATTCAGGAAATTCAAAATCCAGTAGTGGTTTTGATCTCTCTCTGTACAAATCTTCTGTGTGATACCTTTGATTATAAGGGTCGCAGTCTGGTGACCTGTTCATGGAATCTGTAAATAACGATAAGAAGAAAGTTTAAAAAACGAAAGCCACACCATGCTTATCATAAACATTTGTACATCTGTATGAATATGGGTAAATGGCTGTGCTTATTACCAGACATGGTCTTCTGGCCGGAGAACCAGGATTACAATTTTTTTAATATTACTTAGTATGCAACAATTGGCAAGACATATTTTTACTACAACGTCACAGCACTGATGTATGCATTTGTACATGTGATTTTCATAGAACATCAGCAATCGGTGTTTTTTACAATACATCATAACTTGAAGCACAGCACAATGAAGTGAAGATGATGTATTACAAGGTATTTTGCAATGGTAGTGTATATCTTTAGGAATGGTTACATGTTCCATTTGAACTATTAAAGTTTAATATGTGAGTTCATTAAATTATACAACATTTTCTTCAGTTATACATATGTCAGATTTTTAATCATAATATAAATGCCAGAAAGAGACTAGCTTAATTTAGTTCCTGACATCTATTGACCAGTGACCAATTATGTATTGACCAGTGGTGAGAGGCATGCTGTTGTTACTTAATCTACACATGTTATTAATTAATTCCCTAATTACATTAATCTACACATGTTATTAATTAATTCCCTAATTACATAAGTTATTACCTAAGCTCTATCCAGACAGTTCCCATGAAGGTCAGTGTATACTAATCTTGTGGAAAATAATCCATCTACAACCAGACCATTCTGGTGTTTAAGTTCATATCAATAACTCATGTAATCCTCAATCTTTGTTAGCCTGTTTATCTAATGTATAAAATTACTTAACCAACAGTATAACAACATTCTGGTCTGTTAGATGAGAAGAGCAGAGACCAGACAGGAGAGAGGCTAGTTTCGACTGACGGGACGCCCGCTCGCTCAGGCTTTTGCCCGAGCTAGAACGTCTCTACATCTGAACTTTAATATGGTAAAGGCATGGTTATTGTATGTAGTTTACATGTATATTCTATACAAATACATGCAGAAGATTAAAATACTTTGAAAAGAACAGGACTTTTTCATCATGAACCATCAACTCTACTTTCAAATACATTTCAAGTTTCGATTATATTTGGTAACCCGACAAGTTTTGATTAAATCTGGTGCTGCAACAAGTTTCGATTATATTTGGTGCCGGGACAAGTTTCGATTATATTTGGTGCCGCAACAAGTTTGATTATATTTGGTGATGCGACAAGTTTGATTATATTTGGTGCCGCAACAAGTTTCGATTATATTTGGTGCCGGGACAAGTTTCAATTGTATTTGGTGCCGGGACAAGTTTCGATTATATTTGGTGCCGCAACAAGTTTGATTATATTTGGTGATGCGACAAGTTTGATTATATTTGGTGCCGCAACAAGTTTGATTATATTTGGTGCTGCGACAAGTTTGATTATATTTGGTGCTGCGACAAGTTTGATTATATTTGGTGATGCGACAAGTTTGATTATATTTGGTGATGCGACAAGTTTGATTATATTTGGTGCCGCGACAAGTTTGATTATATTTGGTGCCGCGACAAGTTTGATTATATTTGGTGCCGCGACAAGTTTGATTATATTTGGTGCCGCGACAAGTTTGATTATATTTGGTGCCGCAACAAGTTTGATTATATTTGGTGCTGCGACAAGTTTGATTATATTTGGTGATGCGACAAGTTTGATTATATTTGGTGATGCGACAAGTTTGATTATATTTGGTGATGCGACAAGTTTGATTATATTTGGTGCCGCAACAAGTTTGATTATATTTGGTGATGCGACAAGTTTGATTATATTTGGTGCCGCGACAAGTTTGATTATATTTGGTGATGCGACAAGTTTGATTATATTTGGTGCCGCGACAAGTTTGATCATATTTGGTGCCGCGACAAGTTTGATTATATTTGGTGCCGCAACAAGTTTGATTATATTTGGTGCTGCGACAAGTTTGATTATATTTGGTGATGCGACAAGTTTGATTATATTTGGTGATGCGACAAGTTTGATTATATTTGGTGATGCGACAAGTTTGATTATATTTGGTGCCGCAACAAGTTTGATTATATTTGGTGATGCGACAAGTTTGATTATATTTGGTGCCGCGACAAGTTTGATTATATTTGGTGCTGCGACAAGTTTGATTATATTTGGTGCCGTGACAAGTTTGATTATATTTGGTGATGCGACAAGTTTGATTATATTTGGTGATGCGACAAGTTTGATTATATTTGGTGATGCGACAAGTTTGATTATATTTGGTGCCGTGACAAGTTTGATTATATTTGGTGATGCGACAAGTTTGATTATATTTGGTGATGCGACAAGTTTTGATTATATTTGGTGATGCGACAAGTTTGATTATATTTGGTGATGCGACAAGTTTGATTATATTTGGTGATGCGACAAGTTTGATTATATTTGGTGATGCGACAAGTTTGATTATATTTGGTGCCGTGACAAGTTTGATTATATTTGGTGATGCGACAAGTTTGATTATACATTTAGCTTTATGTATTAATAATAGACTTCAATAGTCTCACTTCCTCTTTAGACTCTTTTCTGCTGTTCTGTTTGACATTTGCTCATACGAAATACATTAACTGAATACTAGTATGCCTGTATAGATTTAACAATTAAGTAGATTTCAAGCATTTGGGGTGAAAGGAGTGAGACACCTGTAAAATCCAAAAATCAAGATGGTTTACATGTACCTTACATTTTATCAACTTACTTAATTTCCACAGGTAGGGCAAAGGTTTTAATGGCATATACTGGTGATTTTCTGTTCCAAAAAGACATCTTAAACTGAATATCCTTGATAATATTTCATGTAAGCATTTATTGCACCACAGGAACTAAGCTTATATCAGTAGGAGTGGTCATATTGGGCAATATAAACCAAGGTTTTCCCCAGTTGCTTCAATCCAGGCCAAAAAGTGTGACTACTTTCAGCTGATATTTTTACTTTTTTTTTTCCCCAAACTGTATTCAAAACCAACATACCACTTCTATACAAGATTCATAACCAAAATAAGAAATTGATTGTGTAGTCACTGTTGTGAAGTATTTCGCTGCTCTAGTCATGTGTCTATACACTCAAGACCAATTTTTTTTATAAAATAAACGCTTTAGGATGCAATATCAGGAAATACAATGGATTATTTCATCAATCTGAAAAAAAAATTTTATCATGTGAGAAATATCCTGATACCATATAAAAGCCCTCAGAAAAAAAAACTTGTTCAATTAAGAGTATGTCAACATATCTGCATGAGTAACAACTAGTATGGAAATAATTAAATGTGCAATGTTTGTTGAATATCACAATAGAAGACAGATATCAGGAATGGGAAATAAAATACTGCATGTCAAATTAGAAAAAAAATTACATAAATAAAGTTAATGTCTTAACTTTAAGAGCAAGAATAAATATTAGACCAACCCCTTTCAATCAGAGAATGCTGGACCATGTTGGACTCCGAGCTCAACTGTTGTCTCCACTTCTTTGTTTCTACAGTGAATGTGGAAGGGTTGAACGTATAGTTTTGGGATATTTATATTGACAATTAGCAGGCATTGTGAATAGTTTTAAGAGAGACTTTGATGTCATATATTAATTAGTCAGGTACTGTAGATAGGCCCTGATTATGAAGTAGGTAAACAGGTAAAGCAATTTCTGTCAGTCTATTGATCAGGGGAAGCTCCCAGCAATCAATGGATTAATTAGTGTCACATTAAAACACCGCTGTCAAGACATTTAATCACTCAAGGCAAAATTTACCTGTCTCAAATTGAGCTATTGTCTCGCTTAGCCAATAGAATTGGATTTTTACCCCTATTTATAAGATAGCACCAAGTCCTAAGACATAAGGCAGTCAGACACATTATGCACATGGAAAGCAGGAGCTGGTAATGACTTTCTACATTATTTTGGTAAGATTATTATAGTCATTTAGATTTATCATTGATGGCAATGAGGGCAGGTACCAGATAAATTATTTAAAACAAATTAATGAAATTTTAAATGAGACTATGTAGTACATTCATGTATGCATATACAAACACCAGAGAAATTTCTGTTAACCGATGCTGAAAATTGTACAAATACTAGAACTTATCAAGCATGTTATTCTGGCTAAATGGCACTGACATGTCACTCATCAGTCTTGAATTCTTTATTTTGATTACATAATTACTATAAATAGCCTTGAGGTACTGTTAAACATAAACTCAGGTTGGTGAAATTAGTCCTCATGTTTCAGATCTGAGCTATAAACAAAAATCTGTTCTGTTTTATATATTATTCATTACACCATACAAACGCCTGGATTACAACTACAAACCCACTGACTTTCTGAAAATGCATATCTGCCAACTTTCCTGATTCAATCAGGAGTTTCTCAATTTTCAAGCCCCAGCCCCATTTCCCGATCATAAGGATAAAAATTTGAACAATCTCCCGATTTCAGAGATCTCACTGGGTAGGTCATATGTAACCTTGCTATATTTGTCAAATTAGTAAGGCTGACCACCTGGCCACATAATCAAGTGTGACATAGCAGCTCTGTCAGGTTACTTAAAATAAAGATGATGAAAGTTCAACTCAGTTGTTTTATTAAGTCTAAGCATAGGTATTCTTCACAACAAGTTCGAAATGTGAGAGAGGGTGAGTTAGGCACAGGTGCTCTATTCACTATCTGTACTCCCCACTCTCTCTCCTCGGGTCGTATTTATATTACCTGGTGTCGTAAGCAATGGTCAAGTAATAAATTTTACTGGGCCATCTGGCCTTTTCATAAGCTATGGTCAAGCAATTGATTTTAGTGACATGCTATTTGTTCAGGGTCAGTTTGTATACAATATTGAAGGGTCGAAGTATACGTAAACTGTGAAAGACGATTCTCTCTATAAATCTGATGGATAACAAGAGGCCCATGGGCCTTAACGATCATCTGACAAAAAGCAAGCCAAACTCTAACAACAGTGAGTCTACCATTCAAAAAGTGGGCTTTATTCATTTGAATAAACTTGGTAGCCCTTCCTCCAAGCATCCTACAGGCCAAATATCAGCACTCTGAGCCTTTTGGTTACTGAGAAGTCATTTGCATATTTAACATATTTGACCCCTGTGACCTTGAAAGTGGGTCAAGGTCATTTATTTGAACAAACTTGGTAGCCCTTCATCCCAGCATGCTACAGACCCAATATCAGCACTCTTGGACTTTTGCTTATAGAGAAAAAGTTGTTTGTATATTTTAACACATTTAACCCCTGTGACCTTGAAAGTGGGCCAAGGTCATTCATTTGAACAAATTTAGTAGCATGTCATCCAGCATCCTACAGGTCCATTATCAGCTCTCTTGGACTTTTGCTTATTGAAGAGAAGTTGTTTGTATATTTTAACATATTTGACCCCTGTGACCTAGAAAGTGGGTCGAGGTCATTCATTTGAACAAACTTGGTAGCCCTTCATCCCAGCATCCTACAGACCCAATATCAGCATTCTGACCCTTTCGGTTGTTGAGAAGAAGTCGTTTGTATATTTTAACATATTTGACCCCAGTGACCTTGAAAGTGAGTCAAGGTCATTCATTTGAACAAACTTGGTAGCCCTTCATCCCAGCATCCTACAGACCCAATATCAGCATTCTGACCCTTTCGGTTGTTGAGAAGAAGTCGTTTGTATATTTTAACATATTTGACCCCAGTGACCTTGAAAGTGAGTCAAGGTCATTCGTTTGAACAAACTTGGTAGCCCTTCATCCCAGCATCCTACAGACCCAATATCAGCACTCATAGACTTTTGCTTATTGAGAAGAAGTCGTTTGTATATTTTAACATATTTGACCCCTGTGACCTTGAAAGTGGGTCAAGGTCATTCATCTGAACAAACTTGGTAGCCCTTCATTCCAGCATGCTACAGACCCAATATCAGCACTCATGGACTTTTGCTTATTGAGAAGAAGTCGTTTGTATATTTTAACATATTTGACCCCTGTGACCTTGAAAGTGGGTCAAGGTCATTAATTTGAACAAACTTTGTAGGGCTCATGCCAGCATGCTATGGGCCAAGTATTAGCCCCCTAGGCCTTCTAGTATTTGAGAAGAAGTTTTTTGAATGAAAAGTTTATGGACGACGCACGGCGGACGGCACACGACGACTGACCCTTCGGGTCAGATGACCTAATAAAAAGTGTAAAGAATGACCATCACTGACTTGACCAGGGACAGTTTCATAACCATCATAATGCATCTGAATCCAAAGACAAAGAAATTCACAAACCAGAATGAATAATTTTTGAATATCACTATTTGACCAGGAGTGGCATCCTGCGTTGCCATCAAGGGACAGAAGAATTAATTTTGATATTGTTTCACACTGTTATATAACAACACCTTATATTGTTGCACAAGACTGGCTAGGCGAGTACACTTCCCAATTATCTAATTAGTGTCACCCAATTAAAATTAATTAATGATGACCATTATGCTTAGGAACACACTAGTACATGGGCGATTGTTCCCTACCTAATTAGCGGAAGACCACTGGCATATCTGCCAACTTTTCATAATTCTCATGGGGAGAAAGGTGTATAAATAACACTTTTGACTTGCCACGCTATCTTGCGCATCACAATATTTGTCACAAAGGAAAAATTAATTAAGATATATTTAATCAATACTTCTAGATAACTTTAAATTGATAAAGTGCATGCTTTAATATACAATAACAATGAAAAAATTACCTGGTTTTTTCACAAGTAAGGTAAATGATTTGCTCCTAATAAAATTATGACGAACAAATGCACAAAGTGACGACTATATAAGTCATAAAGTATTACAACAAAATATATACATTCTTTGATTTTTAACATTATCCATCATTAATATCCTATGTCATGCAGTCCTTTGTCAAGTTGAGCCAATTGTTGTCATTGAACTGTAAAAAAAGATTGTACCTATCGGTGATCACTGGATATGCTTTGTCAGAATACTCGGAAGCCATTCAGAAAAAAATAAATAACAGTTAAATAGTTGTCAAATATAATAGAATATAAAACTATAATGGGCTTTGATATGAACATATCTTGATTTGAATGTCTATCCATAGACTTGTATGCAGCTTCTTAGTTAGCGCGCGGGACAAACCGTTGTTAGCTCAACTGGTGTTCCCTACTTTATTAAAAAAAAAACTGACTTGAAAACGGATTATCAGATAATTTTTACTGTTAAGATTTAATAATAAATTTCACTTTCTGCAATAATCTTGCACTAAAACAAAAGCGAATTTCATTGCCAGCCCTAGAGTACAGTTCTAACTTTACGCGATCATCCCTCGTTGGGATACTTGGCAAACTTCCAACATTCAGTGGCCCCCATGTTTACATGGAGATGAAGTCTGCTCACTTTTGTTTATCACCGATATTATTTTGAGAAAATTGACAAGCACACTTTTCCCAGAAACGAAGAATTTCCAATAAAGAAGTATGTTTACCTTAACTTGTCTATTATACAACAACTCTAAAACTTCAATTTACTAATGATAAAAGAAGTGCGTCTTACCTCCGAAAAATCCGCGAAACAACCAAACCTCACTGTTAATAAATATGCTGTACTGTTAGTGATCATATTAGTAAAACGGTTTACTTTGTGCAATGTAAGAAAATCACAACACTGTTGTAGTTGATTGTACCATATCTAATCACTCACCAGTTTCTATTCTCGCACAACTTTCACTTTAGAATGTTTTTTAACCGGTTTTCTTCTCCCCTTCTCATGTTGTTGTTTCACATTTCGCACCATGAGGACAACACACCCTACTGCGCATGCTCAACTTACCAGCGTGTGTATTATATACATTAAGGATCCGCGTCCATCGTTGCAAATTTCATTTTATCTCGCCAAATTTCGTTTCATTACTCACATTTGAAACTCGTGTATAATAATTAATATAAGCTTTAAGCTTGTTTTCCCATCCCATAAGATTATGCGTACCTGTCTGTAATTAAATGCTTATTACTGAATAAAATATTGTTTAAACTAATTCGATAATTATTAAATATAGGAACGTATACTGGGAACAGGATCTTCGAACTCTAGGGTTAATGGTATGGAATATTAAATTTTATTTCAAAACTGATATGTAAAGATTGATGACTTCGGTCGCAATGAGGAATCTAGTCCGGTGTATAAATTATGTTTCTACTTAAACAGTTTGCTAACAAAGTTTTCGGTATTTCCTGTGCGTGAAATTTTGTCAGGACGAATCTGGTTCAATGGTCTGTAACGATCACATGTCCTTTGTTGAGAATTGAAACCCTGTTAACTTGAGTAATTGAGCCCAATACATGTAAAGGGCGATGTCGAGATCTTATTTGAAAGCATTATCAGTTTCCATCGTTATCATCATATCTGGTAAGTTTCCTAGATCACCACGGAAATAGCAAATATAACGTTTACTGTAGATAAGATATTCGTAAAGTTTAAGAGGTAAAGATACTTTTTGGGGAAAAAAAGAATTTAAATTCCAAGACATGATACTTAAAAGTAATTATAAAACACTTCACAAATAACATAAAGATTTTTTTTAATCGGTTTTGACGGAATCGGTACTTTGTCACTAGTTTGTCGCCACTTGTTAACCATTGCAGAGTGATGACGTAATATTCTGTCCTCTATTAACAGTTTATTTACAGTTCAAAATATACAAAGTTATTTACATCACAGATGTCCATATGTACAAAACACGCAGCTCTCAATCCTGCGTACAACTTTTCTGTACTTATCACGGTTCACCTTAACGACGACATACCACATTCCGTTCCCACGACACTGTTTAATTTCAACAATCACCTTGTTAAATTTCCAAATAATTAACTGTCAGTCTCAATATAATCAAGACAAATCACTCGACTTTTTTCCAGAATCACTCTGCTAGTCTTAAAACAATAAACATCCACCACGCCATATTGGAGACTGCTCACGGACGTACAATACAGTATTATACGTCCTCTGATTTACACAGCCGACTGCCAATTGATTTAATCACCGGACCCTCCATCTGTCTCTCTCTCTAAACTGTCTCCTCCCCCCCCCCCCCAACCGCCCCCACCCCACCACTGCTATCACAGATAACACTTTTTCACAGTTATAATACAGATTTTTAAAAAATAAAGTTCCTCTAGCAATGCGTAGATAACTAGTTATGATACAGAAGACTATTTTACGTCATAACTGATTTCAGTTTTAAAAGTCTTTGAAGACGTCAAACAGTATATCTTTATCTTGCTTTACACAGCTAACAGCTAAGGTATCTTCATTAAAGATAACCATCAAGAGCTTGGCCATCACACATGAGACCTGGAAGGTCTCTTGCCACCATACCCTGTAACACATAAAACGAATTGAATAGCCAATTCATCGTGTCTGTAGCGGACAGGTGACAACTATAATGGCTATTTTCACAAGTTTCGACATGATAAGATAATTTCACAGGGGTTCACAATCTTGATATATCGCAGACACTTGTCACATGGTATTACGGCAAGTCATTCTCTGCTGAGGGAGAGGTAGATTGAGGGGTTGTAACAAAATAAGATCCGATTAATAATTATGCAGTTAATAACCAATCAGAGTTAATTAATAATATATTTTATATAATTGATGATATTTAGTGCAGAGCTATCAAACCGTTTATCGGTCAAGGAATTAGATAGGTACATAGTCTTAGAGTCAAGATTATACGAAAGTGAAGTGGTCAGTAATGGAATACACAAAGTCAAGTGTGGTCAGTGTTGACATTTTCAGAGTCAAGTACTTAAGGTCTCACGTTAAATACATAATTCAAGCATTTATGGTCAGTTTATAGAACTGGACCTACGTCATTGAATACTTATGAAATTTCAATTTGTGAGATCAGCATATTTTGACCGGAGTATTACCAAATTTGGGCAAATTCTGGTAACGACTGGCCAGAGAACATCACCAGTGTTACTCTCTCTCCTCATTTCTCATATTCGGCCAATGGAACCTAAAACTTGTTAACTGTAGACGGAGGTAATTTAACCTGTCGTTCGATAGCCAACCACAACTTTTGTTAAAAAATAGCTTGTTCGTTTACTTCGCTTCAGGAATATATTTGGTTCATTATTCACAAACGCAAGTTCTGTCGTATTCAAACAACGCAAATGTGCATACACAGAAATGACCGATACGACAACAAAACTGAAACTTATATATTCTGACACACTAATTCATCCAGATGGTGGCTTAGGTCACAAGTAAATATACAAAGTCATATTTGTAGTAACTTGTCCATTTCATATAATTCAAAGAAAGACAGAGAAAATGTTTGTCCCGTCTTGTCTTAAACATAATTAAATAACAGGGTTAATATTACTTAAATCCTAACCAATGACCAACGTAGTGCTGGAAAATTATGGTCCTTTCAATAGATAATGGGTTTTTCTATCATTGTCACTCTGACATCTTGTACCTGGACATCGTATTAGTAGATAAGATCAAAGGTAAACTGCCCCAGCATGGCATTTAGCTGAACACGTGTTTACAGTACTGTCCGCTTGTATCACAGCATGGATAAGTTCTTTGTGTCAGAAGTTTACATAAACACTCTATTGTAAGCGTGAGTGGGTGTGAAGTGTAGTGAGATGGGTAGGGTAGAGTAAGAGAGTGGTGGACGACGGGATGGGGTGGATAGATAGTCTGTGAACCTGTTGTTTGACAATAAACGTCGTAGGGTTAAGACTACCATCCCCAAAGTTTTTACAACAAGGATATCCAGCTGGTTGGTTGTTTTAACCTTGTCTGAAACTAAGGAATCGGATATATTCAAGACATTTATATTATGTGCCCGGATCGAAAGATCGGGGAGATTTTGTTTTTGTGTTGTCTGTTTGTATGTTGTTAACTTTCACCTTGCCCTAAACTATTGCACCCTATGAGGTAGCTTTCAAAGTTGCTGCCATGTGTGTTCCTTGTACCAAGACCTTTCCGTTGGTTCCTAACTTTTTGACCATGTGACATTGACCGTGACATTTGACTTACATTTGGAAAAAAATAACATTGCTCATAACTGATACAAAAAATGGACCATGTGACTTTGATAATGACCTTTGACCTGCATTTGAAAGTAACAAAAATATCGTTATCACAATGAAGAAATAAGTGTTTCATAAAATGCGCATGCAATAAGCACATGCCTTGCACAGTACAGTTTTAATGTGCCACTTTAGATTTTGTTTGAAACCGGAGGTATAGTGTTTCGTAAACACATCTTGTTAAATTCGCTTTTGTCTAAAAAAAGCAAAGTCTTCTCGAAACAGGGATCAGACTATATAGGTTATACTCACAGCTTAGAAGCCGAGTACAAGATGGATATAGCGCAAACAAAATATATTTTATGGTACAGGAAGAATGTTGAATATAAAAATATTTGTATTTTGAAGTTTTGAATAAAATTCTCATGCCTTTTGTGTGGTGTGTGTGAGGGTGCGTGGATGTGTGTGTGTGTTTTGTGTATTTTTGTTTTTGTTTGTTTGTTACAACTGCTGATAAAATCAAGGAATTCAAGTGTTTGGCAATATCAAGGAGTGCAAGTGTCGTGGTAATGTTCACATATCTCTATGTTTGTTCTCCATCCAAACACGAGTGTTATCAAAAACATTGAATGCTATATTCTGTATACACAGGTATTGTTCCAACTACACATAGACTGTAATTGATTCTCATGTCCATCTGGCACTGTAGTATCTATTTATTGTGGCGGGACTGCCACACGTGTGTTCGATCATGGTTTGAGGGAAAGTATTATGCAATTCCTAAAGATAGGCCGTCCGATAATCTGCGTGAGTTTCGCGTAGAGCACACTCAGGGTGTCTTTATCTCCAAATAATCATAGACCCACGGCAATTTCTTGTAAACATTCAACCAATTTCTTTGTGTCGTCCTCGCCACAGTCAACGAAAATATTAGTACGATTGTCCAATGAAGACACAGGAAAGAAATGGAAACCATGATATGAAAGCATAAGGTTTGAACTGTTACTTTGGAACAACAATTGAATTGCGTTAGTGAGAACCGACGATTCTGTGAGGAAGTCCACATTGGTCGCCTCTCAAACCATTAATGTTCCGTTCTTTATTTTGTTTCCATGATAATGGAATCTGAACATTATCCTTCTCACAAAGAGTCCTACAACAGTGGCAGGTAAAAATATCTGGGAGCTTACACTTGGACTCTCGTAGATCTCAACGTGTGTTTATGGTGCTGCTTACAATAGTAGCATCAAGCTCCATCTGCTTTGGAATGCATCAAAAATTCACAACATCTTAAGTCCACATACACCGTATCCTGTATGGATCCATGATACAAGTAATTCATCTGCCAGCTTTGACCAAATTCAGCCACGTGCTTCCTTTGTTTGTAATTTCACTTGAAATACACAGATAGGAAACTACTTCTGATACTGTTTTACACAGCTGCATTTATCTCTACCTATTGTTCTTTTATTCACAATGGCAAAATGAGAAAAGCACACAGAAGGTACGTGTATACACAATCCTGGAAGTGACTTTTTACCAGCACTGAGTCTAAACATTTCACAACAGTTTACAAGAAAGCTCGTGCAAAAGAGCATACTCTAAATCCTCGCCATAGAAGCGTCATGGAGTGGTTTAACATAGATAGCTGGGTAATTAATGCTCAATAATTCGGTAAAAAAAATAATTGAAAAATCGGCTTTTAAGCGAATTATTTCAGAAATCTGACAGCATCTATTATCTTCCCTATACAACTTGTCAGCCAATAAATGATAAAAATATGACCAACAAAAATCTACGGTGTTAAACGTCCTCGCAACAGCCATATTAGGATCGACACTAAGAACGGAAAACAAGGATTAGAAATAAAGGAGAGACAGGAGAGGACAAATATGACGGCGATTCTCGGTGTTGGAATAGGGGGAAGTAGGTCTAATTTGGTCGCTGGTACGTTCCGGCTTCAGCAGAACACACAGAAGAGAACCTCGTGATTCGGCAACGGACCCCACTTTTAGTGGCCGCCTACGATCATGCAGTGGAATGGAACAGACCTTACTCTTGAACTCTCCCATACCCTCTAATAGAAGACATCGCAGATACAACAAAAGACCTGCAATGGGTGCCATATAATTAGTCACTTCTTACTGACATGATATGCAGTGAGATACATCAGATACTGTATTCTTTCTCGACCCCTGCATGGGTTTACTATAAATATAAAATCAGATATATTTCTCCTTATACTGTCGACACGGTACACATGACACGGGAATAGAGATGTATACATTGTACGTACTATCTATTCATCGCCACAATAAGATCTCTGGTGAAAATTTTGAAAAAGTATCTCATTAATAACACTACATGGTCAAATGAGGCCGAAGAGAGTCAGTATTCAATATTTACGCTTTTGTCGAAAAAGTTACTCTTTTGTCAAGAGGACAAACAAAACGGGACGATCATGACAGACAGCTTCGCCTTCTCAAGGTATTGAGGTCGTTAACTTTCTAAAACAATCTGCCTTAATCTTCGAGTCTTGAAATCAAGTACTCACTTATTGCGGACAGGGAGTGGAGTATATAGCTTCTGACCGAGGAATGGGTTCCGTCAATTTCTCCCATAGTACTCTACACAACCTTGTATTGTAAAGTAAAAAGTGTGTTTCTGTTTTCTTGCAATGAAAGACGCCTTTAACAGGCAGTAGAAGAAGAATATTTCCCGCTTTCTTACAGCGAAAGAGCTGCTGTTCCTAACAGAGGAATATTTGCCACACAAATGCTGTGTACCGTGATCGAAAAAAAATTCATGAAATACAAGCGTAAACGTCAGACTTCCCAGCGGTCCCTCTCAAAGAAAGTGTGATTCAATACCAAGATATGGTTGTAGGTAGAACGAAGTTCTCCGGCCGATCTCACACTGATGCCTCCGATGGTACGATAGTTTTCCCCGCTGTTTTGTTCAGCTAGTGACGTCATAACGAAGTTTATCTTGATAATCATTGCCATGAATATTATTATCGAAGGGATGTGTACAGCAGTGCTCAATAAAGGGCATCCTCGATACCCCAAGGGTTACAATCATTCTGCATCCCTGCAACACGTCATGGCAAAATTGAAGGTTCTGTGTTCAACACCTTGTGCACAAGACGAAAAGACTAGTTTGATCCTTTAGTGTACATCGATCGAATCATGAGGTCGCATAATGGTATGTTGTAACGGCTCTGAAGTTGGGTGTCGCTCCTTTGTAATCTTCAAAAAGAGCGTATCGGCCTGTGATTGGTTCTTTTTTCTCCTGGAACCAATTAAATTACTCTGCTTGTGCCTTCAATTTTGCCTTGGTATGTTCCATGGGTACAGAAAGCGAATTTAAAACAAAAGGTTAGGTCAAAATCGGTCCAAGGTCAATGTCCTGCTTACGTGAAAAAAATTCAGTCGGTGACTTCTTTGGTAAACCTCTGCATTATTTAACCTCATGTGAGAGATTTGGATGGATATCTGGGTGGGTCCATTAACCACCATGACTATTCATATATCCAGGTTTTCCTGGGTGGGATCTCGTTTTTGTCGATTATCAATATTGATGCAGAAAATCATCTTTATATGAGAACAGACTTCTGAGTCTTAAAGATACAGACCACACATCCTCCACTCCCTACCATACCTAAAATTTATTCAGAAATAGCTACTTTTAGGAAAGCAATAGGTTAGAGGATGATTTCCTTGGAACCCTCTTACGATACTTTATACTTACACGCATCACGTGGTCCCCTTTCCCAGTTGTCATCCATGGGTAGAGAAGAGAGGGACTTTGGACACCACATCACTTCCGGTTGTATCTGTATCTCGCAGAGAGCAGCTGTTCATACCACACAGACGTCGGTCTAGAATTTAAGTACATCAATATAATGCTTAACAATTGTTTTGGTTTCACATGTTTAGTGAGTAAACATTTATTGTTATATCAATTATAACAATGTTTATTTAGAACTATAACATCGTCTGCAAACTATTAAGTAATTGATTCAAATAACACCCAGAAAAGTATTCTCATTAAATCGGGGATAAATACCATCAAAACAGTGGTCGATGTCTTTGATTAATGCAATCGGATCAATTAAATAGACAATCAAGTACATAACAATAAATCAATCAATCAATCGATCGATCAATCAATCATTCAAAATTTTACGCTGATATCTTGATATTTGAATTACAGTTTTCGCAATATGAAAATCCAACAAACTTTTACGTCATGTAAAAATCAAATGTATCTCTTAGACTATAAGAAGACAATTTCGGATGTCATGAAATGTTCATTCACGGATTTCCATGTGTGATATAAAATCTCGAAGTATCCGGTATTCAATAGTTGATTTGTAAATTTAATATAATTTCCCCGATCATTATATTGAGAACCTGGTATTACTATCATTTTTCCTGACCTTACTGTGCTATCATTGATACCGCAGGAAATCATTTGTTTTACCGGGGTGTTCCTGATGTGGTGGAAACTTTCTTCTGTTCACATTTACAAACGTCTCCTCGGATTTATTTTCACGTCGGTAGTGCTTATCTATTTGCAGTGTATTTTAAGTATCAAGAAAGGTCTACGTCACGGACCAGGTCATCGTGAATTAAGACGTTTAATTTCCTGCTGTACCATAGGTTGAAATGGGTTAATTTCAGGTGTAACACTACAATTCGTTGAAATGGGTTAATTTCAGGTGTAACACTACAATTCGTTGAAATGGGTTAATTTCAGGTGTAACACTACAATTCGTTGAAATGGGTTAATTTCAAGGGTAATTTTAATCGGATTGGGTCACGACCTTGACTTCAATCCGATGTAAGCCGATGGTTATGTGACATTTATTTTGTCGGCTTTGGTCACTGATCTTCCTCGTCCTTGTTGTAATAGTATCATGTCCATTTTGTTCTTAAATATATAACTGATGTTTCGGATTGCGACTCTAGTTTTACTTTACTGACGAATAACTCATTAATCCGGAAGATGACCTTTAGATCTTCTTAAAGCCTTATCTGTTTATGCTGGTCAATTGACTCTGGACAACACTATGGACTTCCTTTCATTTAATTGTTAGATGAAGTGACCAGACCAACCGTCTTGTTATAAGTAAAAGCGTGGTCGAGACTAAAAATTAGTACGTCAACGTCTGATCCTAACAAGAGGTCCAATGGCCTTAACGGTGACCCGAGCGACGCTTTTTGAAACGTGTCATAGAAATAATCTTTTTTTTAAAATAGATAATATAACTTTAACTACATTGTACACATATTTCATTCAGATTCAATTAAATCGGGATACTGAGAAGATCTTTGAAATTTAAGTTAATTTTACCCCCTCCCAAAGGGATAATGTTAAACCCTGGGAATATGAAATTTACAATTTTGGTAAAGCATCTGAAGGCCTTTCCATCCACGATGAGTGTTTGATTCTACCATACCTGGGTACTGGGAAGGTTTTTGAAGTTTCAATCAATTTGTCAATTTATGACCCCGCTTCCGGAGGTCAGGAACGTGTAATTTACAATATTAGTGTTTTGACCATGAGAGGTTTTTCATTGAAATCGGTTCCATAGATTCCCAGAAGGAGTCGAAAATGTTAAAAGTCAACGACTCAAGACTCCGGACAAAAGGCGATCTCTATAGGTCAGCATGGCACTTTGTCTGAGGTAACCTAAAAACACAGATAAAGTCACATACATTTATGTATATATACTTAACGACCCTTTTATGACGAGTTCCCAACAAGACAGCAAAGAAACGATATTATGGGCAAATGTCATCCATCTTAATGACAGCAGAACGTCATACTAGCAATTTGGCTGAAATACTTTGATAAGTATATCTGTATGATTTCTCACGTGTGGCACCAATTTTGAAAACTCAAACTTAATTGAATAAAAGCAGGCAAACTAAAGCAATTTCTGCAAATGGGATCGCCCTATTTGACTTGTGATATGTTGGTTATTTGTTCTTTTGACTTAAACTGTCTTTGAATTAATTGTTGTTGAAGTGTGATGAAAACTGAGGATGGTGTAGTCCACGAGTGTAGTGTTGTTGAAGGTGTTCTCTGGTACGTATATCTGGATACCGACCCAGTATCAAGAGGCACAAAGGGTTTATATACCATTTCTAACAAGAATGAGTGACCCATAGAAAAGATGAATGGTCAAGGTAGCCAGACCAAACATGTCTAACTCGTCAAACATACAAGATCTAATCCCCAGATATAATAGTAGTACCATTTATACCTGGTTACTTGACATAATTACCTTAGACAACATGTATTTCTGCCATGTAAACGTTTAATCTGTCTGAAGCCTTTGGGCTTAATGAGTCTTGGCGATAAGGTTTTGGATATAACCATACACATTTTTTGTTATATACAAAATATGAGATTTTACTAATATAATAATTTCGATTATTTCGATTTTTTTTAGAAATGATGTTGATAATTCATTGTTGATGAAACAAAACATGCTTTCCAATTACTGGTAGTCACGTCTTTGCCCCAATTAAGAGACCGTGCTGATTAATGACAATTACAGGGGGTCACCGAGGGAAAACTTGTACTATCAATAATATGTCATACTGAACTATTAAAATTAAGATGTAAAATTAAATTATTAAAAATTGTGCTAGACATAAGTCAGATGTTTCATCATAATGTATCTGCCTGTGTTAATTTATTACTGACATCTACTGTGAACAATTATGTATTGACCAGTGGCACCAGAGGTATTCTGTCGTCACTGATCTACTACACATGTTCATGTATTAGTTCGTTCCCCGATTATATAAGTCATTCCCTGAAGCCTATCTAAGCAGTCTGTATAATGGACAGTGTAGCCTTATCTTGTTGTAAACAGTCGAATCTATTGCCATTTAAGTGTTCAACGACCATTTAAATGACTCATGTATACTTCAATCCATGTTTACCTGTTAGCTTATGTGTATCACTCAATCAGTTCCAACAGGCAAATGTCAATCATCTACCAAATTCTCCAACGACAACTTAATATCAACACTTATTCCAAGAATATCATTAAAGTAGTGTTTTCTATCTAAATAACGTTATATCTCAGAAATGACATTGACGAGAGAGAAAGGGCGGGGGTGAGGTGTTAAATGGAAGAAGCGAATGCTACAGAACAGCGGAGACAACTTTTTCTCAAAACACCACAATTTACCTGAAACGACACTATTATGCAGAACCACTAATTCCCGACTACATGTATTTACAAGAAACACGAATATTCCCCAGAAATCCCAGTTTTCCAGATGCATTTAAAGTACAGGACATGCGACAATCTGACTCCCTTCCCTTTTTGATAGGAACTGAAAATGCTCGGCCAGATCCGAGTTCGAACCCAGGACTCTCGGAACCATAGACTGACGCTTGAAATACCTGATCCTGATTTCTCCCTTTCGGATTCGGGCTTCCCCTTGTCAAGCATTACCTGAAACAATGACTGGTCACAGGCACCAATGCAACAGGAACGCGGTGGCTATGGGAAAATTCATGGCCAGACCGAGGTTCGAACCAGGAACCCTTCGAACCCTAAACGGACTTTTTAACAAAAGAGCTATCTAGCCTCAGTTGTTCAAAGAAGCCGGGAAGCGACAATCAGCGGTTTGTGAACATTTTAAAATGTAAATAAAACATGATATCGTGAACATTAATTATAATTTATAACTATAGATTATTTAAACAGTGTAGAGTGGTATTTTTGAGAGTCAATTTGACTTTAGAAGTGCTCGTATTTCAAAGTGGCAACAATTTTAATCTTTTACGACCCACTAGTTAACTCGAACTAATCTTAACCTGGGTCTTGTTGCCAGCGATTGACTCAGTCCAGTTCTGCTTCACCGTAACCCTAGATTTCTTCAGTCATTTTCCGTTCTAGAACCCCTATCGAAACTGCCCACTTCATTTCCCGAAATACAAACTGTTGCATTGCATCGTATAGTAAACACACAGATGTATTTGATAACACTAAACTGGTTGTTCATGGTTTATTTTTAAAAGTCATAGTGCATTACAATCCTAGATGTTTCCTCGCTCTCTGACTCGGACCCATACATTGCCCCGCTCTCCTCTCTGCCCAGTGTCCCGGCTTCAACAACTCCCACGGACTCTTTCGCAATACCTAATATCCACCATACTTAAGTTTTACAACTTTCCTATCATCACGCCCATTGTGCATATAATCAAAAGGGCACGTGCGTCTAGGAGTACCTGTTATCAACTCCCCACCCTTGATCTACCTTGTACATTGTGTCTTATCTTGTTTACTTACATATATGTTCGACAGCGCGAGACATACAAGAGAGAGCATCTATCTGTCCTGATCAATCATACCGGCGATATTCTGCCACGGTGCTTCAACACTGGTGTGCACACCCCGCCCGTTATCAGGCATGCCTCACTCCCTATCACTCACAGTTTTTGTTTTTTTACCTCGGTCCAGCATTGACTGACTTTTGACCTAATGTACTTTAAACTAAGATGCTGTTCTCTACGATGCACACCACTCCAAAGTCACCATTAAACATATTTTTTACTCATTTTGTTACAAAACGAAAGGACATTATTTCTAAGAAGATCCAGTTTTCCTAACAGTAATATCCCAGTTTGGATGATACATAATATGGAAATGGCTGGCTTGATATTGCCAAGAATATTATCGTTCCAGACAGAAGTCAATATTCACTTTAAGTCAATAACACTCCCTTTTAATCATCATAAATCACTGATACAACACATTTTTCATATTTACGGATGTTCCCGAAAGTCCTTGACGCATGGACCTTAAAACTGTCGGTAAAAATGTCCAACCTCTTGTCATTATGTATCATTGCTGTCTCTGCTCTTGTATAGGAGCGAGAGAAAAGTCGGATTATATCAAGAACTTGTAAATGCAATGAGTTAAAGGAAAGAGCCTATTGACTGCCGAAAACCACATATCGAGGTGTTGAGTGTTGTATCCGGACAACAGTCGGATCACGTAGACACGCACAGCCCCGCTTTGTCCTTCGGCTTTTCAACACTCTGATACGGGGAATTAATTACGTAACACACTCTGCACAGTTTATCGACGGACTATACAGTAGTAAATCGACATCATTGTAAGCAGTCCGTGATAGCACGATGAAACGATAAGCACGTGTTACGACTACCAACGTTTTGTTAAAGTCTTTCGTGGTGGTTTCTGGTATACGGTACATACACTATTGAAATAAGGGCCGAGATGTTCAGAATTTTGTATGTGTTGTTCTAACTTTTAAATCTTATGTTTAATTGAAAGAGTGCAGAGGTATAATATAACCATTTAGTCTATTCACATAATTCCAGTTACAATTAAATATAAAAATACTGGTTCTGTTTATATCAAAAATGTTTCTTGCGTTCATATGAACTTTGAAAGTTGAGTTTTCATAACATGTTTTTCTTCTACGTATGAAATATATTGTATCTGTTTTAAATGTGTGGTTTTTATTTATTTGTGTTATTTATTTATCACCTAAGTAATAAAGATCTGCAGCAAAGTGACGACAGGTCACGACTGAAGACAGTGATTGAAAAATAAATAAATAAACATAAATAAATAAAAAGATAAATAACAAATATATAAACAGATAAATAATGAATTACAACCACGTTCACTAGGTCAGCACAGAAACAAACCTTCTCGGGATCCTGAAAGGGAGGTAAACACAGGACATTAGATAAATCCAGATTGAATGAATAATATACACATCCACGTTTTTCGTTCAACAGGCAAGTTCCAGCATAAGACGATATCGGTGATATTGAGCGTGCGTTTGATACTTTTGCTCTCCCCTAGGAATATCCACGCGGATTTCTATATCTGGATTAGTCCTACGGATTACGAAGCAAGTGGTTATCACTTATGTCACGGGAACACATAGCTTCCTTAGCAAACTTTTTGAACAATTTGACTTTGTTTGCCCCGCGAGCTGTCGATACATGCAGAACAGACTGGTAATAGTCAAAGCGACCTGACCAGTCTGTCTCTAAATGACTGCAGGTCAGCTAATGAAGGGGCATACAGTTCCTGTGTACACAAGCGGCATGTTTGGACGTGACCTACGATCTATTATCAGTGCGAGTGTGGTCATACGCACACATGGGCACTGTAACAACGTAGGTTAATTATATAAAACAATACCCAGTATAACACTGTTATATAGACAAGAGTAAGGAATGTCAGGTTCGTTTCGTCTATTTTAATGAGTTCATTATACAGGATAACAGTTTTACAAAATTACGCTTCCCTGGTGGTATTTGAGAAGCGGAGCACTGGTATTGTCCAAGGAACAGTCTCGTGGCTTAGTACTTCAAATGGACATCAGCTTGATTCCGGATAGTACCTTTCGTTGGACACCTTTCTACCAGCACTCTGGACCTGTTGTGGGCACCTCCCTACCAGCACTCATTTAGCTTGGTCGGGGCGCCTTATTTATAGCATTCGGGAATTGCGTCGTGGAATTCCCATTACAATGAAAGCCAGTTTGACCGATGGCCAAAGTGGTCTTAGTTGACTTGACCGATGGTCAAAGTGGTCACAGCTTGCAGCGTATATACAATTTATAAATGTGATGTTGACTTGACCGATGGTCAAAGTGGTCACAGCTTGCAGCGTATATACAATTTATAAATGTGATTTATAAATGTACACATTAAATGGACATAGTGTGTATCAATTATGGAATACAAATACACAATCAATTATAACAATTACTGGTTATGAAATTTTTACCCTTATTTTGTTACACCAGGTTCTGATGAAAGCGTATGATTCTTTTATTGAGACTACAAATTCAAGCATACACAGTCCCTAACAGTTCAAAACCGGTCCAACATACACAGTCCTTAGCAATTCAAAACCGGTCCAACATACACAGTCCTTAGCAATTCAAAACCGGTCCAGCATACACAGTTCTGTAACACCGCATACAGGTTAATGATAAAAACACAAGACCCAGGTTCTGATGTAAATCGACGATGCTTTTATTGAGACTACAACTACATACAGAACTTAGACGTTCACAACAAGAGTCCCGAGCGCCCCCTTCCTCAGGCCAAAAGCTACCAGTCTCTGAGTCGTAGTCGCTAACTGCTTACGCCTTGCTGCTTACTCCTTACTGACTGTGCTTAGAGAGCCGCCTCTATTTATCCCCCTGACCATTGGCCTACGACCAGCCCACCTGGCCAGTGTCCGAAATTCTCTCCGGACAGCCAATTTCTCAACAAGAAAATAAACATACATTGGCCGGACATTAAGCATGAAAATAGACATAATTGGGGAATACACAGCGCTGATCACCCGATAAATCACACCTAGGTGATTAATTTACCGACACAAACACTCGAAGACCGTCAACCAGCTGCTGGACACTAAACCTCCAAACAAGGAAACAAACATAAAAATACCTGAAGTGGCTTGGGAAGTGAACATACTCGGGAAATAAAGATTGATTGACCTAGAGACACATATTTCCCCCAATTCGACTACCTAAATAATAAGGTTAAATATCTACACATATATATAATTTAAATACGTGCTCTTTTATGCACTGTTTTGTTACTGTTCTTACCAGTTCACAACCGGTCCAACATACGCAGTCCTTATAAGTTCACAACCGTTCCAGTATACGCAGTCCTTATAAGTTCACAACCGGTCCAACATACGCAGTCCTTATAAGTTCACAACCGGTCCAGCATACGCAGTCCTTATAAGTTCAAAACCGGTCCAACATACGCAGTCCTTATAAGTTCACAACCGATCCAACATACGCAGTCCTTATAAGTTCAAAACTTTCCAGCATACACAGTTCTTACCAGTTCACAACCGGAGTCCCGAGCCCCCTTTCACAAGCCAGAAGTCAACAGTAACAGAGTCGTGGCTGCCAACTGTCCGTGCTCGTTTTATTTCTTTTTTATTTCTATTTTAACGGGTTTTTACGTCCACTATTACGAAATCTCGGTCTTTCAGCGGACGATTCCGTGCTTAGACAGTGTTAATAGTGAAATTTGTCACTCAAGTGTAGAACATAATTTGTGTTAAATCTTAATGTGACCGGCTGACTTATC